ATGGAGAAAAGTTTCTCGGTCAAAAATGTATGGATTTACATAAATACCTACTTTTTGTTGTTATTGTCCACTATCTGTCCATCCTCGTGCAAATATGCATGATTGCAACATACACAAAGTTTAGTGGACAACAACAAGAAAAAAATGTGAATCAAAATATATCAAATGATATAAATATCAATGTTAAACCAATTGGAGCAAAAATGATCATCATTACAAGACTAAACCCAAGTTAAATCCTTTCAGATTATGGATTAAAGTTAATCCTTTTTTTTTGCTGATGTAAAATGAATAATACACACCAAAGGTAAAAGACACACAGAGACTCACCACACAATTCATAAGCTATTCAATTGTTCAACTATTAATAAGATATAACCTTAACTAATCAACTAGACTACAACTGACCAAATCCTGGTAATTGAAAATTAATGTTACTTTGATTGATGACCAATTAATTAACCATTCAAATTGATTTACTGACTGTGAGCTTTGACAAAGTGAAACTAATAAAGTTATCAAACATTTTTTTCTCCCACTACAAAGTCTCCCTCATTCCTCCCGCTACTGGTCAAGCAAAGGCCAGTGGTCAGTCTTGCACAAGACAGTGAGAGAGAGAGAGAGAAAGAGACAATTGTTGTGTATGAAAAGTGAAAAAAACATAAATTGTAATGAGAGAAAAAAAACTTTTCCAATTATATATCAATGAGACTTTAGAAACTGGACAATATGAGATGTGGTGATGGTCAAGTGAAAAGGTAAAAAGCAAGAAAACAACTTAGTCCATTGAGTAAATTGAAAAATCATCTCATTCTCAATTTTTTCAAATGCTTTTTTGGTCAATTCATTTCAACAAAAAGGATTAACTTTAAGCTATATATCTCGCTTGACCCTTTAGTCTGATCAGTTGCTTCTTCATCGGTCAGCAAGAAGAAAAAAACTGGTCAATAGCAAAAACAGCAGAAAAGCAACAACAAACAACAAGGATGCAAAAGGTTATCATTCAGTGAGAAATTATCATTCTCATCAACTTAACAGTAATCTAGTCAATTCTTGAAGGTATAGTGACCATTGAAAGGGAAAAGGTTTGATTATAACAAAGAATAGAGATTATCTCCTTTTTTCTTGACCAACACAAGAATCTACCTTTTTGTGTAGAGCAAGAGAGGGAGAGAGAAAGAGAGAGAGGTGGAAAGGGTTACACAAAGGTAAGAAGATGAAAATGATGATGATGATAAGAGAGAGAGAGAAAAGGAAGAAGGAGTGAGATAAGGATAAGAAAAGTTGTCAGTTGAATGTACATATTATATCTTAAGTTAAACAAGTTTCGCCATTGTAATGTAACCTATCGGTGTCGCCAGCCATTTAATTGGCCTCTCTCTTTATCTTCCTCTTCATCTCTCATTCACCACTTTAACCGTCATCCTCACCTTTACCTTTCGTTTTCCCTGCCACCCTAATCTTCATCTCTCTCTTTCTCTCCTTTCTTTCCTTTCTTTATGTTCATCATTATCATCATCCTTTTCTAACCTTTTTATGCTTTTACCTTTACTCTCTCTCTCTCCTTCTCCCACTATTCTCTCTCACAGTCATCTTTTTGCTACCTTTTCTCATCTCTAACCAATTGATATCTAATTTTTGCTAACCAGGTAAATAAGATGTTGGTTTTGTTACTGTTACAATTACTACGAATCTACTATAACCTTTTGTTGTTGTCAGATAATTGAAAAAATTGTCTCTCTCTTTAGTCACCTTATCCTCCCACTTCTCGTCATCATATCATCATTATCATCATAATCATCGTAAAGAGTAATTGCTTCAAGAGAAGATATCTCTCTCTCTCTCTCTCTCTCTCTCTCTCTCTAGCTTTTCATCCAGTTGACAAATGATTGAAGGCAATTTCATCAATGATAATTGTCGCATGTCAATGTATAAACATACAAACAATTTAGAGACAAAAACAAACCACAAGAAAAACCTAACGAAACGAGACAATTATTGATAAAAATAAATCACAATCAATAATAAGCCTTAATTGTTGAAGTGAAAAGAGAAATAATTTGCTAAATTGTCACCATAATCATCATCCACAGTACCAACACAATCATTAAAATTAATTGAAATGTGTATATCATTATGATAATAACAATATACTACATGATAAGTAATACAAATGACACACACCTAAAGAGGTAAAGGCAAAAAGTAAATCATCCTCATCACAAACTTAAGTATCCTCATCTTTAGCCGCATCACTAATAGACATGGTGATCAGGATGGATGCATATTATATAGCATTTAGCATCATCAAAGATCAACTTGAATCATTGAATAAAGATGATAAATGAATAAATATAACATCAAAGTCTAACTGTACTTTCATGATGATACCCGAAATAAGATGATGAGAAATCTAATTTAGAGAGAGAGAGAGAGAGAGAGAGATAATCTATCCGCCTGAAATGTTAGAGATAAAAATATCTCTGTGATGATGATGAGAATTGAAGATGATGTAAAAAAGGAGAAGATGAAAACTCGTCTGTTTTTCCAATGAAGAAAAAAATAAAAGGTAAGCAACAATCAATTCATTTCCTGCCCTTTAATCCTGATATACGCTTTCTCTTTCTCTTCATCATCATCATCATCTTTTTCCATCCTCATCCCTATTCTTTTGCATCTTCCTCTTTCTTTTTATTCCATTTCTCTTCTCTTTCCACAACTGACTCTATTCAATAAGAATAAACCTCATTTTTTTTCTTCCTTTCATATTAATCTCCTATTTCCTTCATCATCATCATCATCTAATATCACCATTAATATAATCATCGTCATCATCATCATCCTTCATCTTCCTCAATCAACAAAGTTAAGTCTTTTTTTTCCTGGTGCAACGGGAGATACTCATTGATTTCAATATTAGTCAAATTAAATGTAACAATTTACCTCATTGATTTGTCCACTTTTTGACCTTCATTGTACAATTTCAATCATACAATTCAATTGTTGATCAATTTTACAATTAAATGATTTCTTAACATTTAAGCAAAAAAAAAACAATAATGTTTACATCATTTTAATGTCATCATGATGATGGACAATTGTGATTGTTAACTATTAACATTATCATGTTTTCAATTATTTGATTGTCAATGATAAATAACAACACCTACAACAACAACAACAACAACAGTTACAATACAATATATTGTTACCATGTAGTTAAAATGGTAACAATAAGTGACAACAATCAAGTTAAAATAGGAAAATTAAATTTACAGTAGGATAAGTAAATTGTTGGAGGAAATGAAGCGTGTGATTGAATTGAAATGCGATGCTAACAAGAAGTAATCAGTGAAAGTTGACAAAATAAAAGTCTTGTTACACATCATCATCATCTTCATGTTCATCTCCATCCTCATCTCTATCTTTATAATGATAAATCTTTTAGAAATCATCGTAATGGTAACAACAAGACTAACAAAATAACAAAGTTTATAATTGTTGACAGTTGACTTTTTTTTCTGCTTCCTGAACTCAACAATTCATACCAAATATCACTGAGCTTTTCTTGGTGATGCTGATCAACATGAAGATTAAGATGAGGAGTGGGAGTAAAGGAGAGGAAGAGAGAGAGAGAGAGAGAGAGAGTAATATTTCACAGGATATGTTTGCATGGAGAAATGTGAGTAGAGAGAGAGAGAGACAGAGTAAAAATTTAAGAAAAAGAGCAAAAATGATGAGAGAGACTGAAGATAAAAGTATTTTCTATTAACGGGATGTAGTAGATGAATGACAGAGAGAGAGAGAGAGAGAGATGACATTTGAAGAAGATGCCAAACAACATCTTCTTCATCTTCATCAACAATAACACACACACAGTAACCACATTAGGGTCAATAGAAGCTACAAAAGTACATATATCTACCTCTCCATCATCATTATCTACCTTTGGTTGTCTTCATTTTCACCTTTTTCAGTACATGAGAAAACCAATTGAATATGAGATGATGATGATGAAGATAAATAGTAAAAGATGAGTGAACATTTGACAAGCTATGTCACGATTATTAATCCTTATAAATTTTATCTACTTTTTCATTTGTTATCATGTCTTAATCAAGACAATATATCAAGAATATGATATTAGATAACATGAGTAAAGGTAAACATTCAATCATCATGATCAATTTGAAATTATTCAAATGGTTCCTTAAGGTAACATAACATGTAACATGGTATCAAACAACGTCAACATGGGGACTCCCAAAAGTTTGAACAAGAAAAACAAAACAAAATCAATCAAATTATTAGACAATAATCAGTAGCAACAATCAATTTGATTCAGTTATCCAATTGTTATAAAACAATATTATCTTCATTTATGATTCATAAATATTCAAATTTTCAAATCATCTTCATGGTGATAAACTTCATGTATATATACAGGATGAATTTAAATTACCAGTTAATCTTTACAATTGATTATAAGCTCAACGTTAAATTGTTAGAATAGGAAACTCTGAATAAACTCAGAATCATTCATATATAAATACCCATGAACATCATGATAGGCATGAAAGGAAAAAGATTTTATTATTTTCCAGAAACATTCACACAATATATTTTTTGACAGAACTTTTTTTCTTCACTTTATATTTTTGATTGATTCCAATTGTCTTGCAATTGAAAAAATTTCATGATAAAAGTTGATGAAGAAAATATTACTTATCGTTGAATCCAATTGTTAATTGTCACCTTGAAATTAGATAATCTCCCTGTCTCTTTCTCCTATCAATTATCCATAAAAAGGATAATCGGATGATCTGAAATTGAGACTAAAAAGTAGACCAAACAAACTAGAACTTTTCGAGTACAGTTTTAAGGTCATTCGATGATTCTTGCGATTTAAATGTGCATGTGTACGTATATTAGATTACCAAGTTCGTAGATTCAAGTATTAGGTCAATAATGAGTTCGAAAAGATGAAGAAAAAAACTTACGCTTTCTCTTCGGTATCCAAATGATGGACAAGTTCATTTCGCTTCTCGACAATTCGAAGTAACTTATCGAGTAACAACTTTTCCGTCTCACGTTGAGCATCAGTTTTCTCCCAATCTAATTCGAAGAGAAGAAATAAAGAAAAAGAGATAAAAAAAGAGCAAAAAGATAAACAGAAAGTGAGAAAAAGGGGAAGAAATTATCATCATCATGATTAGAGAAGCAAAAAATAAAAGTAAAAACCATCAGAGAGAAAGAGAGATGAACAGAAATGAGAGAGATGAAGATGAAGATGAAGATGAAGTAAAGAAAAGGTTAAGTTGATTGTAAATGTCATGAAAGGCAGTGAATCAAGATTAGACCTATAAGTGAGAAATGAAGATGAGGATGAAGATGAAGATGGAAACTATTGAATCGTAAAAGATGCTGAGTGACCTTCAATATAACACCCAAAATACGGATAAGAGAAAAAGAAGAAATTTTTTTTCTGTTGTTTCTCTCATTCTCTCTAGATCTTTAGATTCTTATATATGTGTTTATGAATTATAAGAAAATGAATTTTATGATGATGAAGAAAAATTATCACTGCAAGAAGATGATAAAAGAAAGAGATAAACAAGAATGAACATCGAAAACATCTCAATCAAAGTAAGAGAGAGAATAGAAAACATCATTTAAATGAGAGAGAGAGAGAAAGGAGGGAGAAACATGTAAAGAATTGAATAGATGGCGAAAGTCAAAGGAAATAGGAGAGAGAGAGAGAGAGTGAGTGAGAATATTATCAAATAAAGGTGAGCATCTATGATGGAGAAAATATAAAAAGGCAAACATAATCACTATCGAGATGATAAAAGGAGGAGGAAAAATGATAAAAGGTAGAAAGGTGATTGATATTGAAGAGAAAAAGAAATTGATTTCGCCGAGTTCACCTCATTTACTCGTGCAAATATTGGTTGATTTGCAAAAAGCACGTTTCTCATCACGCATTCAAGTTGATTGTTGCAAATGTTGTTAAACACAGTTAATCAGAAAAGTAAATTGAAAGTTAACAATAGTCAGGTAAACATGACAATTAAAGGACCAATGTAATTGCAATAAAAAACCTTCATAAGAAAATGTATTATATAAAATTCATCATCAATTGGCAATCAATTGATTCTGATGGTATATAAGTTAACAACAATCAACAAGGTAAAAAAAACAGTTTAAAATCAAATCATCAAAATTGGAAAACCTGAAAAAAAACAAATCTAAATTGTTGGAGCAAAAAACAATTTAAACAGTCAAATAATTTACCAATAATCAAAACAGTAAATTATGATTATTCAAATGATACCTTACAATTAACAGGGTTAACTGTAAATGCACAACAATCAATTGTAATCACATTCAATTTACTTACACACCTTAAATTGCAAACTATCAGACAATGAGCAATAACTCAGGTAATCAAGGTTGCAAATTGATTTAAACAATTAACTGATTGTTGTTTTATGCAAAAATCATCATGAAAATTGCAAAGTATTAAACAAAATGTGATCATGTCAAAATTAATTGCGACTATGATGATAATCAAATGCATAATCAAATTTCAGTTGCAATTATAAACTCATTTGTGTATGAGAGAGGCTACTGACTAAGTTAATAGTTTGACTCTGGTAATTGTTTTTATTTGGGATTATCAATGAAAATCAGAATCAACTTATTATTATTATTAGGGTTTCACAATAATAGTAATAAGTGTGGAGTAAAAAAAAGTAACAATAACAATAAAGTAAATCACACAAACACGTACAATGTTAAGGGTGAGAGTCTAATCATGTATCAAGTTGAGAACAAGAAAAACAATCATTTCAAGCCTCAAGATATATAATTTTGCACCTTCATTTGCACCAACAATCAACAGAAATCAATTGTTGTATTATTTTCAACAATATGAAAAAAGTATAAAATCAACAAACAATAATAATAATATTGTAACGAAAGAGAAAGAGAGGAAAAGAGAAAAATAAAATGGAAAAGAGATAGAGAGAGAGAGAGAAAGAGACTAAGAAAGAGAGAGAGAGTGAGAGAGGGAGGGGTGGGGTAAGAGTGAGAAGTAGAAAGAGTGAGAGAGGGAGGGAGTAAGCGGGTGGATGATTACATAGCCTATCAGAATCGAGCAAGTATCCGCCTAATGGAGCCTATAGATGACATAGAATTGATCCTATATCCTATAGAGCATCATCCTCATCCTCATCTTCATCTTTCTCCTCATCACATGAATGTCAATCGGTGTTTGTGTAAAGGAGAGAGAGAGAGAGAGAGAGAGAGAGAAGGGGGAAAAAGATGATGATGAAGAAGGAGTAGAGAAAGAAAGGAAAATTGGTTACTTCATGCTTCTTGGCTTTCAGAAGATAAGAAGCTTATATTGAAGGAGAATTGGGTAAGAGAAGAAAAAAAGACAAGAGAAGATGATAGAGAATATTAGAGAAAATGAAGGAGGAAGATTTTTCATCTTGTTCCTCTCTCTCTCTCTCTTCGTCTTTTCTTCCTTCTTCTTTTTTTCCACCGGTGCTTTTACCTGATACATTTTCCTCTCTCGATTTCTATGGAAAAACCTGGTTACAATCGAAATAGTAGAAGTAAAGTTATCAGATGAATTCTTTTTGCAAACAACAACAAGGAGATGAAAATGATGATAATGATCTGATTTTCGTATCATCATCATCATCATCTTCTTGTTCTTTCTTTCTCTCTCTCTCTCTCTTTTCCAACGAATAAATTGTCAATGATGCAAATGATTAAAACAAATTCTTATGTATATCAAGTGTTTCTATCTTGATGTGCTGATGGTTTTACGACACTAATCAATCAACTAGTTGCTTGGGTCTCTTGTTAACCTTAATTGACTTTACTATTGTTCATTTTAATTGGTTATGTTAATCTGGTTCATCACTCTACCCACCGGGTGGGGTTTCTCAGCATTTGGGGTTGATAATAAGCTCAAAGTGTAACAAACAGCAGCAACAAAAAAAAAGGGTCAAAACAAAACAAAAAGTGTCAACACTATTCAGCTTATTGGAAAATCTTTACCTCTTTTTTTTGGGTCACACTTTTTGCCTCTTTCTTTTTGCGATTGTTACTCTTTCTCAAGTCAGGTAAAAATAAAAGGTTAATTCAACTCTCAGGTAAACTTTACACACTCAGTGCATTAAGATAATATTGCAAATAATATAATAATCTGCTCATGTATCGCCTGACACTTTGAAACCTCTTCCTTTTTATTTTTTCTCTTGCACTTATCATACTCTTTTTTTTCCTCTGTGAAAATATTTTTCCATAGCCTTTGGCTATTCTTTCACCTGTATCTCTACATCTTCCTCTTCTGAGTAAACAAAATATCACTGTCACTCACTTTCTCTCTCTCTCTCTCTCTCTCTGGCTCATAAATGCAAACTGTACCTGGAAATAATATCATTTACACCTTTGCATTTATCTTTTTGATAACCTTTTTGCTTTTCCAATGTAAATAAATGAAAATTGTTGCAAATTTACAGTAAAAATCAATTGGAAACCTTATGTAAACTGTAACAATAAAGAAACAACAAAGATATTATCAGATGTGCACAAACATTTACATGCTACTGTAGTTGAAAGTGACTTTTCTCTATTGACAAAAATCAACACATTAACTGTTAAAATCAATCAACAATTAAATACTTTGTAACAATAAGGTTATCACCAATAAGCTGGATAAGGTCTTGAAGGATAAACAATTTGTTAATCTATCAATGAAAGTGTATCAAGATACAAACATAAACTGGCTTATTAAAAGTATTAACCTGATCATAATGGTAAACCCAATAAAAAAAAGTAAAATCTCCTCACGGATTAGTCAAGAGATCATCTCTTTCTCTCTCTCTCTCGCTCTCTATCACCAAGTAGATTAGTTGTAATTGTTGTTGTTGTTGATTGTGGAGTAACAAGTTAGCTTTGTAAAACTTGATAATTCCTACGAAAGAGTGAATAATAAGAGAGATATGCGAAAATAATCAGGGTCTTTGGAACACTTATCTTCATCATCATCTTAAATTGTTACAAGACGTTAGAGAGAGAGAGAGAAAGTGAGTGAGTGAGAGAGAGAGAGAATGAGTATTAGTCTGATATTTGACTGATCTCACAATAGGATCACAAACGTCTTACTAAGGCTAATCCTGTCTTACCACGCCCATATTACCACAATTTCCGAGTAAACACACAGAGACTATGATAGAGAAAAAGATGATGATGAAAGGGGAAAACGAATCTCTCTCAGTCTCAATGAAGTTTCAGCCCATGTTTACCTATGTAATACATTGGTGACCTTGATAGATATTATAATTATTACGCCAATTCCAAGATAATAATAATAAATAGATTACTAAGCGGATCGTAGGTATTAGAGGTAAGGGTGAGAAGAGCGAGAGAGAAGAGAGAGAGAGATATTTAAGCTTAAGCCATTGACACCGTAAAGTAGGCCACTTGTTACTAGGGTATAATCTGATGATCATCATCAAGATGATGATAATGATGAAAATGATGAAAAAAAGATGAGGATGAAAAATAAGAAACATATACAAACCTTCAAGTGAATTTAAAGGTTGAAGCTTTTTTATTAGGATCTTGTAGCATCTTTCCAAATCCTTTTCTTGCTCTCTGTAAGTATTGAAAAGTTAAATACAAAAGATGAAGAAAAATATAAGATGATGATGATAATCAGGATGATAACATATTAAGATGATTAGCTTAATATTTATTAACCTTTTTCTCTGGTGTGAATAAGGTGTAACAATAATCATTTAGATTGTAACAGTTTTATCAATGAAATCCGATGAGAAAGTAACAATGTTATCAATGAATTTTTATTCCACAATTATTAGTGATTACCAATTGATCTTTTTTTCTTTGTTATTATTGATTAAAATTAACGGAAAGAAAAATTATTCGCAACTAAGTTGATTGATTAATCGAATGAAATTTATATTTGGTTTTCTTTTCCATTTTACTGGTAAATAGGAAAATTGTAATTTACTGACCAATTGATTGACCAGAAATATTTCAAGTTAAATGTTAAATTAAGCTCAAGTAAAGTGTCACAAAATGATCAAAATATAAAAGACATGAGAGATGTAAAGAATTGAAAGAGAAGAGAAATATTCTTTTCTAAAGATCGAATTTGAAAATAACAATAAAAACACCGAAAGGTTCGAGAGAGGATCGATTTAAATATCAATATCATCAATAGATTTTGAATATTTTCACCTTAAGTGAAAGATAAAGAGTGAAACCTTGAGGCTTTTTTTTACCTGTGGTAAACACATAGTCTTTTAAAGGGGCACAGGTAACACAGAGTAAATGGGGTGGTGGGAGAGAGAGAGAGAGAGACCACCCAAGAAAGAAAGATGTGAATAGAAAACCTAAATTGTCCATCAAACAGAAAAGAAACAAATTATCGCATCATAATAATCAATAGATTATCAAAGGTAAGCAAAAAATCAGGTAAAGAATAAGGAAGAAGAAAAGTTGACAAGTAATAAGGAGAAGATGAAGAGACAAGGAGAGAGAGAGAGAGCGAGAGAGAGAGAGAGAGAGAGAAGCATCTTTATCTTATCAAAGAAAATGTGAAACATCATCTTCATCAAAATCCATGGATGATGATGATGATCAGACAACAAAGTTACAAAACGATTGAGAGAGATAATAATGATAAACAAGACAAGATAAAGAGATCACCTTTTTTACTTTGAGAAAATTGATCATCTCATCCTGATGAGCATCCTCATCCTTACCATCAGATGATAGATGAAAGTTATGAATGTTGAATAAGTTAAAACGTATTTAAAATGATCGTAAGTAGTTGAACAAATGACCGAATCAAAATCTATTAAGAACTCATTACATTAGAACCCCAACCGTTTTCTATGGTCAGTAATTCACTTATCATTCATCTCTCTCTCTCTCTCTCTATCAGTTACTTCTCACTGATAAACTCCCTCCACCCCATGAATAGTGATTTAATTCAACTGAATTAAAGTGAATTAAAATAGATTCTAAAATTTAACAATTACGATTATGTAAAAATGTCAGATTCATTTTTGTATTGTAATGTTGTTACTCTGTCACTGTTAATCAAATGCTCAACAGGAGGAGGAGGTGATGGTGATTTGATGGTGGTGGTGGTGGTGGTGGTGGAGGTTGTGGTTGTGGAGGGAGGTGGGCAATCCATTAAATCTCACTTACATTATATCATCATGACCACCAAGGCGTATGATTATTGTATATAAATATATTTATAGTTGAATTTAAATTGTTATTCATTGTGATCAAATGATTACAATGATAACAATTTAGTTACAATAATGTTTTTCTTTACATGTTATATGTGTATAAAAACAATGGTAACAATTTAACAGACTAAACTTTTTTTGATTGTTATAATTTAATAACAATTAGATTGACCACCCCAATCAAACAGTTAGAGGTCCAATCTTGAAGTGTATCCAAACAATTTAAATAACTGAACAGTGACTTTGATGTTTAAGTCACGAGAAGGTAAAAATATTATTCAAATTGTGATTTAAATTGTTGATAACAATATGGTAACTTTATTGTAACATAACAATAAATCACAATCATAATCATCATCAAAATGATACTTATCATGATGATAATTCATATATATGATAACAATTAATTGTGTACAGATAAAGTTGATGGTAATCAACTTAATTACTTGATAAACTTTCAATTACTTGTGTCATTTCAATCATTTTTTTGTGAAAAAGTTAATGAAAACTGATGATTATCATTCAGTTTATCATCAATGTTTGCTGATTGTTGATATAAATATCATCTAATCTATTAATTGTCACTTCGCTTATCAAAACAGGTAAATGTCCATCTCTTTGAGTTTCTGTTGATTTTCAAGCAAAAAATCAGGTAACAAATATAATGATTCTCAAGGTAGTTAGTCGGTAGTAATGATGTATTAATAGTATAATAAACATTAGTCATGTTGTGGTGGTGGTTTGTAGTAGTAGTGGGATGGTAAATGATGTGACCACTGTGTATTAACGGTGGGTGACCTTTTCTCCACTCATCACTCTCTCATAGTGAGAGCAAGAGAGAGAGAGAGAGAGAGAGAGAGAGAGAGAGAGAGAGATCATATAATTGATGATACTTCGTTAGCAGGACAATTATTTCAACGACATTCATGATGAATAATGACCATTGAACATAAAGTATTTATTTCACACAAATAGATACACTGTATGTAGTGTTTGTGTGTGTATATTATATATACCCTGTAGATCTCACCCTCTTTTTTTTACCTTGCATTCAGTTTTCAAGTAAATGAATGAGATAAATGAAAAAGGACACATTCCATTAGGAAATTGTATCTTTCAAAGATGATAAGGATGATAAGAAAGAGAATGAGAAAGAGAATGCAAAACAAAAGCAGTAGGGAGTTTATTCTTGGGAAAACAAGATGATCCTGATGATGAAGATGAGGATGACAAGGGTATTGCATAGCAAGGACAGGTTGACATTCCAAGATTACTTTCATTTCTTAAGATCAATGTGGAAATAATTGATAATAATGGAAGAGATGATAAGGATGATAGAGAGAGAGAGAGAGAGAGAGAGAGAGAGAGAGAGAGAGTAAATATTCAATTACGCAGGTAAGTAAAAAAAAAAGTTTCGATCTAATGAAAAACGATTGGAACCAAAAATCAAACATCAAGGTGACAAAGTGCTAAAAAATATACATAATATCAACTGGAGATATTGAATGATAAACTTACAGGTAAGAAGACAACAAGATGATGAAGATAAATAATAATACAGAGAGTCCATTGTAAAATTAATGAGCGTTTCTGAGCCGATTATTTTTCTTTGGCTTAACAAACTGATATACATTTACATGGTGTATCAGTGTACTTTAGTGTCGATGGTCAAGGTAAAGGTAAACTCTGTTTACTTTGCCCGGGCTCAGAGATAGAGAGAGAGAGAGAGAGAGAGAGAGAGAGAGAGAGAGAGAGAGAGCATCTTTTACCATAGATAAAAGTTATTCTCATATATAAAAATCAATAGGAATAAAAAATTTGCAAAGATTCAACATTTTATATATTCCAATAATGTTAACCCATCAATTAAATGGAGAGAGAAAATTTCGAATTCTATTTTCTCTCTCATTTTCTTATCATCTTCATGTATCATCACAAATACTGATCATCATCATCATCATCAATATCATCACCACCGTCATTGTTATTTTTATCAGAGGAAAACGAGAAAAAGATACAATAATAAACATCTATGTTTACATATCAGTAGCCAGTATTATCTTTACCTATGGAGATTTTTTTATGGATATTTATATAAACTGAATATTATCATATGTATACATGTAGTTATTTATAAGGAATTGACATTGTCCATTGTGATGAAATAATAAAAATGGACTAGAAATGAAAATGAGGCGCGAAATGTTTATTTTGGCTTGACCTTTACTCTCTCTTTCTCGGTATGGACTTCAACTAGGAATGTCCACCTTGAGATTGACCAATAGGTATAATAATATATATAAATTGACAACAAGAAAAAAAAACCTTTCAAGGTCCTATGTAAACATCTAATATTTAAAACTATTCAGCTCTTTCTTTCTCTCTGTCTTTTTTTTCTGCTTTCTCTTTTGACTGAATACAATTTGAAATAATAATGTAACTGATGATGATGATGATGAGATGACCAACAACGATGGTGATGATTAGATGACCAAAAGATGAAAGCGAGTTTACTGTTCATATAAACGGGCTACTATTATGGTGACAATAATAACGAAAGTGATGATGATGATTATGAATATGATTAAGATGATGAGAAGGTTGAAAAACGTTCTATTCTCTCCTCTCTCTCTCTCTCTCTCTCTCTCTCTCTCTCATCCATTGTCATCTTCAATTTATGTCTTACCTCACGCCTCTTGTTAATCTCTGTTATGTATTATAACCTATTCTTAACTTGGTCTATTGTTGGATTGAAAATTTCAAGTTGATTATTTGGAGGTCGCTTTTCAATTCGAGTCTCAATTCAGAATCACCTTTAAAACGTTAGCGTACCAGGTCACAAAGATCATGACCTCCTCTCAATGTACCATTATTATTATTATAATTGATGATGATGACGATAACAATAGGATATCAATATAAATGGTGAAAGGAAATATTTTTTTTTTAATATCTCTCTCAAATCCTTCATCTCTAAGTAAAAATCATTCCGAATCAAAATCAAATTATCAACTGAAATTTAGGAGTGTATATTTACTGACCATACTGGACATACGAGACTTGAATATACACAATATGTACATGTCTATATTGCGAGTTATTTTCTCCTAATTGTTAATTGATTGTAATTAACTATTAAAATTTAGGATAAAGTTGATTGTTGAATGAAAAATAAAAGATATTTGCTATTTTAAAAGTTGTTACATGTTACTGATCATTTTTTTTTACGTTCAAATCAAAATTAGTTAATCATGTGATTAAATCTGATATTCTGACGATGGTAATCAAGAAGATGGAGGATGATATTAATCTGATACAGAATAAGGTTTGACTCTCTCTCAATGTAAGAGAAGAAAAAAAAGATTTTTCATCATCATCATCTTCTTTCACTGTGATTATCAGTAATTTTCATCAGAAACTCAGCGTGAAACCTGAAAAATATTAGGATAAAGTTGATTTCTGTTTCTTTTTGGCCTCGCGTCCGTCCTTCGACTTTACCTCATCATCAACAACATCATGATCATCATCATCATCATTATCAGCAGCCCATTCAACTTTCAATTCATTTCTGTTTAAATACATTACGATGGATGAACTCACCAGGAATCATTATCAGTATCATCATCATTATCATCATCATCATCATCACAAATCGATCAATTTAAACGTCATCATCAAAAACCATTCAAACCATTCTTGTCTTCAAGTCTCATCATCATCAACAAGATAACATTTGATCATAATCATCTTCCTTAATTATCATTATTTGTTAATCATAAATATTAAATATCATCTCAATTAAACACACACACACACAGTAAATATATTATTAGATTAATCAATTGGTAAGATTTAAGATGAGCTAATATAATAAATCATATCTATTTACATGGACAGTTGAGAATCGGAAATATAATATCATTTAGGTGATTTACCTGTTGAGTTAATATGGTAGGGAAATTAATCAACCAATCATATTAACAATTAACAAACAATTTACCAAAATAAAATAAATCAACTGTATAAAAAAAATGATGAGCATGAAAAGTGATCCAGTTTTCAGATAGAAAAAGCATCAACCCAAATGATAACATTGTTACAATTAAATCGCTAATCATCAATATTAATTCTTAATCCATGAGTTAATTAGGCTCATGAAAATTACGGAAAAGATAATCTCAACTTACAGAATGTTCAATTTCATCTGACGACGAAGAATATCATTCTTCTTATTGACCAATATGAACCATTTTCGAATGCATCTTTCCTCTTCCATGGTAGAGTTTGCACCTTGATAAATCACCCAAAAAGAGAGTTAGAGAGAAATGAATTAAAAAGAGAAACAATTAGATTAACAGCAATTAAGAGGAAGAAAATTAATCATTTACAATCATTCGTAATCTATTATTAGTTTAAATGGTTCAACCCATTGGGGAAAATAATCAAGCCCAGGTAAGAGTAAAAAAGTTAACACAAATTACCAACATGAACCACCAACCATTGACCAGGTAAGGAGGATATTCATTTATATATTATATAGTTTAACATTTTACCTGTGCACTTTTTTACAGGTAAAATTTTTGCTTTTTTTCTGATTACCGAAAGGTATGAAAAAAAAAGTAGTCATTCCAAGGTGTTATTACTTTATTATTATTATGGTTATTATGGTTATTTACCTCACATTGTATGTGTAATGATAATAGTAAAAAATAAAACAACTATTGATGATGATTAGTGATCAGCATTCAAGTTACATCAACTTTTCTGGTTTTCAGGTAAGCAGAATCAATCTCTATCTTTGCAAATGATTAACATCATTATTATCATTATTATTATTATTTGCATTTTCAATTGCATTTACCTGAGTAAAAGGTAAAAAACAAAAAAAAAAGTTTTGTTTTATACTTGTTATGATTCTGTAAAGGAAGAGGAGAGAGAGAGAGAGAGAGAGAGAGAGAGAGAGAGAGAGAGAGAGAGAACCTTTCGTGATGATAATGATGATTATGATGATGATGATTTGCTTTTGCTTTTATGACTTCAATTATTGGATGTCATTGGTATTAACCCAAGAAACATGATGAACACAAAAAAAACAAGGTAAAGATGAATCAACAACAAGAACATCAATAGATAAATGAAACCAATTTAAGTCTTAATTTTTATGAGCCTTAAAACCATCAAACATACACATAGTAGTTATTCATATATAAATGGTCAGAGATATAGTGTTACTTGTATTCATCATCATCTTCATCTTCATCATCATCAGTATCATCTTCATAGTCTTATCATTATCCATCTCTTGTCAGGCTCTATCTACCTTTTTCATCTTTCTTTTCTTTCTTTTTTCCATCTTCTTCTCCTTCTCTCATCATCAACTTAATCATCTCTCTCTCTCTCTCCCTCTCTCTCCATATTTATATATATATTCATGCTTATTGATATCATCGGAATGCTAATAAATGAATATGATAAAAAAAAATTTCAACTCATTGTAAAAAAGTTTCATCTTGTTTCATCTGCTTGTTGCAAAAAGCTTGTCATGATAATGATGATACCGATGATGATGATGATGATGATGATGATGATAAGGTTACTACACAATTTGCTACCTATTTGTTACAACAATTATAGAAATGAAAAGATGTATCACAGATTATCATCATCATTATCATCATTGTCATTGTGTCATTGATATTTTGTTAGGTAAAAAAAAAGACCAACTATTGCAATAAGATTTACACCCAAGGGTGAAGAACAAGTTTCCTTATCATCTAGTTTATCATCCTCATCATCGTCATCATCAATGATTACAATGTTGCCTATTATTTTTTTTTCTGCTCATCTTAGATAAATATATGTGTATATATATTACCTGTCATGATGATGATGATGATGGAGATCTTGGTCATCCCATATCATCTTGTTATTAGTATAAAGATAACATATCTTATCTCTCAGGTAAAATTACATCCGAAATGAAGTAAAGAAAAAAAAATTATAAGAAAGACACATAAAAGGTAAATGTTACATTAAATGTATCGAATATAATAAAATACAATTTAAAGGTAAATCTCATCAATCGATTTCGAGATTACGGTTCTAATCTGGTTTTAACATTTTTTTTTTCTAGGGGAAAATCGTAAGAAATATAAAAGTTACGTTAGAACAAAAAGAAAAAAAAATTCGACATGGAAATAACTTTTTTCTTCATTGATAATTCCTCGTATTAACTGTTAATATTTTGAGCTCAATGTTTTACAACAAGATACACACACTTGTTGTTAACTAATAACAGATTTAAACTGATTAAGCTGATTTAAATAGCTTCGGATAATAGTTAAGTATCAATTCACTCCTTTGATTAAGATTTAAAGTAAATATAACAACACATTTATATTATAATAATAGTAACAATTTACTAATCAACATTAGTAAACAAAAAGTTGTAGGCGACATCTATTGATGGATTTTGGTGAAAAGTTTTGATTGTTTTCAAGTTTTTCGGGTTACCAGTTTAAATTGTTGTTAATTAACTTGACAAAGAGTGAAAAATATTGATGATATTTCATTAGGAAATCATATTGATAGGTTACTATTATTAATATTTTATATGAGGTAATGTTTTGAAGCCTGATAAATGATTGGATGCTCATGGGAATCCATAGGTAACTATTATTATTATTATTATTATCAATTCTAGAGCTTTAATTTTGCTTCACTTTGCGGAAACAATTGAAATTAAGTTCAAGTCCAAAAGTTGAATTATATTGATAATAATTGAGTAGCAATTATATATTTACATGGACAATATTTGCTGATAAAATATCAATGGTTTCTGATGATGAGAAGGTAAAATAATATGTAAAAGTTGAAAGGGAAATTAATTTCATATTTTTTTTTGCCTTTTCAATGTTTATGGTTAAAGTGAAGGGCTTCAGGAAGACAATCACAATTAAGGGAATCATATCTTGGTAATTTGTTAAATTGTTTCTCATCGTAATTAAATATCATCAATAGCTGTAGGGTATTTAATTACTCGGGTTTGTGGGCTAATGTGGAGTTGGAATAAGTTTTTACTTTGATTTTGGAGTTGAATCGGTCATGTGTTGCTGATTGTTTGATTTGAGTATAATTAAGAAATTTGTTAATTACCGTTCTTCATGATTAGACGTAATTTCTCCTCGATTATTGATGATTCTTTGTCAATTTTTGATTGTTCCTTTTCTAAAATCATTAGTTCCATATCGACGTATGATTTTTTGGGACTTTTTGTAGTACCTGAGGATGGAAAGAGAGAGAGAGATAATTTAATGGATAATAATTGTTTGGTGACTCGATTTGATTGTTTTGAGAAATTTACTTGGATTATTGTTGAATGATTTAATTGTTGATATTCTTGTAGGTGTTGATTGGATTGAAATTTTTCTAGACTCTTGTAGAGTTAAATCACGAATTGCTGCTTCCATGTTTCGAGGTTCAATTGGACTTTTTTCCTTAATCATTTTACTAATTTGATCGGATAACATTTGTCGAGCTTTTTCTCGTAATTGTCGCCGACGATCATCTTCTGGAAGTGGATTAAGATTAGTTGGTGTCACTTCAAGAGTCATTTTTTTCTTTCTGGTTTCCTCGATTAACTGTCGAGCCTTTTCGTGAAGTTTATCTCGTCGATCAGGACTTGTGATCTAAAATATAGCAAAAGAGAATTGAAGATTATTAAATCGCTGTGTTTTTCGTAGGCCAGACTTTTGTTTGTTCGGTAGTAAAATTTACTTTTCGACTAGTGTCAAGTCGCAGGGAACGATATGCAGGCGCTGTTCGAGCACGTTGAAAGGGTGAGACCTTTTTGGGTGAGACATCCAATAGACCGGGAGCAAGTTCAATAATTGTGGGCTTGATAATTGGTTGTGATTGTGGTGGTAATGGTTTGGATTGGGGTTGTGTTTGAGTTTGTGGTGGTTGATTACAGGAAATTGATATGTTATCGGTTAGATTGTTTGAATATGATGAAGATGAAGTAGACATTGATGGTGTCGTTGATGAAGATGAGGTTGTTGCTGAGGACGGATTAGAATCGGGTGAGGTGGGTGAGGATAAATTCATTCCTATGAGCGGGTCAGAATCTTCCGCTGTGGCGAGATCCAAGATATCGGTGATGGTTGAACCATTGGTGGGAACCTGGGAAGTTGATGCCCTCCTTTGAGCTAAAAAGAGATCAGGAAAGCAAAAAAAAAGAAAACAGAAATTAGATATTAACCATGATAATTAGTTGATTCTCTTCCGTTATTATTATTTTTATCTTTCCGTTTTAATTGCTTACAAATTTTTCCTTTTGGTGTTTTATCTTCATCACTATCAGAATCAAATGGATCCATTAATTGTTTACGGGTCATTAAGGGTTTCTTTTCTTTCTGGACAGTTTTACTTGATTGTTGAGTATTTGTTGATTGGGTGCATGTTGTTATTACTGATGAAGATGATGATGATGATTCTAATGGTTGTGAATTAAAGTCTACCGACCGTAACGATTGTGAGAGTACACTTTCTTTTCCTCTTTCATTTGAACCAGGTAAATTGAGTCCATTGAACTGTTCACCTGGTTTGGAATTGATTGTTGGCTTGGATGTTGATGATGATGATTTCGATAATTTAGTTGATCGTAAATTGGAATTTGTCGGTTGATTATTTGGATTAACATTATAATCGGTATCCAATAGAAATGGACTCGCATAAGACATTATTGATTCAAGATTATCAACTTTTTTACTCGGCCAATCAGCTAATTTTTGGTCTAATGCAATTGAAAATAGTGAATTATTTTCATCATCACTGTCAAAATCGTCAAACATATCATCACAATCCCATTCAAGACCTTTACTTTTCCTTTCTTTTCTATTAAAATAACCACGAATTTGATGTAAAACTGTCATGACGGTTAATTTATCGGGAACATCGAGAATCATCAAATCACCTGAGCTCATGATACTTGGAATTCCCAGTTTTCTAATGGCATCAAAAGCACATTTAAAATTAACTTTACTCTCTTCTGGGTTAAGCTTATAATAGTCAATCAGGTCAGGACGAAAATGGTGAATTAGGGCACAAAAGGCCATTCCATTTTTCCATGATGTTGTTAAATCGTTAACGTCTAATCCATAAATTTCATTGGTTATCTTTTTACACCATGAAAGTAAATCTTCTGATGCTGGTGTTTCCTCTCGGTGAAAGTCTGAGTTCATTTTATTTTCTCTCATGTTTCTCGTTCTCAGTTCAATAATCGATTGTCAATTTTTTCCTAAATGATAAAAGAAGAAAGAAAAAAATAAATCAACAATCAATTTAATCAATACCAATAAGGGAAACCATAACGATGAGCACATTTAAATTGCACAAATGAAAAAAAAACATAGTTAATCATTTGGATCAACAAACTATCAGAAGGAGATTATTACAAATCAACATCCATACAATCCAGTATGTGACAGTTACAACAAAATAAATGTTAAATTTCACATTAAGAAACAAATTAAACAATTAGAATTAACAAAATGTAAATAATCAATTGAAATGAATGATTATTAATCAATACAAAAATTTTATTCACTTACCTTGGTAACATTTAAATCACTTTAATCAATTTGATTTGATTATCTTAATATTTTCATTCAAATGGAAACTTGTATCTATGGTGAATCGAATTTATTATTAACAATTAAGTAAAATTAAACATTTTTTCAAATGGATTAACAGTTAACTGATCACATCGAATGAGAATTAAATTTAAAAGGTAACAACAATTAACCAAAAACCAGAAAAGAGAAAAAAATTTGTTTACATTTTTAGTTGGAAAAAAATCTCATAGATGGCGACACATTTGTCTCATGTTCTTTTTTTGGTTTTATGTTTTGTCTTGAAAAATGATTGAGATTTAATTTTGTTTTGATTTGATTGTTAGATTAATTTGCTATTGTTAATTGTTAATTTTTCGTCTTTAATGGTACCACAATTAAGGTGATTAAAGGTAAGTCTTTGGAATTGTTAAATGTTATTGGTTCAATTATTCTCTTAGGTGAATAATATTCTCACTTGGAAATTTCCATTTTCTTTATTTTTTGTTTCTCTTTTGATTTTGTGTTTTTCGTTTTTCTTTTTGGTTTTGGTTTTGGTTTTAATTGTTGTGATTAATTTTTGCTCTTTTGTTTTGTTTCCATTTTTTTTGTTATAGAAACGTTTAGTTTGCTATTTAATAAAGGATGGGAGATACAAGTGGAAATAGTATTGGTGGTAAATCATCTCTGGACATTCCTATTTTTACGGAGGAGTTTTTACATCATAATAAACTTCGAGAAGCTGAATTGAGACAATTAAGAAAGATTAGTACCGAATATGAAGAGCAAAATGCTATACTTTCTAAACATTTAGAAAATTTAAAGGCTGCAGTTGATAAATTGGAACTTGAATCGGTACAACGAAATGCAACGAATAGAAATTTAGAAGAACATCTTAGAAAGATAACATCTCTGGTTCTCTCACAATTTGCCAATATTCCAATTCCAGGGACAACAGAGACGGTTAATCCTGATAATGTAGAACAATATTTACAAAAATTGGTTGATAAAGTTACAAGAGAAAAGTGTCTCAATACCAAGGAATGTGATATCATCGCTGAGAAAGTTAGCAAAATTATCGCTCAAATGGATTGAACCAAAAGAAAAACAAACAAAAGTGACACACGCAAAATTAAAGCTTTTAAAAAGCTAATCATCAATTGACCTCAAAAAACAAAACAAAACAAATATTATATTCGTTAAATCATCTTTTCTTTTCATTGAATTAGATTTGATTTGTTGATTTTCTCGTTTCCAAAGTGTTGTAATTGAGTAGGAAATTTCTCTCGATCTTGGTGGATTCTGATCACTAATTGCTACTGGAAATTTCAAATTGCAACTTTTTCCATTCACCCTGATCATTCATCTTCTTCTTTACTTCACCATGAAAGTAAAACCTGATGTTTTCCCTCAATGAATTGATTCATTTTTCTCATTCACTAACTCAATCAATTTCAACATTACAATTGGCTCACATAATAGAAAGATAAAAGAATTAGAATTTAACTTACATCTAAAGAAATTCTATAATTACAATGTAAGAATATCCCATTTAAGCTCAATCATAAAATAATATGATGTTACAATCAATTTTTCTCCATAAAATAACTACAATTAAAATGCGAAATTAAAAACAAAAAATCAATTCAATCATTCGAATTGCTAAAAACTCTATCCAGATGGCGACACATTTGATGGAAAAATGTTTTCTCTTTAATTGGAAAATTTTTGTTTAATTGTTTACATTTGATTCTCTTAATTACTCATTAATTTTTAGACATTAATCTAATTTAATTGTTGATATATTTTGTTCCTATTAACTCTCTGTTTGTTTATTGTTCTTCGAACAGAAGAAATTGTTTGTTCTTTCCTCTTTTTCGCTTTTTTGTTTTGTTGTTTCTCCACGTGTTTGTTTACCCATTTGGAAAATGGTTGCATCCAAAAAGACGAAATTTGGTAAAAATCGGCGAAAAGGTTGGAGAAAAGTTAACATCGAAGAGGTTGATCAGTACCTTGATGATGTTCGACGAAAAGAAAGAATCGGGTATGTGTCTGTGGTGTTAGAATTTCGGTGCTAAATGTATTAGATTTAAATTAACATTAACACGTTTTCTCTTATTTTATTTTTTTCTTCTCTCTCTTTCTCTTCCATAGGCAACCATTAGATAAGCCGGATTTTACTATTGACAAGAAAGCAAGTGAACATGTTATTCCATCGAAATTGAGTAAATTGAAGAAAACGAAGAAACTGTTAACTACTAAAGATTTGTCGAAAAATATTCTTGCCTACAAATCTCTGATGCATGAATCTGCTGTTCCTCCGATGGTTGTGTTTCCAAAAACTGAGCCTAAAGCAGTAAAGATTAAACCTAAAGAATATGGTAAACGTAAAAAAAAGAAGCCAGAAAATTGGAGAGACAATCGAGTTTATGATCTCTGGAAATCTGATTCAAAGCCTTCTCACCCTGCGAAAACTAGTAGATTGAAACGACCCTCAATTTTACCAGCAATCGATGAACCTCACCCGGGAATGTCTATTAATCCAACACTCGAAGATCATCAAGAATTAATGAAAAAAGCAGTTGATGTTGAATTGGCAAAGATTAAGAAAGAAAAAACTCTCGATCGGATACTTGGTAAAAAGCCGAAAAAAACTGAAACTGAAATGATGAAAATTTGGTTAGAGGAAATGTCAGGAGGAATTCCTGGTGCTAAATTTGCACCTCAAGAAAGCGACGAAGAGCAAGTTCAAAATGATCCAGAGGAAGAAGGTGGAATAGGACCAATAAAGAAAATTGTTCGAGCTGAAGATCGAAAGCCAAAAGCAAAGAGACGAAGAGAAATGTTAGCCAAACAAAGAGAATTAGAGTCTAAAAAGAAGAAAGAAGAAAAAAGAAGAGCAAGTCAAATATTCCAACTTAAAAGAATTAAGAAAGATATCGCCGCTGATGAAGAAAAGGCCAAAAAACAGCAAGAAAATTTAAAGAAAAAATTTGCCGCTGTGGTTACAAGACCAGCGCGTTTGGGTCCCCACAAGTATGAAGAACCCGATATTCCAGTTAACCTTCCAGAGGAATTGGCAGCTCGTTTACGTTCAGTGCAAACGGAAGGTGATCTATTTACCGATAGAATTAAATCTCTTCAAAAGAGAAACCTAATTGAACCTCGAAAATTAATAATGAAGGTAAAAGGTAAAAACTTCAAATGGTCAGAGAAACGGGATTGTCGTGAGCCCGATAAATTTGCCCATGTCGGTAAAAAGTAAACTTGTTTTATTTTTCTCTTTATTGGTTTAATTGTAAAAATGGAAAAAAAATTCTCTTTTCTCTTAATAATAACAATATATTCGTACATGTATATTTATATAATATTTAATTGTAACACAATTTATGCTTCAGACATTTGAGTTGCTGATGATTCTGTTGATGTTTCATTTTTTATGGTTCGATGTTTTGAAATTTCAATACTTGGATCGGGAAGATTGTTTCTTGGTTTACCTGAAGCGAACAATTTACCAACCAAATTGGAGAAAGGACTTTCAACCAGAATTCGTGATATAAAGGAGATGAAATAAATTAGGAAGAAATAAGGAAATTGATCAAGAAACATGAATTTAAAGACCGATGTTTCCATTGGAACTGTTGAGATACCATTTCGAAATCTGAAAAAGATTATGTTCAAACAAAGGATTGAAAGACTCATTCGAGAAGCGATTAAAAGAACTCGAGAAGCGAGTATTCGACCGATGATATTGTATGCGTGACCTTCTCGAATTGTGTAGATCAACCAAGCGACCATTGCGCTCCACAAGCTTTTCGAGATACTTCCATAGACAAGCGATGACCACCAGAAAATTTTCGAATCATAATCGTTGTAATTGAAAAAGAAAAGGTGAACAATCCAACCGATTGACCAAAGACCCCAACCAATGTTAACCTTGACCTGAAAGCGAAAGACAATACGAGTTAATTGTTTATTCAAATTTGGGAATAAATTGTTACCTGTGATAACTTTTTCCCTGTTTCTTTCAAGTAAAATCCAAGAAGTACTCCAATGAAATATGGAGCCATGTGAGCGATTGGTTTCAAATGGAAACGGAAATTGTACAAAATTGAATCTTCATTGAGAAAATCACTGATTCGCCAAAAGTGTCGCAGGTCAAAAATGTAAAGACTAAAGCCCGAGAATGCGATACCAAGGATTATCAAAAGCCAAGTACAGAAAAGTGCTTGACGACGATGACCAACTGAGATTGGAATCCAAACAATGACCAAAAAGAGCGTGCAAATTAAATCAACGGTCAGATACCAATCAGTGACTAAACATCCATGTGATCCAGCGGGTTCGGGTTTCCAATCTAACCACATTTGAATGAGAAGGACATTTGGAAGCCAATTGTTGACACATTTATCCATATTGGTCGCTCTTGGATGGAACCAATTTGGTCCACCAAGTTGATTTTTTACCGCTTCATTCATAAGCAGAAAAGCCCAAGAAATGGCCCAAATGATTGATGGTAAAAATCTTAAATATCGACCCAATAGAACGGCAAACATTGTCACCCGTTTCCTTTTCTGAATAAAAAGTGACATACTCAGTCCGGTTACCATGAAAAAAGTGTCTACCGCCAGCGGGAAAAAGTAAGCGGGCATAAAGCCAAGACTGGGAAGAATTGTAATCGACTGGAACAATCGAGCTGTATTAACATCAACCGTAGCCAATAGTGCATGAGAAATAACAATCATAAACATGGAAATGGCCTTAATCCCGTGGAGACAAGATAATGAATTAACCGAATCACTTTCACCCGATTTGGCGATAAGTTTATCATAATTGACGGAAACATTAAAATCGGATAAAAATGAAAGACTGGTCAGTGTACCAAGTAAATTGAGTATAACAACTGTCACAACGATAAATAGTCCCACGTAAACGTGAATTGGTAAATTTGGTGGATCATTTTTAACATCACAATATTGAACATCAATCGTTAATCCAGTTTGATGATAATCTGCCAATGAATTTGTTACTCTTTCAACTTCACCCGATAAACAACCTCGAGGTAAACATAATCCATAAGTGTAATTGACGATATGATGAAAGTGTAAATAGTCAACTACATACTCTTTAAACGGGTCAGTAGTGAAATTAATCTGATGGTCATCCAATTTTCTTAAATGACCTTCGTACTTGCGTGATTTTGGTACACCCAAACTCATCGATAAAAGACAATATTGACTTGTGTCCATCGAAAGACATTGTTCATAAGACCCATAGGAGAAAAACGATCCGCTCATCAGAGCGACAGGTCGAGTTCCCGTTGAATCCAATCCTCAACGAAAGAAAAGAAAAGTTAATTTCTAACAATTTAATGTTCGATTTTATTTTCTTAATTGTTCATTTCTATTCGCTCTTCAATTTACTCAATCTATTAATCTGATTTAATGTTCATCTCTTAATCTTGTTACACTTTGTTGTTGTTTTTTTTCCTTGTTTTAATTGACTTGATTTGATTAATCGGTTAAAATTGAACAGTTTTAAAAATCCTTTCATTGAGACGATAATTAGTTAATTGTAATTGATTTAATTAGCAAAAGGCCCCAAAACTTTTGCTCTCCCTATCATTCATAATCATCTTTAACTAATCAGGTTTTAATGACCTTTATCCGATTTTAATTATCAGATGATCTTGAAAATGAAAATTTAAGTTAATCTGATTTTCCCGATTAATAATCAAGTCTGAGACGCCATTTAAATTGATTGTAAATGATTAACTAATTCTATGTTCTTAATCAATTGTAATAACTAATTGGAGCAATTAACGGATAATTTTGATAATTGTTACTTACTTTGTAAAGCTTGGGTTTTAAATTGTTTCAAATCATCAATATATCCAGTAATTGATGATGAACATTGATTAGTAACATTTGTAGCAATTAAAATAAAATTAAGTGGCTTGTCAATTGTTGAAACTAAATTGGTTATCCAATGGTGAGAAAATTTTTCAAACATTAACCAAGAATCAATATAATCAGTGTTTGATTGATTATTCAATTGACTATCAATTGTATTGTTTGTAATTAAATCATTTCCATTGACCAATAAAGGACAATAACAGTTAATTGTGAACAGTGAACAAAATAACAACACAATTAGATTCATAATTGAGCAAACAATTAGGAAAATAATTTAACGTGAAAAACAAAAATAATAACAAATCGTTTAATTTAATTGCACAAGAAACAATTTGATTCACAAAATATAAAACATTTTGATTGTCAACAATTTATAATCGTTGATTAAGTGATTGAAAAACTATTGAGATTATGGTGAAAATGAATAGTAAAGTAAAACACATAAGAAAGTTAATTGTTGATCGATTGAGAGTTAAATTGTTAATGGACAAGGATGTTTGATTGCGAATTAAATTCTATCATCAACCCTGATTATCGTGATTTAAATCCTTCGACAATTTCCCTTGATTATTATATAAATTTACCTTCATTATTATTATTTAATCAACATCTTATTTAATAGTTTCAATTCAAGTGGTTAAAAGGTAAAAAAATTTAAATTTAACTCTTGTAAAGTTAATTTAGTTTGCTATTTTCTTGATTACTGATTGTTCAAGGTTAAATTGTTAGCATAAAATTAAGTATAGTGAAAATGATTAACTGGTAAATTAAAGGCTCTTTCTTAGTTTTTTTCTTAATTCTTACAATTAACCATTAAGTTCATCAAATTACATATTTGAGAAACTTATTATTGATGGTTGAAGATGCAATTGTTTTGCTTGATAATTCAATTGATTCATCAAAATTAATTGTTGTTGTTTCGGTAGAGTAACAATTAAGCTTATCACTTCAAGTTGATCATTTAGATTCTTATTGTTGTATCAATCCTTTTAAATAATATATATATAAAATTAGTTTTATAATTAAACTGTAGTTGGTTTGTTATGATTAATTAATCGATTTTCAAATCAATAATTATACAAAAAGTTACGTTTCTGATGTTTGTATATTTCTTTCTGGAATTATTGTTGATTAATTAATAACTGATAATTAATATCAACCGTCGAGATGATTATACAATAATCAGTGATAATGGTTGATTGGTCAAGGTGGAATAATGGATGTTGACTTTTTCCCCGGTTCTTAATTGCGATTAAAGATTACTTCGTTTTCCTTTAATCAGTAATCCTTGATTCCTCCAGTAATCCTATTAATAGAAACAAGAAATTAAAATATATATATTATCACAATTTAAGAGGAATAAAGAGAAACAAGAAATCATGATCATCGAGAAGTCAAAGGTTATTTCATGAAATAACGGAAAGATGATCATGTTTAATGATGAATAAAATAGATTAATAAATTAGTTGAGAGATTAAGATTCAAGTTTAAATCAAGTTGATGATCTATCATCACTTTTAGGGGATCAATTGATAATCAAGAGAAAGAAACTATTAACTGTTGATAATTTCTAAATCATCTTCTCGATGAACCTCAGATCTTTGACCTTGAAATTATTTAATTATCTATTACCTTGTTAAGGTTATAATCAGAAATTGAATTGACCAGGTAAGGTGGAATCTCATCTTGGTAAGTTGATCCTGAAGATGTTTCAATATAATCACAATCTGATGAAGCATAACGACATGAGATGGCAATTAATCTTCCTTGTGAAGATTGTGTTGATTGTTGAGAGTTAATTTTAATTGTGTAGGCCAAAAGTGGATGATAAAATAGAGCATCTCCCGGTTTCAATTGAACTTTTCGAACTCCTTTACTGGAAGGTTCATCGCGAATTCGTTTAACTTCAGGGATTCTCTCGTAAAACATTCGCACCTTATTACCCTCATCGTCGGAATAAATTGTCTCCAAGTAACCAGTTCGATGACTTCCTGGTATAATCATGTAATCAACTTGACCATTTGATGATGAATCGCTGGTCAGCTCAATTCCACAGGGTTCCAAGGCTACCCAAACACTGACAATCCTATCAGCTGGTCTAAAAGGTAAACAGTGGAGATCACGTTGGAAACCATTTAATTGTAATTCGGAAAACATATAATCATAAATAGGGGAACAAGTCATTGCCATTATATTGTAACCACAGAAAGATCCAGCATAACGTACAATCTAATGAGAGAAAAATATAAAACAATTAGAAATCAAAGGTAATCAGTATATTGATTTAGATACGAATTAGTTATCGACAGGTACAATTAGAATTTGTGTCTCAATCAATTGGTGTATCGACAATTAAATAGTCAAATAAATACTAATAACTTGATTATATTAATCATTCATATGATAATTGTACTTAATCAAAATATTGACAGTAATTTGATTTTGTTAAAGAAGCAAAAAAATTGTTCTGATTTTATTTAAATTGATCCAATTGTTAAATGAGTATAATTAATAACAATTGGAACCAATCAGGCAAAAAATGAACGAAATAAACTAATCCAATTTGACTAAACAATTACAATGAATTCTAACAAAATCAAGCCAATTGAAAATGAAACAATTTAACAATAGTAACAATCAATAAGAATCGGTGAGTTTTGTTAATTGTAACAATTGTGTACAGAAATAACAAATATTCAATTGAGTGTTTGAATAAATGTCAAGACTAAATTGTAAACAATAATAATAAATATTCAATTGATTCACTTGAGACAATTGATTAACAATTTACTGGATCTGTTTCTTTATGATTTCCTCTTGTATTGAAGGTTAGAAGAAGAAAATTAAGTTAATTGTTGAAACAATTTAAAATTGAATTCGTTCCAAACCAACTGATAAGATTGAATTAGAAGCTATTAACTGTATATAAAAATAAAGGATGATGAGGAAGAGAAAAGAGAAACATTAATGATGATTAAAGATGAGAATATTCATCAAATCAAAGAATTAGATGATTAAAATAATTATTAGTTTATATTCGTTAACTATCAGCATTTTAATGGTGAATATAAGATCGTCTCAATAAGAGAGTAACACAATCGATTGGATACTCGATCGAGCGATAACTTTACTCGGAGAATTCCCTGATTGCCCTGATTATCATCTAATTTCACCCTCTTTTTGTTCAGACTATCGTTTACTGGGTGAACCTATTCAAGCAAATCGATAAAATAACAACAAATCTAACAGGTTACAAGTGATTAACAAATTACAGAAAATTTTCAAAAAAACTTATCAAATCGGAAAATCGTAAAATCAAAATTTAAAAATAAATCGTTGATTCTAATGATAAAAAGTATAATTAGAACCAGAGATGAAAATTTTCCACAAGGATAATTTACTTTTCTATGTAATTATAAACTGATACTCGTATTAATTTGGATTAAAGGGAGATATTGAAAGTTAATTAAGAAATTAAAGGTTGATTAGTAGCTACCGTTAGTTTAGATTCTCGGCCGATTCTCGATTTGATTTATATTTTAAGTTTTTGGAAAATATTGTGATAATTAACATGAGGAAACATTGGAACATGTTAGAGTTGTTCAACTTGTTCCACAAATGGAATTTCTTTCAAGGAGAAAATCGACAATTAATTAATTTTGAAGAAATTCCCTCGAATAAGAGAGAGAGAGAGAGAGAGAGAAATTAAATTGAACTGTTTTCTAAATTTAAATTTCTATCACTTTTGATTGTTGTTGCTTTTTGGGTGTCGATTCTTACCCGTGGATAGTTGATCAGATTTCTCAATGTGTCGTTAGTTATTGCTGAATTAATTGGTTGGTCAGTTGATGCTAATCTAGATCCATCTTTTAGATTATCTCGAATTTTGTTAATCCCATTTGTCGGGATTAAACTTTTAACAATTAGAAAACCATTGTCTTCATAAAAGTCTCTCTCCTTGACAGTTAACATGTAATAACTTCCTGGTCGAGGTTCAGCTGTATATCGATACTTTTTCGGCCAATAAACCTTTGGGTCAATCTATCAGGAAAAAGAAAAGAAAAAGAAAACAATTGATTAGCATAAATGGTTCTCTTTTAAATTTGATTGTTGTTATTGTTGTTGTTTTTTCGGTATTATAGTTGTTTGAGATTAAGAGACAAGGTCAAATTACAGAAATGAAAATGGTCACAATCTCGAAATCTTAATAATAATAAATGAAAAGTTCAACTTAATTAGAAACAGACCGAACTGACCACTACTTATGATGATGACCTTCCAAGTAGACAAGTTATTGTGATAAGACAGACATAAGAAGGAAAAGTAATGATGAATTGAAAAGAAATTGAAAAGTGTTGATTAGTAGACATAATAATGACAATTCGGTTGATTGTAATTAGTTAAATGGCAAGGTAATAACGAAACTCATTATAAGGAACCAAAAAACTTGATTGTTTCAAGAGGGAAAATGAGTAAAATCAAGTAACGATGATTTCAACTATCAAATTAACAATTAAAGTTGTTTCCTGGATGCGAAAAGTTACTCACAAAGTGTCATAAACACTAATAAACAATTAGAAAATTATCAAAGAAATTTAATTCCCTGGAAATTGGAGGTTAACAGTTAAGACAATTAGACTAACCTGTAGGACGTCCAACCAATTGGCTGGTTTTTTCTTTTTCTTTGTTTCCTCTTGATTGTTGGCCATTTTTTCACCAGAAACATCAGTTGATGAAGATGGAATAGAAATTGAAGATTTATCATATCCGAATCTCGATTCATCAGAACCATTATTAGAAACAATAACTCGAGCTCTTTCAGTAATAGTAACGGAAGAAGATGATGAAGATCCGCCGTTAGCAACAGTTGAATCTTCTTGGCTTTTGTCGTTTGATTGGATGGTGGACATTTTGTGAACAATTGGAAATCGAAAACGAGACGAGAATCGAACACAAACAATAAGGTAACTAATAAAGAAGCAAAAAAATTAAGAGAAGAAACAAAAAGAAAAGATTAAACTTGATCAACAATTTAAGATGAAATGACTCGTTCAATTGAGATGTTGTTCCAACAACAGGTTGTTGATGATTCTCATCTTGTTTCTTTTTTTTCTGCTGGAAAAGTCTCACTATTTTCTAACAGAAATTTTCTCTTCTCTTCTATTCTAAATAGTAGATAGAATCCCGTTAAATTGGACGCCATTTTGGTAAAAATTAAACACCAAATCTAATTAGAGATGATTTTAATTTAATTAGATAAAAACAATTGGAAAAATTTTCCACCGAAAATTAGAATTACCAACAAGTCGCCATCTATTGGTATTAATGCCAATCGAAATTCTTTTTCGCGGTTGAAAGAAACGCCATCTGGTTGTGTGTTATGTAGATAAAGTTAATCAAAGGATTAATGAGTCAATTGGTCAAATTATTTTCTTTGTTTTTTTTAATTAATTAATTGTTTCTAATTCTCTTGTCAATTGTTTTAATTGTAATTCATTCTCATGTCGCAATCAAGTGAGAAGAACAATCCGTTGTTCGCGAGTCTTAAAAAGAATCGATCGGTAATTCAGGTAATTGTTTGACTTTTTAATTGGCGTTTTAATTGATTCTCTTTGTTTAATGTTCTCTCTTTGGTTTTTTTGTTCTATTCTTTTTTTGGTTTTGTTTGTTCTTCTTTTTATAGTCTGCCATTGATGATTGGATTGAAAGCTATCGACAGGATAGAGATGTTGGTATTTTAGAGTTGTTACAGTTTTTTGTTCTCTCGTCGGGTTGTTCAAGTAAAATTAGTTGTGAGATGAGAGAGACTCTTGATTTTACTAAAATTGTTAGAAAATTGGTTGAAGAATTTGATGATCAAGCTGGTGGAGATTATCCAATCATTACTGCTGGTGTTCAATGGAAAAAATTTCGATCCAATTTTTGTGAATTTATTCATATTCTTATTCGACAATGTCAACATAGTATAATCTATGATCAATATTTTATGGAGAATATGATTTCATTCTTGATTACATTATCTGATTCTCAAGTTCGTGCTTTTCGCCATACAGCAACTTTAGCAGCAGTTACACTTATGACTTCCCTTGTTGATGTTGCTCTTACTTTGAGTATTAACATTGATAATAATCAGCGTCAATATGATAAGGCTCGTTCAGAAAAGTCGAGAGGAGATAAATTAAATGTTCTAAGTGCCAAGCGAACAGAACTGGATGAGAATATGAAAGATATAAAAACAATCCTTGGATATTTGTTTAAATCAATTTTTGTCCACCGATACAAAGATGTTGTCCCAGAGATTCGTTCACTTTGTATGAATGAAATCGGTATTTGGATGAAAAAATTTCCAAACTATTTTCTTGATGATCCACATTTAAAGTATGTTGGTTGGACCATTTATGACAAAGAAAGTGAAGTTCGTCTAAGATGTTTACAAGCACTTCTTCCTCTTTATGAAACGGAAGAAATTCTCCAAAGGATGGAACTTTTTACCAACAAATATAAAGATAGATTCATTTCCATGACCATGGATAAAGATAGTGAAGTAGCCGTTCACGCGATTAAATTGATGCTCAAAATTCTTAAACATTATGGTGACATTTTATCAAATGTAGACTGTGAAAAAATCTACATGTTAATTTTCACAACACATCGAAATGTTGCTCAAGCTGCTGGTGAATTTCTGATTACAAAACTATTCAAGATTGATGGTGAAATGGATGATAATTTATGCTCTCGAAGAGGCAAAAAACTTTCCCCTTACACATCACAATTAAAAGATTTGATCTCTTTCTTCATTGAGTGTGACACTCATGAACATTGTGCTTATCTGGTTGACAGTTTAATCGATAGTCACCCAATGATTAAAGATTGGGAATGTATGACGGATCTTCTTCTAGAGGAATCAAATTCACCAGAAGACAATCTTGGAGAGAAACAAGAATCTGTACTAATTGACTTGATGTCTTGTGCTGTTAAACAAATATCCACTGGTGAACCTCCTATTGATCGTAATATTAGAAGATCAAAAATTTCGGCTAAAGATTTGGCTAATTTAAATGAAGAGAAGGAGAAAATTTCTCTACACTTTTCTTCCGTTATTCCTGATCTTTTGAGAAAATACAAAACGGACACACAAAAAGTCATCGATCTACTGGAAATACCGTTACATTTTCTCAAAAATACTTATTCACAAAATTCTGACGATATGGAAAACCTATTGACCGTTATCTCTGAACTAATCGAGATTCATTCGGAGACCGAAGTTATCGAAAGTTGTGCTCGTATCTATGAATTTATGCAAGACGAAAATTTTACTCACTATCGATTGGTTCGAGTTGAAGTGAGCACACTTTTGGATAAACTGTTACAAAAGTATAAGGAATCACTTACTGGCCTTTGCGAAGGATCTGATGATAAATTGGAGACAATTAGTTTTGTGACAAAGAAAATTGCACCAATCGTTTCGTGTTGTCATCAAATGGATACTATTGAAATTTGGAATATTTTCTTTGAAAATTGGATCAAAGATTTTCAACCATCAGATGAATCCAATAAGTTCGCAGACGAAGCAACAAAAACGCTTTCACTATTTGTTTCTATATTCTAATTTGGAGAGTTCATTTCGCCACCAATAATGATAATCACGATTTAGATTTAAAACTAGAAAAGTTTAAGTTGGTTGAATTTATCAATGAAGCTTTTACTTTGTTGGACCAATGTAATCAACAGTTGGCTGAAGAGGTGATCCAGTGAAGAATCAATTTCTATTCTTGTATAATTGCTAATTTCATTTTCTTTTTCTTTTCAGATCTACTTCATTCTATGTGATGTCTTTATCATTTTCAGTCCTCATCTAGCTCATGATTCACCTCAATTATCTGATCTCATTTGTCAACCCAATAAATCACAAACGGAAAGACTGATCGCTTTCATAGAATCAAATGTTTTCATACTAGATGATCAAAGTACAGGTAAATTGTGACTCTTGTCTTACCCATTTAACTTTAAACTAATATTGTTCTTTTCTTTTTCCTCATGATAATATTTCAGATGAACCAGAAGTTCAGGATTCAGTTGAGAAACTTTACAATAAAAGGCATTTGTTGGCCGCTTTTTGTAAACTAATCATTTACAATGTTGTTCCAATGAGATATAGTAACTGTATTCTTCGGCATTATGTTGATGTAAGATTCTAATTGTACAGTAATTATTCAATCATTCTAATTGTGTTTTTTGTCTGTTTACAGTTTTTCAATGATTTTGGTGACATAATCAAAACAACTCTTGGCAAATTACGAGAAATGAATAAGGTTATTTGTGCTAAAACTATGGCCAGCACTTTAATCCAAATGTTCAAAGAAATACAAAGTGAATCAGATGAGAATCCAAGTGCTTTTACCAAACAAAATGAAGACTTTTTGGCTCTCAAAGAATTGGCTAAAAGATTTGCTCTATCATTTGGTTTGGACAATCAAAAGAACCGAGATGCAATTGCGTCTTTACATCGAGATGGAATTCACTTTAGTTTTGAAGAGATGGATAATCCGATTGATCCTTTGGGTCCTCCACCGAATTTACCTTTCCTTGAGATTCTGGTTGAATTTTCAAATAAAATCTTTAAACAAGATAAAAAGACGGTGTAAGTATTTATATCTGTTCTGAAATAATTTATTCTGTTAATTTAATTTTAAATTTCCAACTTATATTTACTTTCAGCTTAACTTATTTGGAAAAATGTGTCAAAAATGCTGGTGTTGATTTCGATGAATGGCAACCATTGGTTCTTTATCGGAATAGTTTATCTCAAGTTAACGAATTTGACATTTCCCTCAATCGATCTAAAAGAGTCACAAGAAAACGAGCCCTCAACGCGGACGATGATGAATCCATGTACGAAACACCAGTCAAAAGAGTTCGAAAACGCTACGTTTCATTCAGTGTTTCAAACATCGAAGATTCAACAACATCAATGGATTAAAACGGGTGAGACAAAACAATTATTCACCAATCAAAGTTTTTCTTTCATTTTATTCAATTATATCTTTCATACCAATTCCTTCAATTATAAATCAACCAATTTCTTTCAATTTATTTGCTAATCAAAATTCAATTTTAAACAAACAAATATGTGTAATCACAAATTAAATTGAAAACTGTTAATCAATTAAACCATATTCAATATGAATAAAAGCTTAAACTCCGGTTAATTGCGACGAAAAAAACTCATACGCCACAACTAAATTGCCGTTCGATTCTGTTGATAGAAAACTTGATAAAGTTCGTTATCAACACAGACTAATCGTGAACTTTGCCTGAGGCGATATTCGAATCTAATCTGATGAACAATTAAGAACTTCTTTTGACCATGAAAGTTTTTTTTCAGTCTAAAGAAAGAGAATGAGTTTTTTTTGTTTCTAACATAAATTGTGTAGATAAATCAACTAACCAGTCAATCTAATTATTATTAAATTAAAACAAGTTTAAGAATCATGATGATGTGATTTTTATTATTTTGGTATTAACATGAAAACGAGTATTTAATCAACAGGTTCGGGCATTGGCTCAATACCTTCACTTTCAAAGATTGACTTGAATGTTTTATAAATTGATCGATATTGTTGATTGGTCCAACCGATTTGTTTGGCAAATTCGAGGAAATTAGGACAACCATTAGGAACTACACCCGATCCTTTCCAAGGTTTTTTACAAGTTCCACCCAAACAATCAGGAATCTTGTCGGAGTCAATGTATTTAGTTAAATCTTCGGGTTTAACAAAGGTCAATGTGTTACGTCCCGAAGAGGGAATTAAGTTAATCACCAGAGATGAGATCATCTGAAGTACTGAGGGAATGTTACAAACAAGAAATTGTTGAACGAAAAGCGGAAAATGATTAACTATCGTTGTGATTATGATCCTCATAATTTCCAGGTCAACATGGGCAAGGGATAAATTTTTAAAGTCGATTACACAAGTGACTCCATTTTTCGAGGCCTTTTCAACCTGGCAGCCGATTGTTACTCCATATTGAACCAAAACTGGCCTTAAATCTTTTGAACGACGGAAAAGGTTGGCACGAACATATAAAACCTCCCGACCCTGTTTATCGTGCTCGTAGACGAAAAAAGCACCCAAACGATAGATTTCACATGGAAACGATCGTAGATCAAGTTGATTAACACCATAAGATTTACGCCATTTAAGTGAATCAATTAACATGTTGGTCGCTGATTTTACATTTTTACTTTGGGACAAAAGGAAACGCTTAATGTACCAATCATCGGTTTTTACACGTTCGATGTCAATTGGGTCAAAAGTTTCGGGTTCCGATGAGTAAATTTCCATGACAGTTGAACGAATCTTGTCAACCAATGGTTTCGATTTGTTGGTTCTACTTTTACCCTGATCGGTTGATGAATATGATGAATTAATTGTTGTCGATTGAACTTCAACTGAAGACATGATTAACTTTGACTGAGATGGTTGGAAAATCAAATTGAAAACTCACAATAATAATAAATTATATTCACCAAATTAGGTTTCTTATTATTCAATTACTATTGAACTTGAAAGCTTATGATGATAATGATGATGATGTGATCTGATTGTGAATCAAATTAACACTGAATCAATTTCAATGCTGACAACATCATCTTTATACTTTTAAATTGTTGTTCTCAACAATCAACTCAACTTGTAAACGGGAAAATTTCAACAGTCAATTTATCCTGATTATCATCATTTCTCCTCCTTCTTTCCTCATCTTCCTCTTTTCTTCCTCCTCTCTTGTTTTTTTCCTGCATCATCAACATCATCATCACGATTTAATTATCTAATCACCAATGGTCATCTAAGGTGGTCATTGATTCTTGACCAACAATCTAAATTTTCCAGAACTTTCAATTTTCCAGTCAATCCTTTACTTCATTAAAGATTCACTTGTGCTTTTTTTTGCATCCTAATTGTGACAGTTAATTGTTGGTTTTCCTAACTAATTGTCAATTGTTCACAATCAACTATGTCTAATTTGATTCTCCATCATTAATCAACTTGTTGGTTACCGATTCTTTAACTTTAATTGCCTCAGGGTGGGTGAAGCTCCCATTGAATTGATCGGGAGAAATAAAAAATTACCTAATTGCTCAAGGTTAATTTAGTTGTGCGTTGTTATCACTTAATTGTCTAACTTGTTGAACAATTAATTGTGTACAAAAAAACAACAATTTAATTAGTTGATAACACAAAAAAGTAGTAACATTTTTCATTAACAAACAATTTATTAATTGTTGTTGTTTTTGTGAGTTTTAATTACTGGAAACTTTCATTATCACTTTTGAATTGATTTAATTTAATCAAAGAAAAGAGGTCAATTTAATTTGGTAATTTAATCGGGAAATTTATTAATCACTTTTACTTTCATACCCAACGGCTTTTTAAATTGTTGAATATTTTTTTTTTCCAATTACAATTAACTACAAATGATTGAATGGTTAACTAAAATGGTTATGATTAGAGTTGAAGATTAGTTTATTAATTGTACACAATTAAAAATCTTAATTTAAATTAACTCGTTTCAAGTTAATCAAGTAATTTTTGTTATTCTAATAAATTTTTCTCTTTTTTTTTAATTTAACTATATTAAAATCATGATTATAATTAATATGATGACGATGTTGATTGTTGATTGTGATCAGGTCAAGGTTGATTGTTTACAATTAACTTAATCATGGTAAAAAAAAGGAAGTGTCCAGAAGAGTTCAAATTGTAAAGGAAAAAAAATGTTATTGATTGAAATCATATGAGTTGATTGTTGGGTTATGATTAACATTGAATTTAAATTAGAGGCGAAATAATTAAATTGAGCTTAATCATCATCATGATTAACTAAACTTTCACTTTCAAAATTAGGAATCAACTGATGTTAACATTTAATTTAAGCGATTAATCAATCAGTTGATTATTATGATTGAAGTTTTGTTTCTCCTGGAACAAAAATATCATCACATTGATTAAATAATTGATTTAATTAGTTAATTATTTTGATTTAGTTTCGATAAAATTTCCACAGAAACTTAATCATTAAACTGGAACTTTCCATTTTCTTTTAAATGTCCTTGCGAATTTTGATTCTCTCGTGTTCCTATCATCAGATTATCATATTAGATTTAATTATAACAATTTATCAATGTGATTAACTGATTGTTTCATTTGATTAAAAGAAATTAAAACAAAATCTTCAATTAGAAATTAGGAGATTTTCCCTCAAGTGACTCACATGTTTTGTTTGTTTACTTTTAGTTTTTGACAACAAGTGATTTTTGTTTACAATTAACTAATTGTGATGATTAATCAGTCAGTTGATCAGGTGATTATTTGCAATTAACTATTTTAAATTTAATTGTCTTATTGTTTCAATGTTTTCTAACACTTTCCTTAGGCTGCTGTTGATAATTTGTTGGTCAATTTTGATGGTTTAAAGTTTAAATCAATTAAGATTGGTGATGATTCATTTAAGATTATTACTAATTTGTCTTGTTCACAATTATTTAAATCAAGTGTTGATCATGATGGTGATGCAATTGACTCACGAGAGGTTGGACTTAATTCACCAAGTGATTTAACACCAGGAGTCTATGAAGGAGGTTTCAAAGTCTGGGAATGTTCAAGAGATATGGTTCAATTTATCAACGATGATCTACAATTAACTGGAACAATTAACTGTTTAGATGTAAGTCTATTGGAAAATTAACATTTTCTATCAATAATAGCCCGACAATTTATTCATTTAATTCTCTCTTTCTCCTTTAAAGTTAGGTTGTGGCAGTGGAATCGTTGGAATATGTTTACTTAAATCAATTGAAGGTTCTGTTGATTTTCAAGACTTTAATCAAAATGTTCTGATTAATTACACATTACCCAATATTCTGGTTAATTGCAAGCAATCAAGTGTAAATGAAACATGGGAAAAACTGTCACCAAGAGTCAATTTCATATCAGGTGATTGGTCAAATTTTCCGAAAACCAAGAGATACGATTACATATTCAGCTGTGAAACAATTTACAATCAAGACAATTATCCTAAATTAGTTGATATTTTAACTAATTGTTTGACTCCCAATGGTTGTGCTTATTTTGCCGCTAAAAGTTATTACTTTGGTGTTGGTGGAGGAGTCCAACAATTTAGTGATTTCCTGGTGGATAAACAATTAACCATTGAAGAGATTAAAGTTTTCCCTGATTGTGTTGAAAGAATCATAGTGAAAATAACAATTAAACAGAGTTAACAATCAGTATAATATTTTTATACAGAAAAATATTTTATTCACTAATTACTGTTTATACAGAAACAATTTAAAATCTACTTTGTAATAAGTTAAAAAGTTAATTGTGTCATCAATTGTCAATGAAGACACCATAACAATCAGTTGATTGTTGAATAGTTTATTATTTTGTCTCAGTCGCCAAGTTAATATCTTGTTGAGGATTCATGAATTTCTGTTGAAAAACAAATGACAATTTAGTAAATTAATCAATCATCATAATTATCTAACTACAATGTTAATTACCTTTAAAAATGAATTTTTATCCTTTTGATAATCGCAACGAGCATTTTGAACACTATCACGAGCTTCAATTATAATTGTTATGAACAAATTGATTATGAAATAAATGAACAATGAAACAAATGAATAGATGTAGAGACGACTGAACCACCATATAACCAAACCATTGGTACTTTCATCGTACCGAGTTGATTCAAAGGTCGCAAACATATCGTCCGCATTGATCAATGAGAAAAGACACTCGACCGTTTTGCTAAGTGTCGCAAATTTCAAATGATATGGACCTAAAACTATCCAACCTGATAGACAATAGCCACTGGTCAAGAGTGGGAAAAACATTGTAACAATTAAGGTTCGAACAAGGAAAAAATATTGATCAACATGATTACGATTTACTTACGTAAATATAATCAAAGCGACTAAAGTAAATTTGAAAATATCTCGACCCGCTTTTGCTATGGTTCGAGTGACAACATTGAACCTTTCGAAAAGGTTCAAATAACGAAGGAGATTGCACCAGGTTAATAATATTCCAAGGCCATAGAGAAGAGAGTATCGATTGGCCAGGCCAATATCTTCATTTAGATCGACGATATTAGTTAATTTGATGAACGAGACAAGAAAAAAGATTAAATCATTAATGAGAATAATCAATAAACCAGTATCGAAAAATTTTCTATCCTCGTCGATTGTTAATTGGACTTGATAATAATCTTTGGCCACTTTGGAGACTTTCGACCAAAGAACCCAGGCCATTTTTAGTGAACGGCAGCAAAGATACAATGAAATACTTGAGATGATGAAAACTGTCCAAGTGACCAGAGAATAGGTATTGATGATTGCCGGTGACGAGGATGAGGCCAAATTCCCGTAACACTGTTGACGGAAACAATAAGTGTCCAGTGACACTTTAATCTGTCCAGAGTGGGCACAATTATCGTAGGTAATGATAACTTTGACCTTATAACAAGCGGGTGAATAGTAATAGGAAGTAAGCGAGTGGAAAAAAATTGTCCTCAGGTTTGTGGTTAATTTAATCTCGTTAACTGAATTAAAATCAATTGTTTCATTTCTCTCTGAAAGATAAGTTTGAATGTTAAAAGAATCCCAACCAATGTCACCGGCGGGCAGGTCACTTTCAATGGGAACCCGACGTTCAACCTCAATCGGGTTAATATGATAATCAAAGTCAAACGGATTCAAAACGGAAGTGGACAATTCCCGGATGACAAGGGTCATCGGCGATACTTGATCTCGAGCCAATGAATCATAAGCAAACAAATTGATTCCCTCCTCTTGAAGAGTAGCAATTGATTTAATTGCGAAATCAAGGTTACCGAAAAAATTGGCCTTCGTGTAAACGGCATAAGGACCTCGACCCGGTGGATAAACGTTCAACTCTTGGTTCGATTCCCAATCTTGGAAAATAAGTGACCTTAAAGTGGCCTCCATCACCTTTTCCTTGGTTATAAATGATGACATTTCAAAGCCAATTGAGGTTATATGAATTGTGACAACAATTAATTTAACAAATTGTAGAAACAATTTCCAAGGGAAAGCCTTGGTTATCCTCCATTTGTCCATTGGATTTTTGAAAAAATAATTCAACTCACCAGTTAATTGTTGACGTAAATCAACTGGACAATTAGTTGATTCAGTGGATTCATTTGTTGTTGTCTCAACTGTTGACAAACTTAATCTTTGGTTAATCATTTTTTTGCCTCTTCTTCTTGACCAATAATTAACATTTTCGCTTAAATTTGATTTAATTTGATTATTATTGTTGTCTAAATCACTTAATGGATTATTGTTGATTAATGGTGAGTTAAACTGATTCAAGTTAATTAATTCAATTTGAGTTGATGATGAGACACTAATTGATGATAAATGAGATCTATTGTAATCAGAGACCATAGTTTAATTAACAACACACAAACTTAACAATTATGATCACGTTGATTTGATTGATAAGAAAACTCAGAAAATTAAAAAAATTAATGGCAACAATTTATGTGCAAACCTATTTTCTCAACAATTAAATCAACCATTATCATCAACCACATCATACGGGCTTCCAATGTGATTAGTTAATTTAAACGCCCCTTTAATTAAATTAATCTCATCAACGATTAACTGGTTAGTTTAATTATTGTCTCTCTCTCTCTCTCTCTCTCATTTACGGAAATTGAGTTAATTATTAATTTTAAAGTTTGTTTCATGTGAGAACGTGACAATTAATAATATTGTTAATTGGTTTTTCTTTTAATTGAATTTAGTTAGTAATACAATCAATTATGCTTTGGTTTGTTTTCCTTTGATAACAATTTGTATCATATTTTGTTTTAGATGATTTCATTTTTAATAACATTTTCAACAATTTATCAATTGTATCAATTGATCATCTAATTAATAATAATATATAGTATTTTGCTTTATAAAGATAATCCTCTTTGCATATACAATATTTATATATAAATATTATTGCTATGGTTAAATTGTTGATGATGATTGTGTTGGGTTGATTAAATCAATAGCATGTGGTTATTAGCTGAAGGACAATATATAATATTTATAATTTGTTAATTGATAATCAACGGAGAGATGAAGATGTGATTTGATTAGTTTGTTGTGACTTGTTGTGTTTTGTAAACGATATGATGATGATAATGATAATGTTGATGACAGAATTAACAATAATAATAATTGGGTCAAAGTGGTTTGTTGATTAAGATGATGCGCTAATCATATATATGTATGTATGTGTGTGTGTGTTTTATGCTGTCAAAAAAATAATTGTCATTTGGGATGATGAATGGATATTGTTATTGTTGATTTGGAAGATCAGAATAATAGTGGATTAGTGTCCGCCGAATTAAATTTAAAAAATGATTTAACTTTTCGTAGGATTGATTTTTTTGATTCCTCTTGTAAGATTTCATCGCAAACATCATCATTACATTCAGCTATGAATCTCTGTTATAAGAAAAGGAAAATAAGAGAAAAATTAATTAATTGTTGTTGATTAAGGTCAGTTGATTAGAAGGAGAGAAGAAAAAAAAAGATCCAAGGAGAAAACAACAAAATAAAAATAGATTAAGATAATTGCTAAATCATTGTTTTCCGAGGATAAATCATCAATATCAATAAGATGATGATGATGATTGTACTTACATGCATTTCTGTCATATCTTCAGGATTATAGTTTTTAATTATATCCCAAGCGTCCATGATAATTGAGATGAAAAGACTAAGGACAACATAGATGAATAGTGATATAAATGAGTAAAGATAAATCCGACTGAACCACCATATAACTGGATCTTTGGTTGCAAGGGTGGCAAAGGTTGCATACATATCGTCACCATTAAGGAGGGAAAATAAACACTCAGAGGTTTCTGAGGGTGTACGAAATTTAAGATGATGAGGACCAAGAACAATCCAACCACAGAGACAAAAGCCAACATAAAGTAGAATGGCACAGAGGAAGAACTTAATTATATCGGGAAACGCTTTTTTCACCGTTAAAATGACCACGTTAAATTTATCGAAAAAGCTGATATAACGAAGAACACCAATCCAGGTTAATAATATTCCAATTCCAAAAAGAACTGAATAATTACTGTTTAGAGATTGACTGTGATCTATTGGGCCACCTATAAGTTTGATTATCGATCCAATGATTAGTAGAATATCGTTAACGAAAATCATGTAAATCCACAAGTCGATGAAATCTGATTTATCTCGAAATCCAAGAGAAATACTGTAATGTCGATCGAAAAAGTGAATTGTTCGACGTCGTAAAATAATTCCTTTGATCATTGAACGAAGACAAAGAAGAGATGAAAGAAAAGATAACAGGATAACAAGTATTGTGATCGTTTCGATTACTGATCGTGAGGAAACTGTTCGACCTTCAAGATTACCGTAACAGGGTTTATGGTGACTTTTGGCATCTAAGCTCATAAGTATCTGACCAGCGTGAAGTGAATTGTCAAAAATGATCAAAATATCAACCACGTAACATTCAGGTCGATTGTAAGAGTCCAATGCATTAAGGTAAATGGTTCGCAGTGAGGTTGCAATCTCAATTTTAATCAAACTGTCAAAATTCACTGAGTAAGGTGGTGATTTAGAGGAGAGATAAGTTTGAATTGAAAATGTGCTCCAATAAATGTCACCAGCAGGATGATCTGGAGAGTCAATTACAAGGCGATCAATTTGATTCTCATTGTTGAAATTGTAGGAAAAATTATATGGATCAGCTTCTCCTTTGGCAAATCTTACAATATCCAAGTAGATTGGTGAAACTTGTTCAGGTTTCAATGAATCATAAGAAAATGATCCAACCCCAGTGTTTGTTATATTAGCGAAAGAGCGAATGGCAAAATCGATATTACGAAAAAGATCACTTTTAGTGTAACATGCAAAAGGTCCAGCAGCCGGTGGATAGGTCATAACCTCACGAACAGGATCCCAATCGGATAAAAGTAATTCCCTCAAGGTAATCTCCATGTTTGCTTGATGGGTCTTAAAACGAGACATTTCAGTTCCAAAGGTGTAAATTTGTATTGTAACAATGATAAGTTTGGTTATTTGGAGTAACAATTTCCAAGGGAACTTTTTTTTACTTCTCCATTTGTCAATTGGATTCATGAAGTAATATTTCAATTCTCTTCTAAATGAATCACGAGCTTCAGAAGAGTAGGATGTTGTACTTAAAAGAAATCTTTCTCTACGAGTAACCTCATTAATTTGATGATTATCGCCCGCAGATCCAGGGTCACCAGGGAAAATTATTCCATCACTTGTATCATCATCATCATCATCACCACCACCAACAATAACACCACCACCACCACCAGTATCACCTCTAAACGTACCAGAAGTACTCGCAAGAGCATCACCACCTCCACCAGTATTAGAATTAACACCTAAACCAAGATAATCATTTTCCGACCTCCGTTGATCAGCAGCCCCATCACTTTGAACACTATACGAGAGACCATTTGAACTACCACTGATAATAGCAGAAATTAAGGTTCCATTATTAACAATAAAACTAGAACCATTTACATCTAAAATATGATTATTTCCATTTAATTGATAATGTTGAGGTTGTTGATGATCAAAATTATTATCTAATTGGAGGTCATCTTCAACCAACGAAACAACTGAAGGTGTTGAACTAACAGTTTTCATTTGTTTCTGATGATCTCTCATAATTTTAACAACAAAAAAAAAACAACAAAAGAAAATAAATTTTATCTATTCACTTTCCTTACTAATTAAATCACATTACAAAAATTGAACAATTCAAATACAAATTGAGACACAAAAAAAAAGAGAAAACCAAACAATTAGTAAATCATCACAAGGCTTAATTAAGAAGAGAGAAAGAGAAAATAATTAAACTGAATTATAGATTAGTAAACAAACAGAAAGAATAGAAAAAAATAATTGTCAACAAAAAGAAAGAGAGGAAAAAAAAGAGAGAGAAAAATAGAAAAAAGAATTTGCGGTTATTTCCCCCAAGATGGCGCTTCGAACATTCTCTTTTTCTCTTACTTTTACTTCGCTCTCTCTTTTTCTCTTTCTTTCTACTTTTTGGTTTACTTTCTTTTCTCTTTCTCCAATTGATTTGATTCTCTCTCTCTCTGATACACTTTTATGTCTGTTAACAGTTTTTTCAGTTAAAGAGAGAAATTATTATTTATTTGGTGAGAATAATTTTGATTTATATTTTTTAATTATTTTAATTCTATTCTATTTCTGTTTCATTTGTGTCTATTGGTGTGTTTTCTGTGTATACATTAAACATAATGTACCATAAAGGTAAAAATCCACCGCCACCATCGGATAAACAAGCTCATGAGAAATTGGTTCAACATGTACATGAGTTTTTAGTTCACACTGGTGCTTCTAAAGCGGCATCCACATTCCTAAATGAGATAAATTGGCCGAAACAAGTAACTGTAAATGAACCACCGGGTTTTTTATTAAGTTGGTGGAGTGTCTTTTGGGATCTTTACTGTGCAGCACCTGAAAGAAGAGATATGTATGAACATTCACAAGAAGCAAAATCTTTCCATGATTATAGTTGCATGAATTCACAACAATACCCGATGAATGGTATGCCTCCAAATGATGGTTTATCCGGACCCGGTGGTTTCTTTCCACATCAAAATTCCCATTTAAGACCTTCACCACCTCAACAACAGCCACCACAACAACAGCCTCCCCCACCTCCTCCACCTCCACATAGCCAAATGATACAAAATCAAGGATTCATGTCACCAAGATATCCAGGTGGACCTCGGCCTGTACGAATGCCTCCACAACATGAATTTAATGGTCCACCAGTTTCTGGTGGTTCAGGTCCAGGTACACCATTAATGCCCAATCAGGGTGATGGAGGTGATTATGGTTGGCAAAATCCACCAGGATTAAATCCAATGAATCATAGAATGAATCCACCAAGAGGTCAACCAATGGGTCCAGGACCAGGTCCAATGAATTATGGAGGTATGAGAGGTCCACCACCAAATCAATCGATAGGACCTGTACATGGAATGCCACCGGGAGTATCTATGGGTGGACCAGGACCAGGACCGGGACAGGGTGGACCTGGTGGACGACCATGGCAACCAAATACAAATATGAATTATTCCTCACCATCGCCTGCAAATAATTACGGTCCACCTTTATCGGGTGGTCAAGTCTCAGGAGGACCTGGTCAAGGAGATGGAATGTATCCAGTAATGAAACCTGGTGGTGGAAATATACCAGGGGTACGAGATGCTAATTTCTCTTAATTCACTTTTTTTATCAATTTTCTTTTCTTTTTCAATCTCTCTCTCTCACGCTCACGCTCTCGCACTCTCTCTCTCTCTCTCTCTCTCTCTCTCTCTCTCTCACCTTCTTCCACTTTCCCTCTCACCCTATCCCACCTTTGCTATTTATCAATTGATGCTTTTTTACCCTTCGATCATGATATCATTTGCTTTTTCCTAACTGAACTTTTTACATGAATAGAAACTGTTGAATTATCAAAATAATATTAATTATTATCCTTTCTCTTGTTTCTTATTTCTCTTTGCTTGAATTTTTCTTTTAGTTTCAAATGGGACATGGTCAAGGACCTGAAGGTCCAATGGGCCAATTAGGTTCTGATCTTGGTGGTCCACCAATGTCATCCGGAGGTAATGGTCTTGATGGAATGAAAAATTCACCCGCCAATGGTCCAGGGACACCAAGGGAAGACGGTGTTGGAGTGCCAATGCCAGAATATGGTTATGGACAAGAAAATGTAAGAAGCATTCATGATTAGCATCTCAATCAATCAAAAATCAGATGTTATCAAAGGACAACAATTGGAAAAGAATCAATTTTTGTCTTTTTAACTCTTGATTGCTTCTATCTGTTTTCTTTGTGATGATGGTAATATTAATATAAATTTATTATCAACCCCGTAACCCTTCAATTTTAATACTTCACTATTTTATTTTCTACAACATCAACAACAACAACAACAACAACTACATCAACTATTTTTATACAATCAACAATCAACTCAATCCGATTCAACTCACAACAATTCAACTCATCATCTTTACAACACCAAAACCAAAACAACGACAACAACAATCATCATCATCATAATCATCATCATAATCGTCATAATAATAATCATTTGACAATCAACAACAATCACAGGATCAAAATGAAAGTGAAGCAATATTGAAAATTAAAGAAAGTATGCAGGAAGAGGCAAAGAAGTTCGAGAAGGACACTCCAAATGACCATCCAGAAAGTTTTAATATCCCATTCTAATTGTGTTGGCATAAGGAAAACAAATGATTTATATAAGTAAAGAAAGAGAAAAGCAAAAAAAAATAAGGATTAAATTATCAATTTAAAAATTTCATGTCAACATTTTCTCCTGACAGACATTCAACTTTGTTGAATATAAAACAAAAACTCCAGCACCAAACACCAAATACCATCAACGTCAACAACTACATCTACATTTACATCAACAAAAATCATCATCAACATCTCTCTCTCTCTCTCTTTCTCCTTCTTTCTATCTGCTATTCTATCTCATTTCTCTTCCTCTGCCCTTTCCTTTCTCAACTTCATTCCTCTTTTTTTCTCTCTTTCCTCTATTCCATATTCTCTTCCATTCTCGTTCTGATTCCATTTTGCTTTAATCTTTTTTTGCTCCTTCTCTCTTTTCACTTTGCTTTCTATCTCCCTCTCACTCTCGCTTTCTCCTTCGCTCTCCTTCGCTCTCCATCTTCTCTTCCTATTCTCTTTCCTTTTTTTCGCTTTTCGCTCTCAGACATTGTAACAATTAATACTTTTATCGCTATCTCATAATTAAACAATGTAAACATTCAACTAGTTGTTTAATTCAGTGGTAATTTTTGATTGCATCTTTTCAACGGCCAACAATCAGGTAAGTTTATCAAATGAAATTTTCGCAATGTAACTATGTCATTTACACACCTAACGAATAATAATTAATCATTATTGTCATCAAATGCTCTAGAATTGATCAACTATCAGCTACTTTTATAACTTTCCGTTGATAATATTCAACAATTGACACAATTTTAAATTGCCAAGTTTAAAAACAATAACATGTTTGCAACTTTTTCCCCTCTGAACAAACAAAAATCACATGGAAAATGAAACAAATCAATTAAATGATTGATTTCTAATTGGAAACTCGTTCTAAAAGGTAAAGTAATAGATTAAATTGAATAATCGAAAAATTTGATAACCTGTAACATTCTCGTAATACCTTGACCATTAATCGTATCGAATGTAAGAAGGTTGAAGAGAGAAAAATAATTCGAAAGTTTAAATTTGTTGGAAAACATTTTCCAATCTTTTTCACGTGAATTTTTCGCCAATAATTGAATTGAACATGAGAATGAGCGATTCTTGAATGAGAAAAGATAGTAGGCGAAGTTGAAGAGATGATGAAGATAAAGAAAATAAAGACAGAAGATGCGCAGAATAAAGAGAAAAAGTAATCCTATCTCTCTCTCTCTCTGTTTTTTACCTTTTTAATCTGATCCGAGCACAGGAGAAGAGAGAGGGAGAGAGAGGGAGAGAGTTTGTGTCTTGGAGAGAATAGAATATAAAAAAACGTAGAATAGAACAAAAAATGCGTCAATATATTATAATGTATTCATCGAGAAGGTTCAACATTTGGGTGACTTGAGAGTCGACAGAGATAGAGAGAGAGAGAGAGAGAGAGAGAGAGAGAGAGAGAGAGAGAGAGAGAGAGAGAGAGAGAGAGAGAGAGAGTGGGAGGTTGGTGGTGGTAAAAGATACGCACACACACTGAAGGTAATGAAAGGTTACAATTGATTAGCTGGATTAAGATTGAAATGTTTATCGATAATTTTGGTTCGATTTTTGAGTAAAAATAAAAATCGAAAATGTTTTTTAATCGATTATTTAAATTTTTCGATTTTAAATCTGCTAATTGATACAACTTACGATTTTCGGTAATTTTATCGATATTTTTTTCTCTTTCGAAACTTTTTGATAGTTTTTATCAATTATGAAAGAGAAAGAAAAATTATTAAACTAAATTTAAGAGAATAAGTGATTATTATCAACAGGGAGAGAGAGAGAAAGAGGTTCGAACATTAAATTTCTCTTTCTTTTTGGAAACAATTGTTAGCAAAGAAAAAGAAAGAGAAAGAGAAAGAGAGAAATAGGAAAAAGATGGAGTTTCGGCGAAAGATGAGACACTTTCTCTTTGAGAGAGAAAAAAATTTGTTTCCATTAGTAAAGTAAGAGAAAAAGAAAGAGAAATTTCCTCATTACTTTCCCTTTGGAAAAAAATAATCAACAGAAAATTTTGCTAATCGAAAGTGTCGTCATCTATTGGTAGAAAAAAAAGTTCTATCAACAAATTAAATCGAAAAACAAAAATTAGAACAAAATTGAATTTGATTATTCTTTCTAATCGAGTTCATTGATTAGAAATTTTTTTTACTAATATGAACAGTTTTTACAAATGGAATTGATAGTTGATCACAATTAAAGGTGAAAATTTGTCGCTAAAAGAGAAGATTATTGATAATGATTCTTAAAGATTCTCAAACTTGGTTATCACTGGGATGGAAATTAAGGAAACGATAAACTCTTGGAAAAGAAAACCAAAGGTCAAGAATTGCATGGGAATGGTAAGTTCTTGTGTTCTGATTATCATTGAGACAACTCGAATTCCAATTGAGGTCAAATTTATATAGAAATAAGTTCGAACCATTGAATAGTTAAAAGCGTATGCACCATAAGCACCTAAATTAGCGAGGCAAAAATAGTACATGGAAATGGATGTTGATCCACCACCGACGAAACTGTAATTAGTATATTCTGATGTTCTCACATTCTCACCAATTAGTCCTATGATTAAGAAAATTAGTGAGACAATTATGATTAAACTATTAACCACAATAAGAATATTTTGATGGGAAAATATTGATTTTCTTTCAACGATAATGGTTCGAAAAAGTGGCATTTTCAGGGTCAAATTAAAGATGGAAAATAAACAAAAAAAAACCAAAAGAAAAATCAATAAATAATCAATCAATTAATTATCTTTTCGTATCCAAGAATTTATTGTTAATTTTAGTGAGAATAAGCTATTCTTAGAGCGATTGCTTGATAAATAGCTTTTTCTCTGTTTTTGTTGGAAAAGTCTATTCGTCCACGAAGTTGTGGACATTTAGTACCCGCGACTATTTGTCCACAAGTTATAAGACATATAGTTAAATTAACCTTGAAATTTTGAGTAAACTTGTTAGTCCATCAGGAAGATATTAGTCTTTGATGAATTTTTTTTGAGTTCGAACCTCAAAGGTATTTAATTTTTTTCAAGACTTTTTATTAATATTTTAATCAACTATTTGTTTGCTAAACAATTAGAGTATCTTATCAGAGTTCAAACGAAAAAAAGATACAATTACCAATAAAAAATTGTTTTTTAATCAACTAATCAACAAACAATTATCATTAATAGATCAATTGTTAGAATTAGACCTTTAGAATTAAGCTGAATAAAATTCATATCTAACTAATTTTTTACTCTTAATTTTGGGTTCTTATTAGTAATTGATTTCTATTACTAATAAGATGTTAATCTAATTAACAATTGAACTTAATTAAGCTACAATTAAGTTAATTTAGTTAAGAGATCCGATATTATTCGATATTGAAATCGAATAATATCAGATAGGATCAGATACTTCATGTGGACATTTAGGGCTTACCGTTTTTGTTTTGATTTTAATTTTTTTTTTATTCTCAATTGAAAACTAGTTACCTTTTTGTCTGAATTGTTAATTGTTATTAATCAGTTTGATTTTCTTTTTTCTTTTTCGGTTAATTAAATTGGATTAATTTCTATTTTCTTGGTTTTCTTTTCATGGTCTTGGGCTAATTGGTGAGGTAATTTTTTTCTCCTCCTTTTGGTGAGTTAAAAATGGAGAAAACTAGAGATAAATTGATCAAAGAGACTCGGAATTTGGAGTCTTTCAAGGAGATGTTAAATAAGAGTAATAAATTAACTAAAACAATGGTGTCCATATTATCAAATTTCGATGAGAAATTATCCAAATTAGAGGAAACAATTGGACCAGTTTATAAAGAGACCGGTAATCTACAACAACGACAGGAAAATCTTGTCAAAACGTTACAATCATTTGATTATGTTATCCCTTTTTATACGGTTGCCAATGATTTGGAACCAATTATCACCACTGGACCTGATTCAATGCCTATACCTGATTATTTGGATAATATGAATAAGTTAAAAAGTGCAATCAACTATTTTGTCAAGAATAATCCTGAAAGTCCAGAGCTTATGAATGTAGTAAGTGAATTACTTTTATATCAATGACAGTGTTTACGCCTTCATGATGAAAATGTTGATAGTAATTGTATATTTATCTCTTTCTCTCCCTCTCTCTCTCCTTTTCAGACAAGTCTCCATGACAAAGGAGCTGCTTTTCTATTGAAAAAGTTTCGATTGTTAATATCAAACCATAGTCGTCCATTGGCTCCAAATATAATTTACTGTCTTGTCCATGAAGATGATAATCAAAGCGAATTGCCAAAACCTCTTTCAGATAAAATTCCGGAAAAGGATCGAGCCCAATTGAGATTATTAAGTGAATGGCTTGTTGTTAATATGAAAGATCAATTTATTTCCGCTTATTCGTCTTTAAGATGTGAAGTTGTTGAAAAATCTTTGCGTGATTTTAAAGCTCATCAAAAATCTTCATCAGGTGGATTCAGTGGTCACCTTAGTTCACCCGCTCCTCCTCGTAAAAGTTTAACACCAATGAAAGATAATCTTCCACTTCGTCGGAATCCAAAAAGTATTCAACAAGCATTGAAGAAAAAGCTTCAAGATGTAATTCCAACCGAAATGTTGGGCGGTCGTTCATATCATTCGGTTCCTCATGATCTTTGTGAACTTGCGACAAGTGAAAGAGAAATTGAATGTTACCTTACCAGTGTCACTGCTCTTTACCGACTCATGCAAGCGGAATTAAAATTAATGGAGGGAATAATTCCAATGGAACATCAGAAATTACTCTTTAGTCGACTTGTTCAACCAGCGTTAGATTTTGTGGTCAATGAGGGTGAAAATATCGCCGGTCGAGTGAAAAAGTGTTCAGTTAAACACGACTTTAGTTCAGCTCTTAATCTTTTCCCTATTCTTCGGCATCAGGCATCCATGAGGCACAATTTTGACCTTCTTTTTGACGGATGTTCAACTGATGTTCAAACCAAATTTCAAGGGCTCGTGGTGACTCTTCAAACCACCTTGAACAAAGCACTCGAAGAGTTCATTGAATATATTCGTAATGATGTTGACACCAAAGTACCAAGAGATGGTACTGTTCATGAACTCACTTCCAATGTTATGATTTTCTTGGTACAACTTTCCAATTATTTGGACATTTTATCCAGAGTGATTACGGTCACCGATATGCAATCATATGAAAGATCATCTGATAAAAATAAACTGGCCTTTGCTCAGTATATCAGTCGAGTCCTTCAAACGTTGTCTCTTAATCTTCAATTAAAAAGTGATTGTTATGCTGATCAATACCTGAAGGCGATATTTAAATTGAACAACATTCATTATATACTTAAGGTAATTGACACTTGGATCAAATTGAAATCAATTTTTATTCTAATTCTAATTCTCTCTCATCTCTGTTTCTCTTTCTATCCTTACAGACACTTCGTAAATCGTCACTTCTTGAGACACTTAAAATGTACAATCACGAAATCGATCTAGTCTATGAGAAGCAAATTATGGAAAATAAAAGAATCTATTCTCAAAGTTGGTCTCGAGTTCTACACTTTGTCCTTGAAATCGACAGTAAAACACCGTCACCCGAATCAATCGAAATGGCCAATATGAAATTGAAAGAAAAAGATCGACAAATGATCAAAGATAAATTTTCAGTAAGAATGACCATCGATTCAAGTTGACAATCGGTTACAACTTAATCAATTAATTTCTTTTTTTTCTCTATCAGGGGTTTAACAAAGAAATTGAAGAATTACGAAAAGTCCAAAAGGCCTACGCCATTCCCGATGCCGAACTTCGTGAAAGCCTTAAAAAGGACAACGCAATGTTCATAGTTCCTCGATATGAGCAATTCTATAAAAAGTAAACCAAATTTTCCTTAAATTTTCTTCACCAATTATCTAATATTTTTTTCTCATCCAATTCGACAGGTATAGTAACATGGCCTTTTCCAAGAATATCGACAAATACGTCAAATTTTCCCCCAATGAGGTTTATAATATAATTCAAAGTTTCTTTGACGCGACCGCTTAATGATAATCAATAGTAATTTCCATTAATTAATTAAAATCAATGTGGTTAAGTCATTTATTTATCTGATGGATGTATCTCTCTCTCACACACACACTCACTCTCACTTTTATCGAAAATTTGGAAAAATATATAATGATGAATGAAAGAAAATTAATGTAAATTGTTAATTGTTTAAAGTGTCATTCGCCGACCCTCAATACTAATTGGAACAGCTCGTTGGGTTTTCATTAATTTCTTTTTCTCTCGGAAATTGCGAAGATGTTTATCTAATCGGGTGATTGCTTTTTTACTTCCCGATTTACTCATTTCGGAATCAACGGTAGATTTTGGTCTAACAACATAATCACGGGTCGACGGAGCAGGAACACGAGCACGAGGAATCCAACCTTTATCACCTGGTCTAAGTGTCCTAATAACATAGAAAGAAAAACATTAATGATTAATGATGTGATGATTAATAATTGATCTTGACAAATGTGAATTATGGTTTACTCACTTTTCTGATTCAGCTTGACCTTTTCGACTTGATGATGGCGGTGTTTTGGGCTCAGTTCGTCCTCGCTTATTTTCAGTTAATTTGGTCATATGATCGAAATCTCTTTGTTCTCTTTCTTCTTTCGACATTGAATGGAAATCGGTATCTAAACTGAATATTGGCCTTGACCAGGAGGAGATTAAAACACCAGCTCGTTTCTTATTATCTTTAGTTTCCTTCGGGTGTTTAAATAAATACATAACGGCTTTTCCAATGCCACTTGCTTTGAGTCTTTCAACATCCATTATGTTAAACTGTAAATTTTCAACAATTAGTAAGAATATTATTTGCTAGAATTATGAGAGAAAACAATCAATCGCAATTACCTCTCCAAGTAGCTTGAGCATCGTTTCTCTCACTTGAAGATTAGGTAAACTCCGGTCAGGTAAAGGTGTCAACCAATCGGTTATTACACCGAGAACACCGGCATCGAGAAACGATTCCCTAAGATCTATTTTTCGTAATTGTGTTTCGACGACGGGTAAAAGTCTAAGTTTACAAGTTGCTGCCTTTCGATTTTTATTCAATTCGAAATCCTCCTGAAAATGAGAGAGATAAAATATTGAGAATTAGTGTTTTCATTGAGGTGAAAGAAAGAGAAAATTGTTGATTGGTATTTACATCAGCTGATTGTTTCATTTGAGTGATTAGATCAGCGATAATATCGTCATTGTCGTTAATAATGTCGATATTTTTCCTCTTTCTGCTTCGATAACTTTCCTCCTTTTTTCTTGCCATCATGAGATCAAAATCGTAGACGAAGTCATCTCTGCAAAAAAGAAAGCCGATTAGAATATAATTAGAATGTAAATCGTTCAACGAATATATTAATATTCTTTATGCTACAATTAACTTACGGAACTTTGCTTCGCCTTTTACCATCGTCGTCACTTTCTTCATCACTGGAAAGATCAGGAACCGCTGGGTCCTTCATCTTTGATGTTCCACCGGCTTCTTCACCCTCGGCGTCACCTTCGCCTTCGCCTTCACCTTCTCCATCGTCAAGGCCTTCGGCTTCGACCTCACCACCACCACCTCCTTCAGCTTCACCTTCTGCCTCTGCTTCATCTTCATTTGATTTTTCCAACAGGTCATCATCTTCTTTATCTTCTTTCTCTCCATCTTCATCCTCCTCATCATCTTCTACGATTAATCGACGCTTCTTTTTACTTCTTCCATCTTCGGCTTCTTCGGTTCCTTCGGTTCCTTCATCTTCATCTTCAGACAGCAACGTACCAATTGATTTTCCAAGTGATTCATTTGCTTCATCGTCTTCTTTACTTTCTTCACTCTCTGGATCTCCTTTTTCACCATCTTCATCTTCATCATCATCGTCATCTACAATTAAACGGCGTTTCTTTTTAACTCTTCCATCTTGAGCTTCTTCACCTTCATCACCGGATTCCAAATCATCACCAATAGAATCTGGCTCATTGTCTTCCTTACTCTCTTCAATTTCCTCATCTTCTTTGGATTTATCTCCTTCTCCTTCTTCTGTTTCTTGTTCCCTCTGTTGTTCACCTCCTTCATCTTCATCGTCCACAATTAATTGACTATCCTTTTGGCTACTTCCATCTTCAGCTTGTTGACCTTCATTATCGGATTCTAATTCTTCATCTTCAGTGGATTTTTCAACAGGTTCAACATCATCTCCATCTTCAGACAATATTTTTGATGATAAATCAGATGCCGGGTCACTTTCTTCAGCTGGAGGAAAATCATCATCACCAACAAAATCAGAAGACATATTAACAAGAACACCGTAAAACTTAATTCAATTAACTTATTAATAAACAATTTTTTTAAAAATAAAACACAATTAAGATTAACTTGTTGTTTACAAACAAAAAAAATCAAAACAACTCAAAATCTTGAAAAAAAACAGTTAATCAGATTTTCTTGTAACTCCATCTGGTGGAAGAGTAAGTCAAGAGTTTTAATAAGCCTCAATTCAGAGATAAATTAAACCAAATTAACTTTCAATTAATCCTTGAATAGCTAATCTAAGTCAAGAAGATTAATTAAAAATTGATAGATAAAAGCACAATTAAAACGGTCAATTGTTAACAATTAATTAAAATTTTTCGATTTAGTGGCTCCATCTAGTGTCTTTTCCAAAAACTAACAGTTGATGTTGTTTGTAAACAAGAAAATGAAACAAAAAAAAAGATTGACAATTAATTGATTTGGTTTGGATGTTTAATTGAGTTGATTGTGTTTGATTTTTTATTTAATAGAGAAAATAAGTTATGGCAGATATTTTAAAAGTGGATAATTTAACCATTGACGAAAAAGAATCAAGTGAAATTGAATATATTAACTATGAATCTGAGCTTCAAATGCCTGATATCATGAGATTAATTCAGAAAGATTTGTCAGAACCTTATTCAATTTATACTTATCGATATTTTATTCACAATTGGCCACAATTATGTTTCCTAGTGAGTATAATCAACTGTTAATTGTTGTCATTTTCCCTCTGTGTGTGTCTATAATCGTTAATTTCTCTCTCTCTCTTCCCTCAGGCATCTTACAAGGGTAAAGTGGTCGGTGCGATTGTTTGTAAATTAGATTTACACAAGAAATCAGTTCGTCGAGGTTATATCGCCATGTTGGCCGTGGATAGTAATTTTCGAAATCGTCGAATTGGTTCAAATTTGGTTCTACATGCAATTGAAGCAATGGTACAAGGAGACGCCGATGAAGTTGTTCTAGAAACCGAAATAACTAATCAATCAGCTCTTAATTTATATGAAAATCTTGGTTTTGTTCGTGATAAAAGGTTATTTAGATACTATTTAAATGGTGTTGATGCTCTTAGATTAAAACTTTGGCTTTAATTGTGAACCTAAACAATCATTTTGTTAATATATTCCTTTGGTCAATCGGTTTCTCCTTCTAATCATTAATTAACTTTCCTCTGTCAATTTGTGTACCATTAGACTAATCATTTACCTACGATAACGGAAAATTAACCTTGATTCTTGAAGATTTCCTCATAAATCACATAATCATTAAGAATTATTTCTCAATTGTTGATCATATTTTTCCTTAATCAAATGATCATTAGATTCCCAAATCTTTTCTAAAAATCATCAACTGGTCAATCGTTGCTCATTCAAACAATTAAACTTGTTTTTCTTTTAATATTAATCGAGGTAGAAATTTAAATTTCCATCATAATTATTGAAACTTTTCAGTGGTAAACAACAATCAAAATGTTGGTATTTAATTTAATTTTGTTCTTCATCACAATTGAAAGTGTCATCTCATCTAATTGGTTAATTAAACAACCTCGACTAATCAGAACTGGATTTACAAATATATTATGGGAATATATTGATTCGGATGAGTTTAAATCCAATGATCAATTAACTAAACAATGTAAATTAAGCTTAAATCATGTTAATCAATCATTAAGTGAAGGTCAAATTTGGCCAATCAAATGTAAGTTAATCAATATATTACAATCAATTGTCAACTAATTTGATTGTTTTAAATCAAAGTGATTGAAACCTCAGGTCGGATTCCTGAACAATTTAGTGGATCTGGTTATGCATCTCTAGGTGATTTTGATAAATGCCAACAATTAACTTGGACTAATTACAATGGTGACAATCAAATTGCCTCTTATTGTTTAATCTCATTGCTACCGGACAATCAAAATTACGATGATAATATTTTCACTCATCATAAATTAATATCACCTGAAAATGGAAACAGTATCAAAATTGGATTATGTTTACCAGCTGATTGTTCAACTAATGATTTACAAATTATCACAATCAATGGTTAGTAAATTGTTAACTAGGGCGAGAAAAAGATTCACTAATCACAATTAAATTGATTCTACTTTTTATTTTAGCACTTAAACCATATGATTGGGAGCTAATTAAAGTTGATCATTGTTCAATTTACCAAACACCAATTGAAAAATTAACTAAATCATCACGATTACAAAAAGTTTGCTTGTAAGTTTGAATATAACAATTAAATGAAATGAAACAAAATTCATGTAAAGATTAACACAATTTACTAATCAGTTTGTTAACAGTTTCATTGGTGGCGATGGCATTGATTGCAAATCTATTGGAATACAAATCAACAGCAATTAATAAGTCGAAACAATTAAGTTGGTTAAAATGTTTCTCATTTAAATCCAGTTATCAACAAATTTTTCAACCAAATTTGTCTCAAATTAAGATGCTTAATTTACTTCAATACTCAATTATGCTTCATTCATTTGTGCTGATTGTTCATATTAATGATTTCCCATATTTCGGATTGAATTTTCCCCTCGTTGGTAATTGAGTACAATCAGTTAATTGTCATCGATTAACTTCATTAATTGTATCTTGTTAATTGTCTCTTTCTAATAGCAATCATATGGGGCAGTTTTCCAGCACTGAAACGCTCATTTGCAATTAAATTCGTAACAATTGATTGGTATTACGAAGGGATATTCGCCTATGGGTAAGATATACCGATTAAATATTCTAATTGCAAGACTAATTGTTTAATTATAATCACAATTAACCAAAGAGGTGCTGCTCGGACAATCACAACATGGAGACAAGTGAAACCCGAGACCCGATTAACCCAATTACTTAAATCAACTGTAATCAAATTAATCTCGTAAGAAATTAATCTCTTTGAGTTCTGTGAGTTTATCGTTGAAATCTAATCTAATTTAATTGTCTTATTATCCTATTATCATTAGATTATCTGTTTTAATCACAATCACTTTAATCATTCACATCACTTTACTTATGTTCTCATCGGGTCCTCTTCAAATAGCCGATAGGAAATCAATTTTCTGTACTCAATCGTTTTGGCAAATTGCAAATGTTTTCGATAACAATTATTGTTCAAGTCAACACGAACAATGTTTAGTCCAGTTCTGGTCAGTTTCCGTTGAGGCTCAATGTCTATTGGTCATCGTAATCCTCGTATTTTTATACAAACGAAAACCCAAAATCGCAATGACCATCAACCTGATCGGTATCATCGGGTCCATACTTTATATTTCTTTGAAATTATACATTTACCGTTATCCGGCTCATTTATGTGGGATTGATATTTCCGAGATGAAGTAAGTATCAATCAACAATCAATAACCAATGGATAACAAGTTAACAATTAACTTCTCTTTCAATATCAGTGAAATAATCTACTATGTGATCAATGTTTATGCGACTTTACCACATCACTTTTGGATTATTTTGTCCACAGTTTTGTATATCTATTTAATGGTCAACGATTATGGTCCAGTTTTCCTCAAGGTAATCAAATTTAATCTGATTCCCTAACTGTCAACTAATTGTCTTTTTAATTTTACAGTTTCCGCTCCTTAAACTACTTGATTCACATATGTATCTTTTTGGTTTATTCATAACAATCAGTCAATTGTTTTATCCAAATTTGATTAAACCTTTTGAAACTCCATTGGTGATTAGTATCTACGAGACTGTCCATCGATTGGTCATTTGTTTATTTTTCCTTCTTTGTGGATTTAGAATTGCTGATGAAACCAAATCCCAAGTTTCTAATAACGATGTTGATACAATTGATAACAATAATCAAGAGAAATCTAAAATTGATTCTAATTATAATGATGATAAAATTGCTAAATATAAATTCTATTCCGCAATTGCTACAATTTTAAGGTCAACTTTTTGTATTCACATGACGATTCTCATTGTTACATTGAACACTCTTCGAAAACCAATCTCAACCAACGTTGAAATGGTAAATTGATCTACTAAATCAACATGTGAATAATTTAATTGCAACAATTTAATTTAATTTCTTTCTCTCTTTCAGTTAAATCTCTTTGTATACCAATTGATTAGTTGTCTTCTTGGTGGTTTACTGTTTCACTTTTTTGTCCTTGGTCCATTCACAAATTTGGTTCTCTCAATGAAAAGTAAACCTAAATCCAAATCCAAATGATTAAAAATCCTCTCGATGATCAGTTAATTGTGGAAATTGTGAAATTCAATTGAAAATTTTTTTCGAAAAAAAAATCGAAATAATTTCTCTCATACTAAACAGATGGAGACACTTTCGTTCACGTTGATCTTAATTAAAGAGTAACAATTAACTTAACCAAACGTTAAATTGTCTTTAATTTGATTAAAATACATAAACAATAGGAAACAATTTGATTTCAATTAACTAACCAATCTGAATATTGATGAGACAATAAATATGTATACATATTATTATGTAACCATTATCATCAATTAGGATGATGATGATTACTTATGATCAATATTGATTGTTGTTGATAATAAATTGTGTGTGTTTAGGGAAATAAACAATTTAGGTAACAATTTAGGTGTAAGGTAAATTGTTGATTACACTTTGAATCCATTTAGATAAATAGACTTGTAAATTGTTGGTTTACTTTTGCTGAATTAACTTAATCATAATGTTAATCATGATTCGGTTCCCATCAATCCCATTAACTATTAACCTTTACACAATTATCATTATGATTAACTGATTATTTAGACCAATTGATTGAGCTAAATGATCAATCAATCTAATCCATAGCTGATAAAAGTTAATTGTTGTCCGGGAACAAATTAAAACATTAAAAAAAATCTAATTGTGACTCGATTGATTGTAAATCAACTTGAAGCATTTCAATTTAAACTTTAATCCAAAAATTACAATTAACTCATTGATTGTAATCACTTAAGGTTAAGTATTGTTTTATTTGGTTGGTTAAACTAAATTATTCAATCAAATTAAATGGTTGGATAAATTTGATTGTTTTAATTAATTAAATCACTTGAATAGTTGATAATCTTAAAGTTAATTATCACAATTCAATCCTGGTCACTAATTAACTTGTATGCTGATTATCAACATGATCATTTAATCAGTTAATCTTAATCATAATGAGTCTTAATTGTTTCATCTCATCAATAATTAAACTTCTTAAATTAACTATTGATTAGATTTTTAATTGTGATTAAAACTGATTAACCTTTTCAATTTAGTTCCAGTACTTCCCTAGGGTATTAATGGTTACACTTGACAGAGAATTGGGTTGATTAAAATTTAATCGTGATTAGAATGTTAATCAATTCCAATGTCATGTTAATTATATGGAAAAACTATTAATACATTTAGACAACAATTAACAATTGTAAACAATGATTAGTTTGATTGTTGAACAATTTTCAACCTCCCAAATAATAAACAATCAATTTCAATTAATAAACAACTTGATTAGATATTCATGTACTAAGAGATTGACAATTAGCTAATTAACGTTGACAGTAATTATTATTATTATATTGAAATTGGAAATTAAATTAATTGAAATAAATTTAATCAAAATCTAACAATCAACAATTTTATTTGCATAAATTAAATGGTAAACAATTAAAACTTATATATATATATTCAGATATAGATTAACATTGAAAGTGATTAAGATTGAGATTCATCTTGAGTTTAATTAACTAATCATGAGTTAATTAACTGAATATTATATAGATAAACTTAATAGTAAACAAGCTGAGTCTTAATCATTATCATGGTTTATGATTAAAATTAATTAATTGAGTTAACGAGGTAAATATGATGATAATTTATTTAATCAAATCAAACATGATATTAAATCATACTGGATAAATTGAACAATCAACAATTATAATCAACTGAAATTACAATTACATGTGTTAATTGAATTGATTGGTTAGTTAGATATGGTCAGTAAATTGTTGATTAATTAATTCAGGTGAGTTGATTGTTGTGTATAAATTTCACAATCAAGCAAATCAAATTAAATTTTGTACAAATGATTTGATTTGAAGCAAAAAAAATCAATTTTGATAATAAATTTGATTTAATATTTGATGGAAATGCTCAAATCAAATTAAATTTCATCACAATCAAAGTTAATTATCACAATAAATTGTTATAGCAAATCCTTAAATTGTGATTGTCATGATTAACTGTTGATCAGAATGGTTTAAATTGATCACTTGGAGAAATTTTTTCACCAACAATCAAGTTTAATCACAAATGTATCCACAATTTAACTTTGATCAGGAGCAATCTAGTTAATTGTTAATAACCATTAGACTTTAACATTAACTGGATTAAAATAATAAGTCAATTGTTTTTCTTGCTACATTTATCGACTAAATCAATTGATTAATCAATCAAACCTTTAACACAATTCAAACATAATCAACTTAATCATGATAATGTCAAGTTACCTGTTCATAAATATTAATTGTGAATGATTAGTTTTTACTTGATAATCACAATTAACCTTTAATACACTTTCAGCCAATGGGTTAAAATATCAAAGTGAAAAATGAATTAAATTAAATTACCAAGTGTGAGATCACAATTAACAGTTACAATTTCAATCAACTGATTAACCTTAACAAAGAAACATGAAAAGACTAATGGATTAAGCAATTAAATTAAGCTAATCAGTCTAGTTAACCCAGTTAATTGTGATAACAGAGGAAGCAAAATGTTGATCACAATTTGATAATTACCACAATTGTAATCAAAATTAATCATAGACTTGACAAAAGTTTAACCAACCATGAATTCATAATGATTAACAAAAAGGAAACAATTTAAATATAATAATAGTAAAGGTTAAGGTGTCATTAGATTATTAATTGTTTAGCTTAATCAAAGACAATCAAGCTAATTAAACTTAAAGAGAATCAAAAATTAAGCTCAAAGAAAGAGACAAAAACAAGTTCGAAACAAAAAAAAAGTTCTAATAACTTTTCGAAGAATCAAAAATTAAATGTCCCAATTGAATCAATTCTTTGATTGCAACTAATTATGATTAAATAAATTGTTCATTCAAAAGATACACGCAATCATCTGATTCTCATCAGTGACAATTAACTAATCCATTGATTTGTCCTTTAACCTTTTTTTTCATACCAACAATTAACCTTATCCATATTTAGATACCTTGAAAGTGATTGAAATTGATCAGAAATGAATCATAACAATCAAGATGATTGAATATTATCACAAAGTAATAATATTCAAGCAATTTATCATCAAAATGATAATGATCAACATGATATTAATAGTAATCAAACATTTGATTAATTCACTAGTCAATTAATTCATGAAGATGATTATTCAGAAATACAATTTTCCAAAGCGGATAAATTTAATTGAACTAATCGACATTTTTAGTAACCACAATTAAGCTTATTGTTACTATTTTTCCCCCTTAATCACAATATTACTTTACGATACCCTAGATATTATGGTTGACTGGTCACTCTGTGTCCATTACCTGTGGTTCCCCCTCCCCATGATCTCCTTTCCTCCTACACCACCTCAACCTTTTCCTCCTCCTACCTGGTCAATTCAATCTCCCTGAATCTGAATTCATTTGTGTAGAAATACTGACCAATAGTAATTGTATTTCTATCCCTTAATTTGAAGCTAAATTCCCAACAATTAATCCACTTGATTGGAGTTCGTTTTTTTTTAATCACCATTTTCACCTTCTATTTTTACTTGTTGGTCAACTGGTCAGTTTGTTTACCACCATTAGAATTGATTTTTCTTCAGTTAACCAAGTCAAGTGTCTTCTTTTCATTTGCTAATTGTGATCGTTATTTTATTTAAATTGTTCTAATTGTTATGGGTTGTACGACATCTAAAGCAAATTTGATTACATTAACTGACGATGATATTGAATATTTAACTCGAAATACTCATTATTCTGATCAAGAGATTCGCGATTGGTATAAAGGTTTCCAATCCGATTGTCCTGATGGTCGATTGACCAAGAAAAAGTTTCTCGAAATTTATTCAATGTTCTGTCCTGATCGATCACCAACTGAATTCTGTGATCACATTTATCGAACCTTTGATTCGGATGGTGATGGTTATATCGATTTTAAAGAGTTCCTATTGGCAGTAGGTGTTACAACGGGCACCGATCCTCGAGAGAAACTCAAATGGGCCTTTAAAATGTACGATATAAATCGAGATGGACTAATTGATGTCGAAGAAATGTCCAAAATAATCAAGGTAATTATCGAGAAAAATTTTTTCTCCTTCTCATTTCAAATGAGTAAAAGTAAAATTCATCATCAACCTCATGAAGAAAATGAATTGATTATGTTCATCATGTTTACTTTTTTGATGGAAAATAATTTTCTTGTTTCCATGAAAATAATAATAATCAATCTCATTTAATTCAGTTTATTACTCGATTCTTAATGTAAACCATTATCATGTAAATTCATGATATTATCATGTTCACAGGGAATGAAACAAATTAGATAAATGGGAAAAACATTGAATCTTATTTTCAACTTTTTCTTTACAACTACAAATCATATTTTTCTGGTTCTTGGATGTTAAAATGGTAATTAGGTTGATTGTTGTTCGCCAGCAATTAACTTGATTGTCCGGAAACTTGAAGGATATTAATTATAATCTGTTAATAGTTATATTCACCTTGCAATTGTTTTTACTTTCATTTGTTTACGTTTGATTAGGTTAATCGTATATTGTTGACTTAATCATATTGATTGATTTTCTTGACTTTTAGATCAACGGATTAACATGTTGATCTGATTGAATAGTTAATTCAGTTTATTCTGATTGTTGATTAGTAAATTGTATCAACTATTTGACTCTATCTTGATAGCAATTAAAACTAAATCTGATAATGATTAAGGTGACATATTGTTGATTATCAAGGGTTAACGAATCAAGGTTAACTTTTAATTGTTACAAAGACACAATTACGTTGATACAATTAACTTTTCAGTTTACTTTAATCAACTTGTTAATTTACATAAGAACAGTAAATTGTGAACTTTTTTTAAATCATCAGCAATTAAGATAATTTCAACTTCCAACCATTAGGAAAATTAATAAATCATAATTATTACAATTCTAATTTAATTATTAGTAAAAAAAACCAACGGAATAAAAAAGTTTAATCATTGATACTATTTACTAGTCGAAACAATTAACTTTAAATCATAGCAATTAACTTAACACAAGAAAAGGAAAGGAAAGAAAAGAAGTTGATAAATATCAAGATGAAGAATAGAATAACAATCAAAGTTAATTGTTTCGATTTCTTCAACAGTCTTTATATCAAATGCTTGGATCGGAGCATTCGAGTTACAATGAACAAGCGAAAAAAGTTCAATTCATATTCGATACCATGGATAATAATCGAGATGGTAAAGTATCATTAGAGGAATTCATTGATGTTTGTAATCAAGATGATCAATTGGCTAAATTGTTGTGTGTCGGAACAATAACAACCTGAACAATCAACCAGCGGAAAACAATCAACACAATCAACACAAAAACAGCATTTGAATACATAACGGTAAAAGTAATATTATCATAAGAAATACCAAAAAAAAAACTATGGATTGATACACAATCCATAAAATTAGGGTTAATCAAATTTAATTTAATTACTCGTTAACAACATGAACATAATTCATTGAGAGTAAATGTAAACCCACTAATCATATTAATCATAATTTATCATCATTAATATTCATTCAGTTTTTCTGTTGTCTTATATCACCATGAATTCACATGAATTCATATCAAGTTCATTGATTTTTTGAGTAACTTTTTTCAAACATTTTCCTCTTCAATTATTTGTTTCCTCGTCACCTTTTTGCTTGTTTGTCATGATGATGGTGATGATGATGATGATTTGTTACCTTTATCTTCATCTTCGTCATTGAAATATGGAGTCGAAAAAAACTATTCGACAGAAGAAAAGTTCTTTGGTAGAATGTCATCTCATTTTGGAAAAAAAAGAACAAATTTCTTGCCATGATAATCATTGGAAGAACATGAGAATTGATTCACCAAACAAGAGAATAAGAAACAAAATTGAGATGAATCAACTTTCTCCATGGAAAAAATCATCTATAATATAAATCATTTTATCATCTTCATCTTCACCAACTTCACTCTCATCATCTTCATCATCATCATGAATTTCCATGTAATTATTATTATCTAACATACGAAATGTTCAAATTCGATGGGAATCTGGTCAGTGAACATTTTTATCTCTTCAAATGGAGCAAATTTCCCATGTAATAACTCATGATGGCGATAAAAGAACAAAAATAAAAGAATATAAAAGAAAAATCAATTTTCGATTATTTAGATTTTCTTTTTGTCATAATAATTATCATCTAGTATTCTGATGTATCGTTGTTGATTTTGTTACTTTTAATTATTCATCATCGAAACTTTAATCAACTTGTTGAGATTGAAAATATTTCTGATTATCATCATCATGTTAATAAGATACGCATGAGTATTTATATCAATCCCTGTGTTGATTTGATGAAGGCGTTGATGATAAGGATGATGAGGATAAAGGTGAAGATGATGGTTAAGGTTAGGATGCTGATGATGAGGATGAGGATGAGGAGGAGGAGGAGGAGGAAGATGATGAATCTAACTTTTTGTAAATAGGAAAGATAAACAAAAATCCGAATCACATCTAATCATTGAAGTTGAGTATAAGTTGATTGTGATTTTTTTGTATTCCTGTTGGTTGATAATAATTTTTTGCACCAAAGTGATAATCAATCAGTGATTAAATTATAACGGTGACAATTTGAAAATAATTGGTGGTTAAAGTCATAAGAATTTGATTAGTTTATTAACCAGTTTGAATTGTTTGACGTAAAGTTTTTCCGTTCAACTTTTATTCAGAGTTATAAAACTGTCACCAAATCGTTTGAGAATCATGAAACTGTCAAATTTCAAGGTATTCATTACAATCTTGATTGGATTTATGGGATTGGTGATAATCAGTTGGGCTCAAAAACCTCGACCTCGAGCTTATCGTGGTCTTCAGACTCGAGGTTACATGCCGTTGACCATTTCAACTGCCCGAGGGTTTGGTAAACGGACTAATCCGTTATCTAATAAGCAAATGTAAGTACTAATCATCATCTTAATCATAATCATTCCCACCCCTGAAAATCAGTTACCTGATTCAATACAAAGATCAAGACTTGATTAGACTCAATGAAAAGTTACTTTGGTTTTCGTTGGCAACTCCAATAATCTAGTACACTTGTTAGTTGTAACAATCAACTAATTGTCCACTCAAATTGTTTCCCTTTGATTCAGTTCATTACCAGAAATTTTGACAGCTCAGCTTATGGAGAGATTGGATTCGGAAAACCATGAAATGAACAACAATGATTTCAGGTGAATTGTGAACTAATCAAATCAAATCCAATCAAAAAAAAATGAGAAACTTAATTAACACAAAAAAAAATATATAATTCAAATCATCTTTGTAAAAAAAAGCAAACACAATTAACCAAACAATCAAATTATGTGATTGATAATCAATACTAAGTCTTTGTTTCCCATTTTCAATTTTAATTGTAACAACACTAAAACGACAACAATTAATCATTATCATGTATGAAGGGTAATCAACAATCAATCACCAACAATTTAGTCAGTATCAATGTTTTAAGTTTAAAAAAAGTATCAATTATAATGAAATGCAAGTTATTAACAATTAAACAATAAAAATTATTACTTGTTATCATCTAATGGTGATAATCAATTGATTTAATCAAGTATATTGAGTCTGATTTAATGATTATAATTTAATTCAGTTATGTAACTGATCAATACAATAATAGAAACAAAAAAAATATTAATAACAATTTAGGTTAATCAAAAGCAAATACAAAGTTAATCAACTTTAATTAGTATTCTCATATTAACTGATTTAGTTAACAATCACCTAGGCTTGAAAATTTACTCTGATTGTTACGATTAAATTATTAGGTCAAAATTAGAACTCGAAAAATATGAAATTCATCAAATTTTGATGAGAAGAGGAAAAAGTTTATCGATTAACTTTCAAGATCTTAAATTGTTGTTATTTTATTAACAATCAAATAAAACACGCGAAGAGTTGAATAATTATAATCACCATGAAGATGAAAATATTATCATGATGAAAAAGAACTCGAAAAAAAAAACAGAAAATTGAAATGTTCTAACTCGAATCGAATTAATCTCTCGAGTTTACTTATGTTTCTTGCGACAGTCAATCGATTTAAAGAAGTTTTTATTAACCAATTTACTAATTGTCTTGTTGTGATCTTCTGATTGATTGAGATAATCAGAAGTTACGATTCTCGAAGGAGTGAAAATCGAGGTTACAGAACAAGGAAAAGACGAAAATTCCAATGATAGTTTTAGATTCACTCGAATCGTTGGATAATCGTCACAACGAGCTAATTGTTAGTCCACTTCGAACAGCAACTTCAACGAAAATTTCTTGTCAATATTTTTATGAGCTTTTGGTGACTTGATTTATCTCTAATCTCGATAGTAACTGTTCACGCCCGTTTCGAAAAGGTCAGTATGGTTCTAGCCAATACTCTATTTCTCCCGTTGAAATATCTCGCCGATCAAATGGCCTATCGAAGTTTGGCTCATTTCTTTAAGGTATCTTGCCTTAGGTTCATCTACGTTACCAGCGGTAACTTTTCACCTCGAACTTGGACCAAATTTGTTTATCTCATCTCATTTCCACAACTAATCTTGGGTACACTTCGATTTGCCGTTTTACTTTTCCACGTTCACGATCCGTTTGTGTCCAAAATTTTGGCCAATTTTTCATTCTTCATGGGAGAAGCGGCATTCTGGTTCCTTCTTGTTTGCCTGGTTTGGTTTACGGCTGCTTGCGTCTGTCGAGTTTTCCACGAACTGTCCAATTCTCGACCTGAATGGCAGCTCTGGATTAAACCAATGACTTACCTTCAACATCCCGAATACACAAGTGACCTACAAACTCAAAACGGTGTAAGACTGGCATTGATTGTCCTTCGTTTCAATCTAATCGTGGCCGTTGTCTGTGCAAGTGCCGTTCACATACCCATCTTAATAAACTGGCCAATCTCTTGGTTACCATTGACCATTTTTGCCACCATCAACACGGGTTTCCATGGTTACCTGGTCTGTACCTATGAGATAAACTTCACCATAATATCGGCTCTTTATCTGTACATTTACGGACGTAAATACCATCGACTTACCGATTCGGCCATTTTAATTTCTTCTTCCATTGAAATTGATCCAAGTTTACCTTGTACCATTTTCCTGGATCGATTCAAGTCTCGAATAATCAATTGGACTCGGGAAATGTTCAAAATCAATAAGTTCATCTGTCGTATTATGAATACCATTTTTATCGGCACTTTTATCGCTGAGACACTTTGCATTTATCTGACCTTTTTCGTGTCCATCAAAGGGTCAACCAAATACATAATAACCTTATTAGGTTTTATGACCATCGTTTATGGACAAATGATTTGTTTCATCTTCGGTACTTATGCTCAACATCGGGTAAGTAATCAAATCAATGATTCCCAATCAAGGTAACAAGTTAATTTATCACCATGTTAATCACAATCAAGGATAAATTATATGTGATTAACTAATCAGAAAAAAAAGAAACCAGGTAAACATTAATGGTAATTAATTTTCACCATCTACAAATATTAAATTGTGTATAGTATTTAATTCCTAGATGAATATGTTAACAATCAACCATGAGGATTAATCAACTAAGGCAATCAAATTAAAAACTAGACAATCTAATCAAATGATAACAAAATAACATAACCTAAATCAGTTAATCCATCGTCTTAATCTTAATCCTCGATTGATTTGATTAAACAACAATCAAGAGTGAAAATAAACTGGCAACAAAAGGTTGAGTGATAATGGAAATGATAATAATAGTAATCAAGTTAATACCTTTAGAACTTTTCTTTTTCCTCTATCTCAACATATTCGAGAGTGAAAAAGTTCTGAACTTTCATGATAATATTGGAAAGAGAGAAACTTGAATGAAGAAGAAAAAAAAATCTGATAACAATTAATCCGAAAGATAATATGAATACTATTTTTAAGAAGCAAATTTTCATGATAGAAACTCAATCAATTGAAATTGTTGATTAAATGTTATGGTTTTTTACTAATCAACGATTAACAATCAAGGCAAATCCACCGTTGGAATCAAACTCTGAATATCATCAATGTTCATGATGATGATTATTTATGGATTCGTGTTGTTATCATGATTATTATTATTAATACTCTTTTTTTACCTTATCCAATCTCATGAATTTCACCACCATGAACAGTACGATGAATGTATAATCCAATTACACCACCTAATTGAATTCAAAGCCATGAAAATCCCTCTCTCCTTGAGGCTTAAGTGTCTCATCACCTCAGAATATCTGACTGAGCGGAAAATTTTCCTTCTCTTGGCGACAATTGAAGTATCCACCATGAACTTCATCAAGGTAAATTAAGAAAAAACAATAACAACAACAATCTAACAATTAATCAATCTAAACCTAATCCTTAATCATCCACCTTGATCAACATTCAAATCATCAAGAGCAACAATCAACAACTTTGACATTCACTTTGATTCTGTTGTTATGATTACATTTGATTCGTTAATTGTTCACTTTTGTTAATCATCATGATTAAAATTCATTTCAACTGAATATTGATATGAGTTCATGAGAGTTTATAAGTTTTTTTGTTTCGAACCTTCGAAATGTTCAAATCACGAACTTTTTTCTTTGAGTTTTGATCAACTCGAATTTTTTAACTCACAATAATAGTTGGGAAATTAAGTTCCAATTGTTGATGATTAACAATTAATCTAATTTATAGGTAATCTAATTAGTAATGATCCTTATACAAAGTAATCAAGATAATCAGTAGTTAAAGTTTGGTTTTTTATCTTGATTTAGTTAATTAACTGATTAACAGTTATGATTAGTTTACCTTAATTATATGAATGAATGAATATTGATTAAGTTGTTGATGATGATGATGATAAATTAATTAGCATTAAATTATATGATTGTTGATCAAATGTTTCATCATTGATGATTTAGCCTTTTAATTATCATTTCGGTTAATCATTATTTGCAATTTCTTAATTGTTAATCAACTTTCATCTAATAATCCAACTTTAATTTTGATTATCAGGTTCAAACTGAAATGGCAATGTTACTGTTAATGTTAATTAGTAATGTTAAATCATATCAATTTTAAGTTAATTGTGATCATCAACAATTTAACTTTATTCAATAATTATTCAAATCAAATTAACTTTTCAACTATTTAATTACCAAAGGAAACTTAATCATTTGGAGTAAACATTTTATCACAATCTAAATAATCTAAATGAAGGTTCATATTTATCATGAAAATTTGGATAACTGATTAGCTAATTAATCAATTGAATTAACTATCATATTAATTGATCTGTTTTCCTAGTTACGTCAATTCAATGTTAATTGTAACTAATTTGAAAGTCTAATTAAAATGAAAAACTTTTTTATTGCTCTTTGGAAAAGTTATTTTTTTTTATTAATCAACTTTTCTTATGGTTTAATTGTCAATCAATAAATTGTTGATACTTATCATGGATCAGGGAAAAAGATTCAATTTAAATGGGCAATTAACTAGTGATGAGAGTTTTAATTAACTTGGAAATAGTTTTAATTCAGTTTATATCTTCAATTTGGTCGAAAGTAGTTGGATTTCATTAACTGTGATTAGTTGATTGTAGAAAGAAATTTAATTTTCATCATAATGACTGACCAAAGGTCAATCAATGTGAACGGGGTTCCAGCGGTGGAATCGAGAAATTTAATGTTATCTTATCGAAATCGAGGTCAAACCAATACGATTCTCGATCGATTTCATCTTAAAATTCCGAGCGGAAGTGTTTACTCATTGATCGGACCTTCGGGTTGTGGTAAGACAACTTATTTGAGGTCGATTATTGGCCTGAAAAAGTTGGACTCTGGTGAGACACGAATCTTTGGTTTTCCATTAGGTCATCGATCACTGGACATTCCAGGTCGAGATTTAGGTTATATGCCTCAAGAAACGGCTCTAAATGATGACCTGACGATCAGTGAGATGATCAATTACTTTGGTAACTTATATGGTGTCCAAAGGAAAGAGTTGAAATCCCGGTCACTTTTATTGTGTAAACGATTAGGGTTACCGGACATTAACCGACCGGTAGCTCGTCTGAGCGGTGGACAACAGCGTCGAGTCTCATTCATTTGTACCTTGATACATTCGCCGCGATTAATGATCCTCGATGAGCCCACGGTGGGTTGTGATCCTTTAATCATTGAGACAATGTGGGAATGTGTCTTTGAAATTGCCCGATCAGCGGGTACAACGGTTATCGTGACGACCCATTACCTGGAAGAGGCCAGAAAAACCGATATGATCGGTTTCATGAGAAAAGGTCACCTTTTAGCCCAAGGTGAACCGAGTAAAATTCTTGACCGTTACCAAGTTGACTCAATTGAAAAGGCTTTCGCAAAGATGGTCAAGCAAGATAAGGTCAGAAAAAGTTTAGCCGTTCCTACGGGCTCATTGCCGACATTTGCTCGACGACCCTCATCGATTGCGCCTCGACCTTTGTTCACTCGAACCAATGTTATCAGTCAAATTTCCCGTTACATTCAAGTATCTCAGGCTGTTTTCCATCGGGTTGCTCTTCGATACACTAAGATAAAACTTCACCTTTTTGGATCGACAATTTTGACCTTACTACTTGTCGGTCTTGCAGCCATTTGCTTGGGACCAACTCCTCATGGCCTCAAAGTGGGCTACATCAACAATGAACAACCAGTTAACTATTCGTACTCGTTTGTTAACTCAATTAACACCCATGTTATTAACCTAATCGCTTACAATAATAGTGAGTCCGCTCATTATGATATGGAAGAGGCCAGAATTCATGGTTACTTTACTGTATCGGCGGGTTACACTGACGAAATGATCTCACTGATGACCTTTCAAAAACCTCCTTCTGAAGTTCATCCAGATCGAGATTCTAAAGGAATCGTAACTTTCCACCAATCACATGAAGATTTAATCTCAGATACGATTGAACACTTTCTAAATAAAGCGCTGAACATTTCGGCCTGGAGGTTATCACGGCGGGTACTTCATCACCCAAAAAGAGCTCAAGCTCCGCTGATTGTAGTAAATTCAATAGCTGAACCCGAATTGGATGAAGACATTTTCAACTCGCGAAATTTTTTCATCCAGGTTAACACAATGTTCTGGTCATTTGCGGTCAATTTGTACTTTTCAATCTTCACCTTTCACCGAGACTATTCAGATTCCCTTTATGAACGAAGCCATTCAGCCGGTTCAACGCCAACACAATTCCTATTGAGTCACTTAATTGTCTCAATTTTCATACCCGCTTTCAATTGTTTGCCAGTGTTAATATTGATCATCGTTACCTTTGGTGCCACCGCTAAAGGATCAATACTTTTAACGGCTCTCATTTATTGGATCAATAATGTGGCCGCAATTGTGACCGCTTTCATCATGGCCACAATGAAATTGGATGTTTTCTTTATCCTTGTTTTCGCTGGGGCTTATTGTTTCGTCACCATGTTTCTAGGAGCTGCCCAGTGGTCAACCATAAGTTTGCCCTATTTTCTTAAACCAGTGACCTGGATTTTTCCCAATATAATCAATAATCCGGCCATGATCAGGGTCATGGTCCACGGGGACGGACTCGATTCGTCCCAAGTTTACCTCCAATTTTGTACACTTTTGGCTATATAACTTTAATCTTGTTCATTTTAAGGTTTCAACTTTAATCAAACTCTTAATTGTAAATAATCAAAGTTGATTCATGAAAAAAAAAATCTGAAACTCAACTGAAAACTCATAAACTAATTTCCTGTTATTTTATCAAAATAAATCCACTGACCAATGGTAAGTTAATTGTCAACAATTAACATGAACAAGGAAAAGGAAAAACAAATTGATTAAATGTTGATAATTACCATTGGAACCATTTCCTGGTTTTAAACCCCTGAGGCTTTAATTTCAACTCTCTAATCATTTAATGATTTAATTTCATTTTCCAAATTAATTATGATCATGATGATAATCAAATGCCAACAAAAGTAGGTCACTAATTAAATGATTGATCTTCAATAAATTGAAACATTTTGTTAATTGTAAAAATTGTAAAAAAGTGACTTAACCAGTTAAGAGATGGCAGCAGTTGAAATCAACTGAAAAGGTTAACAATTAACTTAATCAAATCCCCTTTGCAAGGATTAAATCAATTTAAATTGTTAAAGATATTATAATTAGAGTGTAATTAATGATTGGATTATGCAAATTGATAATTTATTAGAATCAAATTCAACTCGTAATCGCGATGGAAATGATGAAATTAATATTCTGCTAATATTTTGTTTTATTTTCATTTTAATTGTTGGTTTAATTGTTATTTTCGTCCCGCTATCAAAGTATTTATTTCATTTGATCTACAAATTATTAAGGGGAAAAGGTGAAAGTTTAAAATCAACCGATAAATTTAGTGCTAAAGAACATCAATCAAAAGCGTTCATCGATTTACATACATTTTCGTTATATGGATCACCGGTATTTATGAAGTCAGAAACTCGAAAAAATTTGGACTCGGAAAAAAGCTCGACTCAAAGTCGAATGAGCGAATCACTGTCCACACCATTGACCGCGACACATCGGAATCGAGTGAGTTTTTCAGCGAAATGACAGAGTTAAATCAATTTGGATGGAAATTAAGTTCTATTTCAATTCTCAACTAATCGACTAATCGTTAGTTAATTGTCACGATTGTCACCAATCAAAAATCAACTACAACTAATCAATTAACTACTGTAAATGTCTATTCACACATATGATTAAAGTATTTACAATTAGCTAAATTGTTATTGGGTATTTGAAGGTAAGAAATGAGAAGATTTGTTTTTTGTTTCTGAATCAATTGAGTCTTTTTATTCAAGGTTAATTGTGAACAATTTAATTGAGATTTTTCTGGTTAAATTGTAGATAAAAGTGAATGAACTAAATGAGAAAAAATCTAATCGTAAGAGAATTAAAATTTAGAATATCAATAATTGAGTAATTTTAAAGGGTTAATCATGTTAATCAAATGATTTACCAGTTTGTGAAAAGCTCTAAGTGACAATTGCTAAATAGCAGAAGCAAAATAATCAACAATTAATTGTAAACAAAATGTTCAAATTGGGTTACAATAAAGGGATATGAAAGAGACGAGTGAAGTTAATTGTTAGTCAACATACACATGATGATGATGAGTGATTAAGTGGGATGGAATATCGTTCGAATATTGTTTTAATTAATTTTTATAAAAGCAATCTTTTTATGTTTTTTTTCATGTTTTTAAAAAACAGTTAAATCATTTTTAATTAACTTTTATTTGTTTTACAGTTTTAATTGATCAAAGTTATTAAAACAACCCAATTAACGGTAAGTTGATAAATTCAATTAAATAAATCCAAATAAATTTCATCTAAATCTATTATTGTGATTTAACCCTTCTTGTCTCTTCTTTCCATAGGTAGATACCTTGGTATAGTGTTCAATCGTCATTTGTTGATTTTGTTTTGTTTCACAACGCTTCAGTTAATTGTTTCAAAGTTTCATTGATCCAGTAATCCAATAAACGGTAAGTAATTACAAATTAATCAAAATATCATTATAATCATTGACCCTTCTTGTCTTCTTCCTCTAGGCAATGTTGTTGAATTTTTTAACAAGAAATGTTCGAGGAAGCATCAATTGTACCGAAGAGCCATCAAAAATGTATAAACAAAAAAATTTTAAGTTTATTGCAACTTTCCAAGAATGCAACAGCGCCGACCTGGAGAGAAGGGTGAACAGTTTTGCCGGACCTTCCACCCAACGTTTAACCCGAAACAGAGTGATTAAGCCAGGCTATATTGGCAGCGGTCGTTTATTAACGACCTTCATTATGGATTACAATCCCGAGAATAAGTTCTCACCGCAAAGGGTCTCAATAGGGAGTGAGAGCAAATTTAATGTTCTAATTTTTGATCTCAATGGTTTTCGGTTGGGAGTTATTAATTCCTACCGAGAGTCACATTTTGATCTCAATTGTTGGGGGTCAATAATTTTTGCCGGATTGGACCTCCTAACTCATGGGGGCAAAGATTTAAATCTTCAGCGAGTTGAACCTGTCCATAGCTTGATTCTAGCTGGGGATTTTAATATCGAGAATGTCTTTTTTGGACGAGGAGCAAGCGCTCAAAGACTTAAAAAATCGGTCGGATTGATTTATATTTTAGAAAAATTTGATCTAATTCCAGTGAGTGATGAGCCAACTTGGAGTTATAATTCAATTGATTATATTTGCTATTCCAATCTGAAACTCACAACACCTTCCATCAGGTTCGACAATTTAGTAAACAATTCCGATCACAAGCCAGTCTATTGCACTTTTGAAATCGACAATCAAAGGCCAAAAAAACTTAACGAAATTGTCCGATGCACATCCCTCGGCAATAATGATACAGGTTTCGAGCAACGTACTGCTCGTGCCTTGGAATTAATTACGGATACAGATGAGATTGAACCTGGAAATGATGAAATTAATATTCTGCTAATATTTTGTTTTATTTTCATTTTAATTGTTGGTTTAATTGTTATTTTCGTCCCGCTATCAAAGTATTTATTTCATTTGATCTACAAATTATTAAGGGGAAAAGGTGGAAGTTTAAAATCAACCGATAAATTTAGTGCTAAAGAACATCAATCAAAAGCGTTCATCGATTTACATACATTTTCGTTATATGGATCACCGGTATTTATGAAGTCAGAAACTCGAAAAAATTTGGACTCGGAAAAAAGCTCGACTCAAAGTCGAATGCAAAGCGAATCTCTGTCCACACCATTGACCGCGAACACATCGGAATCAAGTGAGTTTTTCAGCGAAAATGACAGAGTTAAATCAATTCTGGATGGAAATTAAGTTCTATTTCAATTCTCAACTAATCGACTAATCGTTAGTTAATTGTCACGATTGTCACCAATCAAAAATCAACTACAACTAATCAATTAACTACTGTAAATGTCTATTCACACATATGATTAAAGTATTTACAATTAGCTAAATTGTTATTGCGTATTTGAAGGTAAGAAATGAGAAGATTTGTTTTTGAATCAATTGAGTCTTTTTATTCAAGGTTAATTGTGAACAATTTAATTCAGTTTTTTTCTGGTTAAATTGTAGATAAAAGTGAATGAACTAAATGAGAAAAAATCTAATCGTAAGAGAATTAAAATTTAGAATATCAATACAATATAATTGAGTAATTTTAAAGGGTTAATCATGTTAATCAAATGATTTACCAGTTTGTGAAAAGCTCTAAGTGACAATTGCTAAATAGCAGCAGCAAAATAATCAACAGTTAATTGTAAACAAAATGTTCAAATTGGGTTACAATAAAGGGATATGAAAGAGACAAGTGAAGTTAATTGTTAATCAACATACACATGATGATGATGAGTGATTAAGTGGGATGGAATGGTCAAAAAATGAACGGACACACTTATGACAATTGAAAGAGAGGAAAATTTTTCTTTTCATGGAAAATGAACTTTTTTGAACAGTTAAGGATTGATTTTGATACAAAGTTCTGGCATAATGTACTGATTGAACGGCTTGATGATCTCGTCGACCTCTTGTTTGGTCATTTTGAACTCTGTCTCTGCCATATCGTAAAAAGAGACCGCTGATCTTGGGACCCGTCGATAGTTGACCTTACAAGAGCCACCCAACCAATCGGGTAGATTGTTTTCATTGATCAATTCGAGAAGCTCCTTTTGTCCACCGAATTTGATCTTGCCACTGAATCCGAGGGTAAGAATGAGATAACCATGTTTGCGAAAGCTCCTAAAAGCCAAGGTAATCCATAGATTAAACATTGACTTGCACCTCGAGGATATCGAGTTCGAAGAGTTGACGAGAAAAACATGATCATATCCAAATCGGTGTTGTAAAAATTGGCATCCGAAGCGTCCAAGATGATCAACCAAGATTCTCGTTCCTCCCTCACCGAATCGATTGTTTCAATCATATTGACGACATAATGTTTGATCCTATCCTCAAGTTGATCGATTTTCCTATGAATTTTTCCTCGAATATAAAGAGTTGGCCTTCCCTGTTTATCGACCTCATAAGGTATCCAAGCGGAAACTTGATAAATCTCTTTGGGAATTGATAAAGGATCGAAATGATTAACACCAAATGATTTTCTCCATTCCATCGTTGACCTTAACTTCTCAAAAGTATCGTCAATGGATTCATTTGGATCGGCCATGAATCGAGTAACCCAAAAATCTTTGTCCATCACTTTACGATAATCAATCTCATCGTAAAGTTCAGGATGAGCTGAATATTCAGTTGAAAAACGATCTCTAAGTGTATCAATTTTTTCACAATACTTTAATCCAATTTCTAAATCAGATTTAAACTGCGATTTATTAAGACCATTTTTGGTTAATTTAACACTTTTGTCTTTAATTATTAAGGAATCACAATAACTACCAATAATAAAATAATTTACCACTAACAGAACATGAAACATTATCACAATTACCTTCGGTATTATTGTTTGTTGGTGATGATGATTTATCCATGATTGGCACCGAAATCATTTCAATTGTTCAGGTGAATAACAGACAACCAAAAATACACAATTAAATTAATTGCAATTACTTGTAAATCAACAACAAAAAAGTAGAAGCTTATTTTGTATACTTTTAATTTTGATTAATGAGTCTGAGAGAGAGTTTTAAAAAAATCTTTTATTCAGATGATTTTCCCATGTTAAGTTGTTTGTAGACGAAAATGGTTACTGAAAAGACGAACTACTATCCACCCTTAAGCCCCTTCCGTCAATAGGCCTGAAAGTTTGGCCTTAAGCGGTAGTTCGGCTGCACGGGAAACATTAGAAGAAGAGAATATTTTTAGTGGAAATTCAGCTGAAGGTGGACTTTTCGAGAATGACCTTCTTCGAGTTCGAGCCTCCATACTAATAATGATAATAAAGCAAAATTATAACTGTTAGTTTGCCATTTGAGTTAATTAATCATAACAATTTAATTCAATTTGATGAGTTAATTTGGATTCTTGGTGGAAATTGTATTTTTCTGTGTTGGTATTTAATTTTGATTTTTCAATTGAAAATCAATGAAAACAATTAGGTGAAAATATTAATCCATAAGCAATTTAACCTTTTAACAAGTAAATCATGATGAAAGTTAATTGTTTGATTATTTTAAATGTTAATTGTAGCAAATTTATTTCAACTCTCATAGTTGATTATTAATTGTTTCATTTATTTACAAAAATCTTTCAAGTTTTCAATTGCAATTTAAACTAAATCAACTTATCCAATCACTTTTAGCTGTTACAATTAACTAAACAAAGAGAGGGAACAATTTATTTTTCAATCAATTTGATTGTTTGAAGGTTAGGCCTTTGAATATAATCAACTAACCACAATTAACTTTACGATGACTATGATTATTTGATGATTTAAATTATTATTAGTTAAATTGTTTAATGATAATCTTAATAAAGGAAAATCAAATCAACTGGAAAATTAATTTGCTTAATTATTAATAATCAAAAAATTACCAATTAATTTGTATAGTTAATTGTTGAAAGGTTAGTGATCAATATCATTAACCTTAAAATTGATTAGTTATTCATCTTACAATTTATTAATCATTTGCATCTATTTATTGTTAGCATTTTGATTAACTCATCATGATAATCAATTTAATGATTACATTGAACTTGATTAAAGTGTTAACTGTTAATATAAACATGGTAACAATTAGCCGGTTGATTAACGTTCATTGAATCCCAGAAATGAACGGAAAAAATAAAATTAACAATCAAAATTAAGCTGAAACAATTTAATTACCAATTAATACTTAGTAGACATTAAATTAAATCAACTTCCAATGTCCTTGTCAAAACTAAATTAAATCTAATTCAATTTTGTCCTCTAGTTGATCAACAAACACAATGATTAGTTTTTTGATTGTTGTTGTTTATTAATAATCAACAACTAATTCAATAATAATGAATACAAAACAATTTAAATTAACCTTGATTGTAGGAAAAACAAAAATTGATTAAGAATGACAATTTAATTTGAAACAATTAAATCAGAATGTAGATTGTTTTTAAATTGTTAATATCACCCAACCAAATTAACTAAATCAAAGTATTAAAGGTTAAAAATGGTGAAAATTAAAAGTTTCCACTCTCATGATTAACAATTAACAAATTGTTTACCAATATCAATTAACCAAAAAATCCAAATCATCAAGCTAATGATGATTAAAATTGATTGTAACAATTAAAAGGGTAACAACCAGAATAATGAACTTGTTGATTGTTTATTTTTGATTCTTCCTTATATTTGATATGATTAACAGAATTGAAACAATTTATTCAAACAATTAATAAATGGCAATGATTTGAATGATGATAATCATCATCAGGGAGGGTGGGTGGTGATTGCCTTATGATTGATTTAATTAATTGTTGTAAGTATCATCATCATCATCAAGGTTGGGCGTGATTAAAATGATAAATTTAATAATAGTGATAATTTAATATTGAATAGTAACCATTTCAATTTTGATCAATCAATGATTAGTTGATTGTTTGAAGCATCATCTTTAAACAATTAAACTTTTACATTTACAGTTATGAATTACCGTTTAACTTGATCAATCAAATTTCAACAATTAACTTACAAAGTCAATTGATATCAACTAATCATTCAATTTAAATTGTAACAACAATCAATGTAATCAAGTTTCCTAAAAATCATCTTGAAAAACTTTCAATTTAAAAGGTAATTACAATTAACTTTATTTTTCTTTACTATTTAATTGCTAATTACAATTAAGATTTTGTTTTTTTTCTCATTTTTCTCTACACAATTAATATACACAAAATTAGATTTTAATTTTAATTGTTTCCGGTGATTGTTGAATATTAATTGTTTAAACTAGTGGATAATTGTGATCATGAAGGAATCAATTACTATCGATCCAATTGATTGTAGTAAAATTGATTCAGATGATTTTATAATTGAAACAAATCATCCAAATGATTCAAGTGAAACCAATTCAATTAAAACAGCGACAACAACAATTATCGGTTCTGATGACAATTTATCCAATATTATTTCATCCTGTTCATCTCCATCATTAACTAATCAACAACAACAACAACAACAATTATCTAACCAACAATCAAATCAACGGTCATCATCATTATCTTCATCATTCCGTCGAGTCTCAATTACATCTAATTCATCATCATATTGTCAATCAGCTCGTCAACAGCAATCAACTAATCACCGAACATCAAATCAGAATAAACAAATTTTATCGCCAAACAATTTAACCTCAACCACTCCGGATACAATATCATTATCTTCCGCTTCGGCTTTACCACCGGTGGGTTATAATTATCAGTCTGGTGGAAGAGGAGGAGTGGGAGGAGGTAAATATCACCATGGATCTAATAGTTTACCCACCGGCAATTATGTTGGTCGAAAAGCGTCCATTGTAATGTCCAATTTACGCCGATCATCGGTCCAAGTGGTCATCTCAGTTTGGACCTCATTTCGAGGGATTTTCTTTGCCTTTTTATCGGCAATTTTTTTCTCCATCACTTCCGCCATAGTTAAACATCTTTCCGACATTCATCCGGGAGTAATGTCACTTTTCCGTTTCATTGGGATTCTACTTTTCTCAATTCCAATGGTCACTGAGGTTGGAGCGAGAAATATCCTTGGACCTCGAAATTTACGCTTATGGGTTTTACTTCGAGGTGTGGCCGGGGCAACTTCCGTTTACCTGAGATATTGTGCTCTTCAATATTTACCGATTGCAAACGCGACCATAATTGTACTTTCCATGCCCGTTTTTGTCTGTATCTTGGCTCGAGTTTTCCTTAAAGAGCCTTGTGGTGTTTTCCATGTGATCGCACTTGCGGTTACCCTTTTGGGTATCGCTTTTACCGCCAAGTTAAATGTGATCTTTGGATCATCGGAAGAAGAGGCAGCCGATGCTGGTATTGATAAAACGGCTCATCTTTTGGGTCTAGCAGCGGGTATGGGGGCCACTCTTGTTGGATCTTCTTCCTATGTTATCGTACGTAAGGTCAAATCTCTTGATCAATCGGTCATTTTATTCAACTTTGCCTGGGTCGCCATCATTGAGACCTCAGTATTGACCTATTTCCAGGACGGGTTTGCCCTTCCAACCACCATCATTGGTACCTGGTTATTGGTACTATTGACCATTGCCTCCTTTTATGCTCAATTCTTACTGACCAAAGCACTTAAATGTGAAGAGGCTGGACTGGTCTCCGTGACCCGAGCCTCATCTGAGGTCATTCTGGCTTTTCTCATGCAAATATTTATATTCCAATCGATGCCCGATTGGTATTCATATGTCGGCGCTTTTCTGGTCACCACCGCGGTCTCAATGACCTCCGTTCGTAAATACATTGTCACCCTACCCAAAGATAGCACTTGGAGACGTATATTTGCCTTCACACTTAAATAATCAACTAATTGTTGACCGTAAATTGTAAACAATTTAACTAAATCTAAGATCTAATCGTTCAAAAGACAAGATGAAACTTTTTATTTCATGTTAACCTAATAGCTTTTAATAGTTAACAATTAAACTACAATTTGATTTGATTGTGGTTCTCATTTATCCCTCCTAAATCATCAATTTAATTTGATTTAGTTTAATTGATCAATCAACCAATTAAACTATTCAATTACCTTTACAATCAATCATTTAACTATGTAAATCAATCCCAATAAATTAAATCAACTTACAATATTTATCAGATGATTAAAAGTAATTAATTTAAACTGATTTTTACTAAATTGTGAAAATTTTTAAATATTCATAATTGTTAACAATTAGATGGACTCTTTTTCAACAATTTAATTAGCACGATGATTAATTAATCTTGTTAACCTTTTTTATTTCTGTATTGATTAACTTTTTAAACTTTTCAATTTGTTTTAATTATTAATTGCCCATGAATCTAATTGATTGTTAATTGTTATTCAGGTCAATTTAATTTCTGCTGAATTGTTAATTTAATTGTTTACTAATTTACAATCACGTTTGACAATAGTTTTCATGTCAATTAATTAACCAATTTGTCAATTAAATGATGATTCCAATTTTAAATTGCTAGAAAATCAAATAGACAAAATTTTTGATTCTCTAGAATAAAAAAAAAGGATCATGATTATTGAACAACAATTAACTCTAATTGTTGCTTAATCATGATTTGTGGATTCACTAAATGATCACAAATCTATTGTAACAATTAAAAGAATCAACAAAAAAGAAAGAGAAATTGGTTAAAAGAAAGAGAATCTCTTGAGTCTTTCTTTTCTCTCTTTCTTTTCTCGGTTTGTTTACATTTTTTTCCCAATCACCTCTTAGAATGTTGTTAATTGTAATCAATTAATTAACTAATTTAAGGTAAGTTTTATTAGAATTTTCAATAAATTCCATTTCTATTAACCATTGGTGAGTCTAATTGTAATGTTATTCTTAATTGTTACCCTAGATTTTACCTTCTAATTGAAGATAATCAAATTGGATCTGTTGGGGAAAGAAACTCAATACAATTGACATTTTTTTCCAATTTTTTTTTCTTCTTCTCTCTTAATTGTTGATTAATTGTGGACAATGGACTCTTCTGGAAACAGTATTAACACCATCACTGGTGATGAAAGTGTTTGTGTACGTCGTATATTGTCAATCAATGATATGGATCATTGGTTTAAATCAAAGGGCTACAAAGATGTAACCGCTTTCATCCGACAATTAAATGATTTTGCCAAAGGTGCTCACAATCATCTCTCCGATAGGTCAACAATTAAAACACCATGTTTACTTGGTGTTCTTCAATTGTTGGACAATTTAACTAACCTGGTAGATGATATAAAACCCATTCAAGGTGATAAGAATCAACGATTTGGTAATAAAGCTTTTCGCCTTTGGTGTGAAGAGATGAGGAAAAAATGTTCATTTCTATTTGAAGAAAACTTTGACCCAACCCTTAAAGGTGAATTACTTCCCTATTTACAAGAATCATTTGGTAATCAACTTCGTATTGATTATGGAACTGGCCATGAATTGTCGTTCATCATTTTCTTAATGGGAATTTACAAGTTGGTCATTTGTGTGGATAATATTAAACTACCAATGGATAAAGCGAAACAAGTGTCACATGAATTTTTAACTCTGTTTACCGTTAATTATATGCCCTTGTGTCGTAAGGTTCAATTGGCCTATCAATTGGAACCAGCGGGTTCTCATGGTGTTTATTCATTAGATGATTTCCAATTTTTACCCTTTCTCTTTGGTTCGTCTCAGTTAATTGCTCATCCAACTCTTGAGCCGAAAAATTTTCCTGATCCTCAAATAGCTGAAGATAATTCATCTAAATTCATGTTCTTTGCAGCGATTCACTTTATCCATCAGGTTAAAAAAGGTCCTTTTCCTGAGCACTCTAATCAACTTTGGAATATCAGTGGTGTCGAAAATTGGACTAAAATAAATCGTGGTCTTCTCAAGATGTACACAGATGAAGTTTTGAATAAATTTCCAATCGTTCAACATTTGGTCTTTGGTCCGAACATTTTGATTTGGGATCTTGCCAGTTGATTGTTGCGAACTTTTTTCCTCTTCTCCTTTTCTAGTTGTTCATTATATTACAATTGAGAAATGAAATTAAAGTGAAACCTTTACAATGATAGGTTATGGTTTCAATTAATTTTTATTTTAATTTCTCTTCTTCTTTTCTAATCTTTGAACATAATTCTTACTCCTAATGATAGACTTTTAAAATTATTTGGGGATAAAGGAAATGTGAATATAACACTTTTTCTGATCATCTTAATCAATAAGATTATTGATCAAAAGAAAAATATATTGACACATTTTCTTAGAGAATCAGGTGAAAACAACAAAAGATGATGGAACAGTTAAAGATGAGGAGAAATTAACAACTAATCAATGGATTAACATCATCCCATGAATCCAATCCAAATAAAATTCAGTATCAGGAGTATAATTTACTATAAATAGGAGCTTCTGGTTAGACTGTTTTGTTTTGTTTACAACTTTATTCCTCCGGTTTGTATGGATGAAGATGTGCTATATCCTTCCAGAGTCTCTGTAGACAATTAAAGAAGAAAAAAATTCAAAACAATTAATCAACAATAAGACAATCAATCAAATTAAAGACTGAAACACTCACCCCTTTGTTATATGTATTGAAGGCCCAATCTGTAAGAGCATCAACTCCTCGTTCAAAGAAAATGGCACCAACTACCACTGTTATCGCGGTGGCCGATGTCTTCTGGAAGAGGGTTTTATAAATTACACTAGAAATAGCCATAATTAACAATTAACTAATCAATCAATTAGTCTAAAAACCAAAAAACAAATTTCACCAACAAATGAGACTTGAGAAGTTAACATAAGGTCATCAAAGAAAAGGGAACGTCTCATAATTACGAACCTTTTTCGAGAAAAAAATTGAAAAAAAGTTGATTATTTTTTCTCGATCACAACAATTAACTTTAAATTGGAAGGAAATAAATTTATTTTGATTGAAAGAAAATTTATTAATTAAATTGTCTTTTGTTTTGTAACATTGAACAAGAAAAGAAAACAAAAGAAAACAAAAAGAAAACAAAAAGAAAAATAAAATTAGAGAAATTTTTAAATTTCTATTGATGATTAACGATCTTTATGTTTATTAACTTCTTAACTAATTAATGTTCAGAAATTGATTAAGTTAATAAATTCCTACATCCTTGATGATTAATAGCAAAAAAAATTAGTGTTACAATCAAAATAATTAGTTGAATCTTCCGTTAACAGGAAAAATGATGAGATGATTATTATTATTGGAACAGGAAATGAACATTTTGATTTAATCAACAATTAACATTTAAACGTCAATAGAATGAGTGAAAAAATTAAAAAACTGATTAACCGGATTAACAAATATGATTTTCATTCAAAATATTCAACAATTATGAAGATAATTTAACAAAATCAATAAAAATTTACCTCAAAAATGTTTACCTTGATAGTTTTAATTGTGCTGATTAAATTTAATTTAACAGGTAAGATCCTAATGAATAACAAGATTAAATGAAAGAAATTAACTAATCTTTAACAATTAGAATCTCATTGGAATCAACAATTACGTTACATTAGATCCGAATCAACAACAAAACCAATTGAACAATTAACTTCAAATCAATCATCAACATCGCCACAACCACAAGAATCACCACAATTAAATTTAACAACAGGTAAGTTGAACAATTAAAATTCGAGTAATTTAATTACAATTAATCGTCTTAATTGTTCAGATTTATATTTCGTCGATGAACCTGAAATATTATCTCGTTCAAAGGAATCAGTTGAATTAAGGATATTCCCAATTAAGAAACATCTTCGCAATCAAGTACAGTTAAGTATCTAATTGTTGACAATTAACGAAAGAAAATCAATACAATTACCAAGAAGAAACAATTAATCAATTATTCTTGTTAATTGTGATTATCATTTTCTTTCTCTCTCCATTGATTATTGATTGAATTTAATTTTCTTTAGTAATTTAAATTGTTCAACAATTTCGATCAATAATAATATTGATAATAATAATTCATCGGAACAATTTATTGATGATATTATTGTTACTCGAACAATTAAAGCTTGGATTGAACCTGATCGTCTCTTAATTGCTCCAGGATCAAGTGTTACATTTATTTGTTATATAATCTCAGGTGATCCAGTTTATTTTGAATGGTCATTCAATGGTCAATCACAATTAAAATCATCATCATCATCATCAACAATCAAAAGTGATCTTATAATTAACAATAAAACCCTGAAAGATTCAACAATTAACACACTTGATTTACTTGATTCCTCTACAAGTGATTTACCTCTTCACCGTAATTCATTAACAATTAACAATATTACCTCAAAATCAACAGGTAATTATAATTGTAAAATATTTGGAATTGGTTACAAATCAATTAAATTAACTTCACAATTAACAGTTTCTCAACGATACTCATCAAAAAGCAAGGATATCTTTCAGTTAATTGTTTCCCTGATAATTGCTTCACCTTTCCTAGTTGGTTTAATTATAATCAATCTAATTGCCTGTTGTGGTGTAAGAAAAGTAAATTCAAACAATTTAAATTCATCCCCAACAATTAACAACAACAACAACAATTTAGCTGAACAATCAGTTTAAAATCAATCCATTTGTATTAATTGTGGTAATAGTAATTTAATTGTCTCTAAAACAATCAAATAAATTGTTGAAAAGTAATTCCGTATTATTATTATCAATATCAACTTGAACTTAAATTAACTGGCAACAATCAAGAATATGAAAAATTTAATTAACATTTATAATTCTTAATTGTAAAATCAATTAGATGTTATTTTGTAATCGTTGAAACAGTTAACACTCACCAATCGAGTGTTAATCAACTGGATCAAAATGATGGATCACAATTAACTGGTCGTAATTATAGTTACACTTATGGACAATCAGCTGACCAGCAATTACCATATTATGCTGCAATTAAATTAACACCAGAACAATTAGCAACCCAACCAATTGAATTAAAAGTTGGTTCCAACGATGGAAATGTTAACAATTATCTTAATCCTCCATTGAAACCAAATCGACAATATCGATTTGGATTAGCTGCTTTGACCCTCGACAATCAATTCTAATTGTTCAATCATCACGTTCGGTTATACGTAAGTTAATTAAATCCAGTTAATCAGCGACCAACAATCTAATGGAAAATTGTAAACAATTTAAGTTTCTAACCGAAAACCAGTTTTAATTATAATTTTCTTTCTCTTTCTTTTCTCTTTCTCTTTTTCTAAAACAAATTCATTTGCTTTTCTATTCATAATTTGGTGACATCAACACTCTTGTTATTTTCCCAGTGGAATCAACTGATTCCGATTTAATTAAAACCCTAATCGCCCTATTTGCTGGATTAATTGTAATTCTTTTAATTATAATCGCTGGATTAATCTATTACCTGTAAGTAGATTTACTAATATATATAAATCAGTTAATTTTAATTTCTTTGTTTGTGTCTTCAAAAATTCAAAATCTCAAAGGTGACAAATAGGTGAAAGTGCTAAGGTGTTTTCTTTTTTTCTGATGTTCTTTTTCTGGAATAATCTTAATTTCTTTAATTGTTGTAAATATTATTGTTTATTGTTCCTTGCTATTAATTAATTAATTGTGTGTGTGTCTCTCTCTCTCACCTTGAAAGATTTACCTGATTAATAGTCTTGTCTTTTTAATTATTTGCTGATTGATGTGATTGCGTTGCTGCTTCAAGGTATTTAGTATATGTTTACATGTACTTATATATGTTGATATTATTTTCTGTTTCTTAATTTAGCTTTTTGTTTGTTCACCAATTAATTTATATTCAATTAATTGTTTTGTGTTACCTTAATTGTGGTCAACTGTCCAATTACTTTTTGTCCAATGAGAATACAATTAACCCGATTTAGTCCGTTCTTAGTTGAAGTGAAACAAAAAAATTTATCCAAAAGCGTAAGGGTTAATCTGTATGTGTATCTATTAATATATATACAATATGAAAGGAAACATTGTGATTATTACTAATTGTTATTACGGAAAGTTAATGATTGTATTTTCTAATCAATCTATTGAAACTGTGTGCAAATACAATTGATTGTTAACGTTGATTACTAATTGTTTTGTTATCATTTTCCTTTTCCAGGAGAGAGGCTGAAGTTGATGTCCGTTGGCAAGATGTTGTTATGATATGGAGTAAACGCCATAGAAGTTCATTGTTTAAGGATAGAAATCGTTCCTATCGACGCTGTGAAGGTGATTAATTAGTTAATTGTTTACCTTTGGAACAGTAAAGTAACGAAATTTTAATTGTGTCTCTTTGTGTTTTCCATTAGATCATCTGAATCGTTTGACAATCTCTTGTGGAAATAATAACAAATCATCTAATAAGTTTCTCTCTGGTTCATTGGATAGACGATTACATACAAATTCATATATTAACATGGAGGTTGAACATCATTTGATTGATTTACCAAGTTTGGATGTTTCTTTAAGAGATTCAAGTTTCCTGACAATTTTACATACAGAATTTAATTCAATTCCTTTCATGCAAATGCCTTCAATTGATGGAACCAAACCAGAGAATCGGAAAAAGAATCGTTATGTTTACATTCCTGCCTTTGATTTTAATCGGGTTAAGTTAATTGTCGATGAAGATGAAAAGGTTAACATTGATTCTACATCAACAACAACTACTACAATCACTAAAGAATCAACTGTTGGTGATGAGGAAAATAAAAATGATACCGATGGATTAACTGTATCATCACCATCATCATCATCCTCTTCAAGTGTAACAATTAAACCAACTGATTATATTAATGCAAGTTACATTGATGGTTACAATCAATTGAAAAGTTACATAGCAACACAAGGACCATTAAATTGGACATTCAATGATTTCTGGAAAATGATTTGGCAACAAGATTCTTGTCAAATTGTCATGTTAACTGGTCTTTATGAGAGTGGAAAAGTAAGTTGTAATTAACTAACAATTAGTTTGTATCAATTGGTTAACCTTAACCGATCTTTAATTGTTGTTTTCCATCAGATTAAATGTGATCAATATTGGCCTGATGATGGGGAAAGTAATACCTATGGTAAAATAGCTGTTAAACATTCATCTACCAACACTGATTCAGTTAATTATGTTATCAGAAAATTTACTGTGACAAAGGTAATTTAATCATTATTGTGATCCCATCAATCATTTGATTGTTTTCAATTTGTTTTGTTTTGTTTTGTTTTCAATCAATTTAAAATAGGGAGATGAAAGTAGAGAAGTGATTCTTTACCATTACGTTAATTGGCCTGATCATGGTGCTCCTGCTGATCCTGAACCTCTACTCAATCTAATTGAAACAATTAAATCAGATGGTAAACAATTACCCAGCCAAGGTCCAATTGTAACCCACTGTTCAGCTGGAGTAGGACGAACTGGAACTTATATTATGATTGACATAATGATGAAAATGGGGCAACAGGAAAACGCTATTGATGTACTTGGACAATTGTACCTATTGAGACGACAGCGAATCCATATGATTGAAACTGAAGATCAATATATCTTTGTCCATAAAGCAATAAACCGTTATTTTGCCAAGAAATCAAACGGAGATGACCAAGATAAAGTTATCAATGAAACTACGGCAAACAAAATGGCTGAAGATAAACAGGCAACAGCCCAACTAATCAACATGGACTCCGATGCGAAATCAACTGTCGAACCTTAAATTGGACGTAAATGTAACCAACAATCAACTTTGTGTGTGTTTAATTAATCAAAGTAAAATCTCCAACACACATTACACAAAAAAAGAAGAAAAAATTAATCAAGCAAGGAACAATCAAAGATTCTCTCTGTGAAATAATCAAATTAATCAACACAAGAGATGAAAATTAAAAAACAATTAATGAAAATGAAAGTTACTTAATTTGGAAACCAAGAGATGGCGAAAGAATCAATTCTCTATCAGAATGCTAGGAATTATAAAGAAGGAGAGAGAGAAAACAAAACATGACTAACAAAGATGAAGATGATTCATCCTTGCCTTCATCTCCATCCTCATCATCATTATCATCATCATCTCACTGACTCTCTCTTGAGGGCTTATATTGAATCTTGAATGAATATTGAGTCACACAAATGATAATAATAATAAGAAAAAAATAATAACCCTAGACTAAAATACCAAAACATTATCACGGTGGGAAGAGGTGAGAGTTGGTGGTGGCGGGGTGGTTAAGGTGATGAGGATAAAGATGATGAAGATAAGGGGATATGTAGAGATGAGGCCAGAAAAAGTGATTATCATAAGAGGATAAGTACAAGAGCGTGAAAAAAGTTTCTCTTCAATGTCGATAAAGTTAAAATCGTGATAACTTTTTTTTTCACTTTTTCCACCAACAATTGGATTCATTTTATTTTCTTCTATTACTAATTTCAAATGATCAATTCTAATTGTAAATTTGATTGTTGCTTAATTGTTACGATTCTCTTCTTGTAAACATCAACACAATTCAAAATCTCTCTCTCTCGTATTAATTGAGAAAAAGTTAATTGTTGAGGCGATCATTTTGATTCGTATTCGTTTTCCATTCTGATTATAATTGTTGTTCATCTATCCTGAGGTTCTCAATTGATTATCATAATTAATTGGTTCCCTCTTGAACACAATCAATGTTGATTGTTGTCATTATCTCCAATTGGTGTTAAATTGTTTCATTTAATTTTTTGTTATCATAATCAGAATTAACAATTTTCTTATTAATATATTTTTTTCTTGTTCATTGCTAAGGGAAATTAAAATAACTATTTTTTACTTTTTGATTGTTTCTATTAACTAAAATTAAGACAATTTATATTAATCATAATTAATGTTCAATTATTATGTCAAATTAAAGTGTTACCGTTGAGATACATTAAGATGATGGTGTTATCGTTAATCAATTAATTTAGTTACAGATAATTAACTTAATTGGGTCTTGTTGATTGTAATTTTTTTCTTGACTTGAGTTTTTTTACTTTTTTTTTGTTTCTATTGGTACTTTTGTTTACCTTAGAAATAAATTATTATCATTATTAAGTTAATTTAATTGTTAATTTATTTTGAAAATTTACTAAAATTAACCTTGGCTTTAGATTGTCTTGAATTTTGATTAGTTAATCAATAAAAAATAACAGAAAATAACTTAAATTATTTGATATTAATCTCAATTTATGATGTTTAATATACTTTGTTAATCAATATTGTTTTTCGTGAGTTGCCCTCGGGCAAATTGTAACAATGTTAGTTTATTATCAATTTGATTATAATCAAGATAATCTAAGTGTGTTATAAGATGATGATTAATTGTCCCAAGGGTGAACACAAATTGTTGATTAATTTATTTATATAAATACACTTGGTTGGATTAGTAACAATCAAAAATTAACAGTTATCAGCAGCAATTAAGAAACAAAAAGTTCTGGTCCTTATTTATTAAAACAACAATTAACTTTGACAATTTGTCAACTTTAATCAATCAATGTCAACCTTTGAGATGTAATCAAATTTAGTGATGATGAAAGCACTTAAATGATGAGCCTTGATTGTCACTAATTGTTGCTAATCAACTAAATTGTCGATAATTTTGTTTACCGCTAAGAAATCACTTGAAATGGTTCAATCAAATTGTGACAAGAATAATTGAAAATGCGAAACAATTAAAAATATTACAACAATTGGTTAATTTTATTCAGTTTTTTTTATTAATTGTTATTAATTATCATCATTATTACAAGGAAAAATCTAATAATTAAGCAAAATCCAGAGTATTAATCAGGAAGAGGAAAGAAAAGTTTCAAAGTGGATTTGTAAAGTTTGAGGTATATAATAGTTTCCAAAGTAATCAGTTAATTGTTTTGTATCATAATTAATTATTAGCAACTTATGGTATTAGCAGTTAATATTACAAATAACATTTAATTATTTTGCGTTTTTCGTGTCGATTAATTGTAATCAGTGTAAATGATTGGTGACAATTAACCAAATCGCGAAGAAGAAAAAAAAGTTTCGATTAAGATTTGAAGACGAAGAAAATTTCAATATGAAAACGAAGTGATAATTTTTCTGTATTGTCTTTTATCCTCTTAATTGTTATGTGATATTCATATTAATTACTATATTGCAATTGGATTAAATTGTTGTTGTTGGTTTTGTGTGTTGATTGTTTATGTAATCAACTCGTTTTCTTTACCCAATATTATCAAATTATCATCAGCTGATAATTATCATTCTTTATCATCGTAATCATCATACTTGGTTAATGAGCTTTTATCAAACATGCCGGAAGATTGATCTTCATCTTTTCCTGATGAATCAATTGTTTCACTTGGAGATGATGAAGATAAAGATGATAAAGGCGATGATGATGATGATGATGAGGATGAAGATGAAGATGAGATTGATGTTGGTGTCACTGGTCCAGGGAGCAGGAGAGATGATGTTAATGAAGATGATGAAGATGAATCTTTCTTCTTGATTACTGGATAGAGGCAAGGTGATGATGAGGATGATGAAGATGAAGATGATAATTTAACGAGAGCATTTTTTTTACTCATCTCATCCAATTTAGAGTTAATTGTTTCAACATATTTCAACAATTTATCCAATTTATCGGATAAATCAGTTACCTTTCCACCTTGGGATGACAATTCTTTCAAAAATTTCTCAATAATGTCATGACGTTTCTTGGTTTCCGGAACCAGGACATTAGATGATGAAGATGATAAATGATGATCATGATGATTTTCACTTCGTTCAACATTCTGATACTCCATAATTTCAGGTATTCCTTTAGTCTTACCACAGGTATTACGAGTTCTGAAAGCCTCATTACCTGTTGAGGAAAAAAAATTCAAACAAAAAAGTTTATCAAGTATCCATTTCCATTTAGTAATATTGAAATAATCAAACAACCAAACAACAGAAATCAACTAATTGCTACTGTTACCTAATACCTTGTCCATTGATGATGGTGATGTTGATCAGTTGACAATAAACGATTGTTATTAACAACAACAACAAAAAAACTACCTCTTAATTGTTGTTAACACAACAAAAATTGACAAGTTTGGTGTGTCTCAATTGTTCAGATTGAAAGAAAAACTTTTTTACTCAACAATCAAATCAACTAAATTATGTAATGATAATAATAACATAACCATTGGTACGTTAAAACATTTTTCTTGTACCTTCAATATCCTATTGTTATCCAATAAAAATAAACCCTGTGAAAGTCCTAAACCCCAGGCCACTTAGCCGATCCCGTTTCTTTTATTGCCAATAAAAAAAAAGACCAACAAAAAAAAACGACAAAATAAGAGCAACCAGTAAATCATTTGCTATTAAATTTGATTATCACAACCAAACTAATCATCATCGTTATTATTGGATAACTTGACAGTAAGAGTTATCATCATCATCTTCATCATCATCCTAACAATAACAAAGAGAAAAAGTTCTAAGTATAGTCGAAACTGCCTTAGAACTTTTTTTTTCATTCTCTCTCTCTACTCGAAACAAACTATCAAATCGATATGATGATTTCCTGATTGAATATAAAGATGATATCAGATTAACACTTATCATTATCACTCCAAGTATTTAGTCATTATTAATTTTCGTGGGAATTGATTGAGAGAGAGAGAGAGAGAGAGAGAGAGTTGGACAAAAAAAAGAGTTCGAAGCCACTTCGAAAGTACTTATCAACTTAATGATCCTGATGATTATCAAGAATTGCAATTGAATGATATATCTATTGAAATAATTGATTAATTGTGTAAACACTTACCTCGACATTTAAATTTCACCGGATCTAGTGACATGATCCGTTTCCTGGATAACCTTTTGGGCTCAGTGCAACGGGCATCCGAGGTTTCAATCGGATTTTTTTGCAAATAATTGGCTAACCATTTGAGATTACAGTCACAGACAAAAGGATTACCACCCAAATGAAGTGTACCAATGTTTTTAAAATAATCAAATGTACCATTGGCCAGAGATTGAATCTTATTATCATAAAGTGAAAGTAAATTCAAATTCTGAAGGCCGGAAAAAAGGTCCTTCCGGATACAGGAAATGTTGTTAGCATTTAATAGTAATAATTGTAATGATGATAAACCATGGAAAACATTACGAGGTAAATCAGTTAATCGATTACCATATAAAACCCTAAATACAATTAAAGAAACAATTAAGAAAATATTAGGATAAAATTAGAATCCATTAGACAATCAAATTGAAACCAATTAATTACATTTCCAACCAAAGGAATTGATCAAAATTGTGATGATGATTTAATATAATTAATTGTTGATTAACTTGATTCTCAATCAAATACATTCCTTGTCTCTATATTTGTTGATTGTTGACAATTAATCATCAGGTACGTTTAATCAACTAACTTGAGGTTCGAGGGTTAATTTAAATTGTTTGCAATCAACTTTGCACATTCTTATGATTCCAATGTGAGTTAATTTAATTGTAATACCTGAGGAAATGTAAATTTAATCATGATTTATATATTAAATTAATTTCCATACATATTATCATTCATCTAATCCCTTTACTTTGAGTCACAATCTAAACAACAATTAAACAATCAATCAAGTTAATTGTTTCTCACTCTATTAGACTCTAACTCTGATTGTAGTTCTAATTGTTATCATTTCATTTGTGTATTAGGCTTAATTGTATTGATCAATGTTAATTGTCCCCTTGAGATTGAAATTGCATATTGATTGTATTATATTGAATGGATGAAAAAAACACAATTTAAATTTCATCATCTTAATTGTTTAGATTTTGTTTACCTTACCATTAATTTAGTTAATTGTTGGGATTATATGATATTGTATTGGTTGATTTAGTTTCCTTGGTGAACATGATTAGCTTAACAATTAATCACTTTAATTAAAATCTAATCACTTTGATTGACTTAACATTAATCAAAGGTTAGTTTGTTTTCATTTTGGAGTCTTGAACTAAATTAATTTAGTTGATTGTTGATTTTTAACACATTGATTGAAACAATTTATTGATTATAATGACGATGATTAGTTAATGATGAAACCAGTGATGATTTAAGTTTACTAACTTTTTTTTTCACTCAAAAACTAAATCAACAAACAAACAAATATAACCAACAATTAATCATCAATATTGATCGTAATCAAATAGATTACCAGCCAATATAATATATTGTTAACAATCAATTGATGACAAGCCGAAAAAAAAACTCACACAATTTATTAATCCAATAAAATCCAGTAACATTTGATTAATGGTGAACCATTTTGATTGCTAACAGAAATCAAATATATCCAAATAATCAATCAAATCAACAATCAACAATCAACAAAAATCAATATCAATCAACACAAGAGAGAGACAAAGTCAATGTCAATTACAATTAACAAATAGTAAAAAATGAAACAAACTTATCAATGTTAAAGTAGAAATGTAAATGTAATTGATTTTCAAAAGTTAATCACAATTAGATTAAATTATCATCATCAAAAGGTACAGATTTAAACAGAACAATTAAAATTAATTCACTTACAAAGTGGTCAATGATTTGAGTCCATAAAAAGCATCACCAGCAACTTTTGAGATTTGATTGTTACTCAAATCCCTTTGAATAGAGTAACAAGAGAATCCAATTAATTAATTGTTCTAAAATTAGCAATTTAATGTGTAACAATTAACGATAAACATGATTAACTATACTCACAATCTCCTGAGATGTTTAAATGTGGAGAAAACTCGACCAGGTAATTCAGTGATTCGATTTTGTTCTAATCGTCTGAAAAGAAAGAAAAGTTGGAACAAGAAAAAGTTCTAATATATTATAACCGAACTTGAACATTTACGATGATGATTATCATCATCATCATCAAAGGAACTTTGTTATTATTTCTCTTAAAGGTAAATGTTCAGAATTCAAAGCTCGAACTTATATAATGTTGTTTCTCGATGATGAAAAGGTAATAATCGTTTAGAAGAAAAAAAAAGTTCTAATCTCGAAAAAAAAAGTTATATAACCTTCTTAACGGAAGTTAATGAGATGTGTTATTATTATCGAATCTCATTTGGAGTTTGTTTTTATTTTTGTTTTCTTCGAAAAAGATTTAGTCATCTTAATGGACACTTACAATTCTGTAACAGTCTCAGGTATATCTGGAGGTATTTCCGTTAGGCCACGATCACGACAATCGACATCATCGTTTTGACATGAGCATCCATAGGGACATTGAGCTGGAGAGCTGAATAGTAACAAAAATTGAGATCGAAAAAAAGTTTTTTTTTGTTTAGTTGAACGAATCAAATGCAAATATCAAGAGATAAACAATCAAATTAAATGGCAACAATTAAATCACCACACATTAAATACTATTAATACAACTTAATCTAAGTTAAACATCAACACAATCAATTTAATATCTTGATTGGTTTACTAAAATTCAATCAATGTCATTAGATAATTTTTAATTGCTTTGGAAATTAAATATTGAGAAAAAAAAAGTCATTGATTACTTGTTGATTAAGATTTGATTGGTTTTTATATTTTTCTCTCAATACAATTTAAGTTAATTTAGTTGACATCACTTTGATTATTATTGCGATTGGTTAATTATTGATTGCTCTTGAAAATCAGTTGATTGCCAAAGGTAAATCAATTTAGATTGATGCAAATTATTTGTAAATAGGAAACAACTTGTTACTACACTTGTTACCCTCAAGTGTCAATTAAGATCTCATGTAATGATAATTAGTTTTTAAATGATTAAGATGATGATCATGATCATCATCATCATCATCCTCTTTTGATTGATGTCCTTTCAATGGCTTACCTGTGATAACCTTAACCTGTGTCATCAAAATCCTCATCATCATCATCATACTGATTTTATCCTCATCATTTTATGTCATCATAATAATTTTTCATCATAATTTTTTAATTCACTAATTAATTTCATCCTCATTTATGATACTTATCATCATCATCCCCACCCATTGCCCTACAATGATAAACAATCAGTTGATTAACTGACCAGTTAAATTGTAAAATAATAATCATAATATTAACCCAGAAACTGATAATCAAAGTTAATTGTTGATTTTGACTTGTGGTTAATATTTTGGTTTCATCATACTAATCAAATTGTTCACAGTGTCAACAATTAACTTTGATTATTTGATTGAGTTACTTTAGGGGGTTGGATATTTGTTAAAAGGTAATCAGTTTAATTGTCGTTGAAAACTGGAAGCTAATTTAAAACAATTAGTTGCTGAATAGTTGAAAAAAAAGATACAGAGACAAATTGTTTTGTAGCAACATAATAAATTGTGTAGTTAGTGTAGTAGCTAATTAGTTGATTGTGAGTTAATTGTGATTCCCTAATTTGTGCCAACTAGAAAAAAAAAGTCACTGACTTCCTATTTTGAGGCTACACAATTAGAGGTTCACCAATGATTAAGTTAATTGCTCGACAATTGTTGAGTTTTTTTTGTTTCTTTCATATTATTATTATTATATAAACTTTTAGCTTTGTTTTATATCTTTTTGTATATGAATGTATTGATGTGTGTGTGTGTTCAGATATATCGTGATAACTGTTGAACCGGAAATCAACATGACAAGTTCATGATTAGTTTGGATTAGCTGTAATTAGAGGATCTTCCTGTGTTCAACTTTCATACACATCAAGTTTAATCAAAAATAATCAACAAGATGATGATGATAAAGATGAAGATGAAGCTTGTTGATTTCGGGTTTAACTGTATTAATACAAAATGGGAAGCCAAATGTTCATGAAGATGAAGAAAAAGGTTTGACTTGAAATGTTGCAATTGAATTGATGGTGTGCGATGGAAAGGAAACTGATGATGATGAGGATGAAAATGAAGACTAAGCATGAAGATGATGATTGTCATGAAGAGAGAGAGAGAGAGAGAGAGAGAGAGAGAGAGAGAGAGAGAGTTTCAATGGTGATTCTTAAGGGAAAGATATCTTCTCAATAGGAAATTGATCTAAAAAGCTTAATGGATCGGAAGAATCAACCAGCAATAAGAAGATGATAAAGATGGAGATGGAGAGAGAGAGAGAGAGAGAGAGAGAGAGAGAGAGAGAAATATCTTCTTCTCTCTGTTTTTTATCATCATTCTCATTCTTTCAGGGTATAATAATAAAAGGAAGCCAAGGAAAAATTCTGAATTCTGTGTAACTTATCACATGGAGAAAATTGTTTGCAACCTTATGGTAACATCTTCATCCTTTTATCATGGAGCTTTCATTATCTCTCTCTCTCTCTCTCTCTCTCTCTCTCTCTCTCTCTCTCTCTGTATTTCCTAATATTTGAGAAGAGGATGAAGAAAAAAATGATCATCTTTCATCTTCATCTTTCTATGTGAGTTTTCATTGTGACCATTGCAAGAGACACTTTTGTTGTTGTTGTTTATCAACCCAAATAATAACAAAAGCTTTTACCGTTATATCATGTTGGTGTTATTACTGAATAGGGCGTGAAAAAAAAATAACTCAGTATCTTCCTGAACAATAATCTTACATTATTATTTGATAAGGGATGATAAAGATGATAATGGTTCTAACAAAGTTTCAACCTTCAATAGGTTTTATCATGAATTATATCAACACATCAGATTCAGAGTCTCCAGAATTATCATCAATATCACCAACAGATTTCATGTTATTATTGATATAATATCATCATCAGGATATTCAATATAATGATAACAATTAATTTCTTGGTTTAACAGTTTAATCATCATCATCCTGGTAATTGATTATTTTCAATTAGTCACAATCAGATGGGATAATCATAATCAAGAATTAAGAAAGTCTCTCATATATATAAATAAGTATTTAATTGTTACCTTAATCATGATGGATTAAATTTATTGCTAACATTTTCTATTGAATATTGATCATCATGATCAGATTAATGTTCAAATTAATTGATCAATAAAAAATTGACTTTTTATCTTCATCATGATCCTGATGACGATGAAGATGATGATGATTTTTTCTCATCTTCTTCTACTTTTCATCCCTGAAAGTGACCATCATGCTAATCATGAGGAAAAATGAATTTTCTCCTGGAAAATTTAGTTTACTTGAGCTTTTTTGGAATCTTTTTATTTACGATTTAACCTTAAATTGTTCAGTTGATTCTAATTGAATGAGACAATTTTATGTTCTGTTTATTTTCAGGATAAAATGATGACGATGATTTTAAATTCAAGGATAACCTTTAATCACTCACCAAGAAAAAATCACCATCATCATGCAAACTTTTAATTCAAATGATGATTTAGTAAGATAATTAAAAGGTGTGTCCACTTTTCATGTAGTTACCTGTTCATAAGATTGTTGTATGATAATGATGATGATGATGATTATCATTTAACAATCAATTTGTTTCGGTGTGATTACAGTTTAATCAGCTTATTGATTGAATAGTAGATTGTTTCAAATGATTTGACGATTTTCATGTTGATTGTTGATTTAAAAATTCAATTAAAATGAAAAGACACTCATGATTATCATCATGCTGATGGTGATTCATTTGAAATTATCATCGGTTTTTTTTGCTCTCATTCAACTTTCACTTATTTTCAATTACGATTGAAACCTGAGTAAAGTTGATGGTAATTCATGGTGATGAATCTTGAAATTTTCTGAATAAATGTAAATTGTGCCAAATGGTAAATTGTTAGATGATCAACTTTCCAACAATCAAGTGAATTTTTCAGTTATTCAATTTGCTCTTTTCTATTCATCAACATCATTTGCATCATCATTATCATCAGGCTTTTCTTTGTATATAACTTATTATTATTCATCAAATTCAATTCATGGTGATCATTTGAAACATGAGTTCAGTGTTTCTGTCGTTTTCCCCATGTAAATATATATCATATTGATGGTTTATCATCAAACCATTATTATTATATTCACAATCCATTATTCAGAAAATTCAATTCAATTCAATTCAAATTTTCACAATTGATGATAATTTAAATATTTACATTTATTTTGTTTTCCTCCTCAACTATCAACACAATTGATTATCATTATCACTTGATTGTTACCTCAATCCAATGGTTTCATTTGGTTTACCATGATGATGATGATGATAATCAACAATCATCTGTTTCTAATTGTGATCATCTCGTTGATTGTAACAATTTTTCATCACCATGAATCAAATGAACAGATTAATTGTTTTATTAATATTCATCTTGAAAAAGTAACTCAAATGATTAATTGTTGTTGATGGTGTTGGTTAATTACAAAGGTGAGAAATTGATTATCATGAAAACTGAGCAACAATAATGAAAATCAAGAAATGAAAAGTTAACCATAACTTTTGTTTACTTTACCTGTTAATTAATTTGGGAATTGAATTATTGATGAGTTAATAATTGGTTTATTATTGTTGCTGTTTATCATTTGTAATCATCTGGATAAACTCAAGGTACATGATGATGAGGATGAAGATAATGTAATTTATTGGATAATTTGTTTTTCACTTACATATACATTTAATACAATTACAAAACCCAAACTCAGAGGCCTAAAGGCAGATGATGATGATGATGATGAGGGTGAGGGTGAGGGTGAAAGTATGAGTGATGATGAAGGCGGAGGAGGAGGAGATGATGATGAGGATGAGCCTTAAATTTAATTAACAGTCGAGCATCAGTTTCCAAATCACTTCTCATTCTGTTATTATTACTGTTCCAGGTCAAAAGTGATGCAACTTAAAAGGTGAAACTCTCTAACTGAATGGAAAGAGAAGCTGAAAATGTTTCATCTTTTCTGTTTCCGGTTTTTTTTTCATTCTTATTTCTCTCTCTTTCCATTATTAGCTCAAAGGAACCTTAATTGTTTCCATGATTTTGATTATTATGATGCAAATTACATGGATCATCCCTTGAGTTTATCACCACCACCAACACCTTTCTCCCACTCTCTCAATTGAATAACTTTTCATCTAATATTATCATTGGAATATCATTTTTTTTTTCTTAATTTTTCATTTCGAACTTTTTTTTCTACTTTCTCCCTCCACATCCTCCCACTCATACTTCCTCCTTTTCTCCATCCTCCTTCCTTATTCACCTTATGATCTTCCTCTTGATTATCTTCATCTTCTCCTTAGCCAGGTCAATCTCTCTCTCTCTCTCTCTTCCATGTCTTCCTCGATCTTCATCTTCTTCTCTTTTTCCTATCGAATGG